CATTAGATAGGGGGTTCTGAAATATAAATGGATCATGTCAACTTGACTCCTTTATATTGTGTACACCATGATGATTGATGTGGGTGAACCCGCAAACCCACCCGCATCATCCACCTGACCCAACCCGAGACTAAATGTGGGTGGGTGATGGATTAAAACTTGTCAATCAGTTTTAAGCACGGGTGAGTGCATTTTATGATCAAAATTCACCCGACCCACCTAGGGGTGTTCAAATGGTGTGGTTACACTTACCATGGTCAACGTTTTAACCAGTAGTATTTGGATAATTTGATTTGGTTAATTTGGATATTGGTTTGCTTTGGTTAATTTTTTTAGCTTGTTTGGTTTAAGTGGTTTGGTTTGGTTTCAGACACTCCTAACCAATCAAACCAAATTAACCAGTTAAGTAATTAGCTATGTATCTAATATATGGGTGTGCCTACGGTGACATGCATGTCACGACGACTTGCACTTTCCGGTCGACCTCAGTTAGGATTAGGTCGGCCTCATTTAGAATTCGGTCGACCTCATAAAGGATCTGGTCGACCTCATTTAGGATTCGGTCGACCTCATATAGGATCAGGTCGACCTAATCTGTTGTTTCAGTGTAAAAACAGTTCATGGTGCCTACTTTGGATATTCATATCATACAATTGGCTAGATGGAAATTGAAGACTAATGACTTGTTTTGAAGCTAGAGTGTCCCTCTACATATTGAAGTGATTGAGAGCTCGATAGGAAGTCCAGAAGACCATTTTTGAACCTCATCAAAAGGTATGCCAAAACTGGGAAACTGCCTAGAAATGGCTAAGTCTGGAAACGTGTTTGTGAAGCCTATTTTGGAGCTCAATTCGAGAAGCATGAATGCGAGTCGAGTCCTGGAGTCTCTACCACGTTAAATTAGGTATGTTTTTATACAAATTCAAGGCATTGGATGAAAGATTGGATATCTGTAAGGCTTCAAACAAAAGGGTCGAAGTTGCTACGAAGGCTGTTTTTCTGGCAGACTTCGAGCACAAGCAAGCTGCCAGAAAAAACAGTCTTCGTAGCAACTTCGAGCCTTTTGTTTGAAACCTTAATGATATTCAATCTTTCATCCAATGTATTGCCTTTGTATAAAAAAAATACTTAACTTAACGTGGTAGAGGCCCCTGGACTTGACTCGCATCCATGCTTCTCAAATTGAGCTCCAAAGTAGGCTTGACAAACACGTTGCCAGACTTAGCCATTTTCAGGCAGTTCCCCAGTTTTAGCATAGCCTTTTGGTCAGGTTCAAAAATGGTCTTCTGGACTTTCTATTGAGCTCCCAAGTACTTTAATGTGTAGAGGGATACTTCAGCTTCAAAACAAGCCTTTAATCTCCAATTTCCATCTAGCCAATTGTAAGATATGAATCCCCAAAGTAGACACCATGAAACTGTTTTGACACTGAAACAATATATTAGGTCGACCTGATCCTATATGAGGTCGACCGAAAAGTGCATGTCACCGTGACATGCATGTCACCATAGCAAAGTCCTATAATATATACATACTTAATACGTTGCATCCACTCAAGATTCAAATGTTAAGGGTTAACTATTGTGTTGATTGTTATGTGTTATTCATTATATAATTTGCGAAATGATGCACTAATCGAAAAAATTTCTCACTTACTGATAATATGATAGTATATTGGTTATTTTGGTTAACCAATTAACCAAATCGATTAAACTTTAATATGGTTCATTTGGTTATTGTATTAGTTTAGTCCAGAACCTACCGGGCGATCTGCTGACTCTGATCTCGTCGTTCCTTCCTCTCAAAGCAGCGGCAAGAACCAGCGTCCTCTCAAAGCAATGGCGGAACACGTGGAAAAGCACCCCGAACCGCCATTTCGACTCGAGAACGCCGACCAAATTCAGCAGCGCCGGCTGCCCTGTTTCTCAGTACGACAGCCTCGACGATTTCCTCAACTGGATCGGCCAGATCGTCCTTCCAATCGGAGACGTCGTCGACGATTTTCACGTCAAATAGCTGAGGATCAATTTCTGCCACGGAAATTACGAGTACGGGTGGATCGAGCTGAACAAGGACGATCTCCCTGAAGTCGCCGGATACAGAGTCGTATCGGTCAAGAACCCTGCTGTTGATGACGATCGCAATGAGTTGGAGACGTGTTTGACGGGAAGAGAGCCAATCTGCTCCGACACTTGACCCTGCAGAATTGCGGCATGGAAGCCCTCCGGAAGCATCTAATCGGGCTACACCCTACTCGTCCCAAAATTCCCAACAATAACTGTCTCCGGTCGCTGAACTCTCTGATTCTTGGATTCGTGGCTCCGATCACCAGCTCACCCGGCCTAGTGATGCTCGATTGGCTGATGCGTCCTCTTACCGCCGCCTCATCGGGCGCCTTCTTTATTTGACGGTGACGCGCCCAGACATCACCTATGCCGTCAATATCCTCAATCGATTCGTCCATGCTCCCAGTCCGATGCATTGGGATGCTGCTCACCGGGTCCTTCGTTATTTAAAAACCTCTCCGGGACAAGGGTTGTTCTTTCCCCGGGAGAGTGATCTGCGCCTCACCGCTTACTGTGATGCTGATTGGGGTGGCTGTCAACGCACTCGTCGCTCGACCACTGGTTTCTTCATCAACTTGGGAGGCGCACCCATTTCTTGGCGCACCAAGAAACAGAAGGTGGTTGCTCGCTCTTCCGCTGAAGCTGAGTACCGTGCCATGGCCGCCACAGTTAGCGAAATTGTTTGGCTTCGCTGGTTGCTTAAGGAACTGGGTGTTTCCCAGACTGCGCCTACACCTCTGTATTGTGATAATCAAGCGGCTCTGCATATTTCTCACAACCCTGTCTTCCATGAGCGCACCAAACATGTGGAGATGGACTGTTATTTTGTTCGCGAACGTGTGCAGACTGGTGATGTTCTTCCTGTCAAAATTCACACGGATCGTCAACTAGCTCATATGTTCACAAAGGGACTCGGTTCTGACCGGTTCCATTTCCTTCTCTCCAAACTGCACATTCGTGACCTTCATGCGTCAGTTTGCGGGGAAGTATTGGGTCATCCACGACCGGTTCCAGCCCACGAGAAGGAGGACGCAGCCCACGTCAATAGTGCAGCCTTGGTCCACGTTAGACATGCAGACCATGTAGCTGTTCCCTTCTGGAACGTGGAGACTACTACTCCTAATGCTTCTTGTGTATGGAATCATTGTACCCTAGATACTTATGATGATGGGTATAAATATGTAACTGCGGCTGTAAGCCGCCATCAATCAATAACATAAACTCATATTCCCGTGGATGTAAGCCTCACAACTGTGAGGAAGAACCACGTAAAATCATCGTCTCTATTTCGTACTGTTTCGTACTATTTATCAGGTGGTGGTCTCTGCCTCAGCGCGGCGCTGAATTGACTTTCTACTACGAGGCTCGACACATTCGTCTCGCTCGAAGTGCGACGAGCTATCATCGGTTCGGTCCGATCCGGTTTACACGCCTTGCAAACGACCTAAGTTAATGTATTAACACTCTATCATGCACACTGTTCGTTTGCTTGTTGGATTTGAAAAAATGGGTGTTTAGATTAAAACATTGATCATAAGACACCCTAATGAATAGGTCGATAATGTATTAAACAATACTCGATGCATAGTTATAATTGAATATTTGATTATCATTTTTGTAATCCAAATTTTGTGTGCCTTTATGAAACAGCCGCCCCTGGGACCAAAGGACGAGATGGCATTGTGGGGCGGAGGAGTTGCATCTCAACCTCACAGGATGCGGAATTAGGGTTATAAATTTAAAGAAATGTGATTATTATTATTATTATTATTATTATTATTTCCTTTCTTTATGGATCTACTAGTCTCTATATTATTTTTATAAATCTCAACCTTATTATAATCCATCAGTCCATCCAAAATTACAATCAAAATCTCACCTTAATTCGTTGCACGGGCCACGCTGACGACATGGTCGTGTACGACGACGACAGTGGTTGCAGTAGGGAGCCGGCGTGCAAGCCCCCTTATTGCAGTCCTTACTATGAGCTGTATAATAACGTGTTCATATGCGACGAGTGTGTTGGAATCCGAGTGAACGTCAACTGGTTCGACCCAGTTTGCACACATTGCAAACTAACCCATTGTTTGTATTACATTCTATCATGCATACTCTTAGTTGTAGAATACGAAGATGATAACCTAGACTTGAGAAATGTGTACTTTGTTCGGTAAAATTATATGTTTTATTATTATTATTATTATTATTTTAACTGAGTCTTGTTTTTGTTAGGTTGCATCTTTAATGAATAGATCGAGAATGAATTAAACATGGTCTAATGCATAGGGTTTGGGATAGGGTCAGTAACCACTGGTTACTGACCTATCAGTAAACATTTAGGAGCCGTAGATCTAGGGGATGGAGGAATCGTGTGGTTGGCTGGACGCAGGGGTGGGGAAGGGCATTTTTGTCTACTTTTGTATTTTTAATTTTTTATTTATTTATTCCGCATTTCAATGGCTGACTTTTCAATGAAAGAAAAAGAATAACCCTTTCTCTGCAACTCTACTTTATTCCTTCTCTCTTCCTTCTCTCTTCTTTTTTCCAATATTTTTCCAGATCCTTTCTCTTTCACTTTTCCTTCTCTCTTACTTTTTCTCTCACAATCTCTATTTCTCTGCAACTCTACTTTATTCATTCTCTCTTCCTTTTTCCAATATTTTTCCAGATCCTTTCTCTTTCTCTATTCCATCTTCATTTTTTTCTCTAGCAATCGACAAATAAAAATTGAAGTGACCCTCTTTAATTGCGTTTCTTCTCTTCATCAACTCGTTAGCTTTAATTTTGATTTTTCTCCTTTTTTGGCGTTTGGTGTTCTTTGGTTGCGGATGAAATGAGATGAGACAGAAGACAAGTTTTTTTTCTCTCTCTTTTTGTTTTCCCCCTTTCTTTTAGGTAATATATATTGATATTACCACACTATACCATAAGGTATTATGTGGTAACGAAATATATATTGGTATTACCATTCTATATCATATGGTATTACCACTCTATACCATATGGTATTGGGTGGTAACGAAATATATATTGATATTAACACACTATACCATATGGTATTGGGTGGTAACGAAAAATATATTGGTATTACCACTCTATACCATATGGTATTACCACTCTATACCATATGGTATTACCACTCTATACCATATGGTATTGGGTGGTAACGAAATATATATTGATATTACCACACTATACCATATGGTATTGGGTGGTAACGAAATATATTTTGGTATTACCACTCTATACCATATGGTATTGGGTGGTAACGAAATATATATTGATATTACCACACTATACCATATGGTATTGGGTGGTAACGAAATATATTTTGGTATTACCACTCTATACCATATGGTATTGGGTGGTAACGAAATATATATTGATATTACCATACTATACCATATGGTATTGGGTGGTAACGAAATATATATTGATATTACCACACTATACCATATGGTAGTAACGAAATATATATTCATGTGGCAAAAATTTCCATACCATATGGTATGCTCTTATTTAATACCAATCAATACCATATGGTACAGTCAAATACCATATGGTATAACTGGTAATAACTGACAAATTTTTTTGTGTCCAAAAAATATCAAAGTGGATATCATTTTAAAGAGCACAATTAATCTGATCTAACTGTGCAAAAAAAATTAAATTTCGACTTAAAACGAGTGAGAAATCGTCCGTTAAATATTAAGGGAAGGAAAATTAAATGTTTTGCAAGAAGAGAGAAGGAGGCGCTGATGTGGTACGCTCAAAAGTCAGACTCAGCAATAAATAGGAGAAAGTGCAATTTTACTGTACTGCCCTTTTCACATTTAATTTAAATAAAAAAGTGACTGACACGTGGGGACCATGGAAGGGGTTACTGATGGGTAACCCATCAGTTACTGACCTGATCTGGACCCAATGCATAGTATTGTTGTTAATTTCCTCTAGCCTATACGTGTTACTAAAAATTTATAATCACCCTAATTATTGGTATTCATACAATCCATCCAAAACATACAAGAAGAGTACTGAAACCAACAACCGAAAAGATTTAGGTACTTAATTGGAAATATATTCGGCTCCAGAAACAAAAAGGAAAATCAGCTCTATATCTATCTACTCTCTAGTCTCCGCAGGAATTTCTCAGCTGGCTCCCGCTTACTGAATCTAACCCCAAAGTCCAAGCGTTCCCCTTCGTTCCGCTAGCTGAGAACTGCCGGTTTCCTTCGCCGCCGCCGGTTTCCAGACCATGTCGGACAGAGATAGGTACGGCGATCGGGACCGAGCTCGTGACAGAGAACGGGATAGGGACCGAGATAGAGAGAGGCGTCGGGAAAAGGAAGATCGAGATCGCCTCCGGGACCGAGATCGAGTGCGCACGCGGTCGAGAACACGGTCGCCGGACCGAACACGAGGGAGACACGCTCGTTCCCGCACCCGCTCACCGGACGAGCGGCGTAACTCGCGCTCGCCAGATGCACGCGCGCCGCACCGCCGCCACCGCCACCAGCGCACCCCGTCGCCTTCGCCTCCGCGGAAGAGGCACCGTCACGATCCCGACGAGGAGAGGGATAAGGACAGGCAGAGAGCAGCGGCGGATTCTGATCTTGTAGACGGGATCTCGAAGGAGCCGCAGAAGCGGACGGACAAGAAGAGCGGTGGGGGAGATGGAGCGGAAGTAACCGGGGATGGAATTGGTGGCGAGATTGGGAACGAGGATGAGGTTGAGATGATGAAGATGTTAGGGATTCCGATTGGCTTTGATTCGACGAAAGGGAAGCCGGTTCCCGGCGCCGATGTGAGCGGTATCCGGGCGACGACCAAGCGGCAGCCCAGGCAGTACATGAACCGCAGGGGAGGGTTCAATCGGCCGTTGCCTGCAGAGCGTAATCGATAGCCTTAAAGTTCCTGGTTAGGGATTCAGATTCTAGCTTAATGTTGCCATTACCAACTGTTTGTTTGTGATGCATCAGAATGCAGTAGTGAACTAACTTCAAACTGCAATTTTGTGTGCTGCATTTGAATCGTAATGCTTTGAATTAGGGATTGAATTCTCCGAGCTGAGACGTGGTTAGTGATTGGAAGTGCTTATAGGAGACTCTGAGCTTAAACGTACGTGGTTAGTGTAGTACTTTGCTTAGTGAATTAGTAATGTAACATTGTCTCGATTTTCGGCTGTGTTCTGTGTTGAGCACGGTTTGCAGCATAGCATGCATTGTTTCTGTCTGTTGATATGAATCAGCATTGTAGTCAGGGCCTTTCGAGGAGTGCAGTTCTTGCAGTAGCGTCTTAATGCTGTGACATAGTGGCGGTTTTCGGCTGTGTTTTGTGTTGAGCCCTGTTTGCTGCATCCATTGCTGATCCGAACTGGTATTGAAGTCTTGGCCTTTTGAGTCTGGTGGCTTTTGCAGTAATGTCGGAAACAATGTATTATCGATCTCTCTGGAGGTGTCAAGACTCGAGAGGTAGTGCACACCAACAACAGGGATGCTAAATGCTAGTAAATGCAGCTTCGAAGCTATACTCTCAATGTTGGCTACATATTATTCATCAACATCATAACTATCACTTTAACATTATGATTCATTTTAAAATGATCTCATCTTTAATTGTATAATAACAATGGACAAGAAAAGATGTTTATTTATGAGAATCGTGTACGTTTTAAATGAGTTTTAAGTTTATCAAATGCTCGGCTAGTGCATAATTGTAGAATTGAATTGGACTAGTTGTGGTTTCTATATCATTATATCAACCAAATATTAGTAGCTAAAATGAAAAATTTGATGATTATGGTACCTTAGTTATATCTAAAATCGAAGATGCACTTCTGTCGAATATTTTTTTTGTTTATAAAAGTAATCGTTTATCTCTATTAGCTTTTATTTTCTTCTGATAATTATCTCTCTATTACGTTGCTATTCGGGCGGGGGGTGAAAGAAACAGGGGAATTAATGGTGGCGAAAGAAGAATTATCAATCTGACAAAAAAAAAAAATCAAGAAAGAGTAAAATATCAATCAATGTCAGCAGGCAAAAAGGAAGTCTGGTCCGATACTACCCCACTCCTCCACCGCAAAAACTCACCTCCTCCGCCTTACTACCATTCTTCTTCTTCTTTCCCTTTCACCGTCGAGATGTCTTCCTCCTCCTCTCCTCGCCGGACCGGCTCCATCTACCTCGGTGTCGACGTCGGAACCTCCAGCGCCCGCGCCGGTAAAAGACTTGGATTTTAATAAAAACGACCATTTTTCCTGATCGGAGAACTGATCCCCCTCTCGTGCTCTGTTTTTCTTCTTCTTTGCAGGAGTGTTTGACGACAAGGGGAAGCTCCTGGGGACGGCGAGCAGCCCGATACAGATTTGGAAACAAGGCGATATCGTTGAGGTAAAATGTGAATGAGAGAAAGATGGGTTTTTTTTTTGGGGTGCTCAATCGAATTGCTTGCTTGATGGAAATGAGTCTTTTTCGATCTAGCAATCGTCGACGGACATTTGGCATTCTGTGTGTGCGTCTGTGAAGTCGGCTTGTTCTCTTGCTAATGTTGCTGGCCATGAAGTAACCGGGATTGGATTTGCTGCTACTTGTTCCCTTGGTTGGTTTTCTTGTCCAATAAGTTTCCTTTTTTCACTTCAGACTGTTAAGTTGATGGAAGTTGGCATTAATTGTAGGCTTCATTTGGTTTGTTATTAGTTGCGGTCGATTCTGATGGTGCCCCAGTTACTGTTTCGTGGAGCGGGGATTCGAGGAGGAATGTGATTGTTTGGATGGACCACAGGGCTGTGAAGCAAGCTGAAAAGATCAATTCTTTCAACTCGCCCGTGTTGCAGTACTGTGGTGGGGCTGTGTCTCCTGAAATGCAGCCACCAAAGGTAACTCGATTCGGGTTGGGAAATTCGTAATCAGTGCGTAGGTCGACTATAGTGGTAATATGGGGATGAACAAGTTGAAAAGATCCCACATTTGAACTTTGGAATTGGTCATGGGTTTGAGTTTTTTAGCAATTGCATTGGCTGAGCATAAAGTATTGGCAATTTGAACTAGATCAAGTTTGACAAAGGGTTACTTGCAGCTACTATGGGTGAAAGAAAATTTGCCAGAGTCATGGTCTATGGTGTTCAGGTGGATGGACTTGAGTGATTGGCTGTCCTACAGGTACTATTTCAGCCCTCTTAGAGTGGTGGCATCTCAAGTCAGAATGCTATTTTTTCATGAGGGTATTGTTTGAAGTGTTTTTTTTTTGTTTCTTTAGAGCAACTGGGGATGACACTAGGAGTCTGTGCACAACAGTCTGCAAATGGACATATCTTGGTCATGCACACATGCAACAAATGAAGGAGAAGAATTTTCGGGATATGGAAGCTTGTGGATGGGATGACGACTTTTGGGAAGAGATTGGCTTGGGTGATCTTTTGGAGGGTCATCATGCTAAGATTGGTGAGCTTGCTTCTCTTCTTCCTTAATCAATTGTATCAAATGTCCAATTCTGCTCTTCCTCGTGAGTTTGTTTACATGGTTAGCCGAAACCTTTTCAGCCATTTTAAGTGGAAAAGATGCGGAGTACATGTATTAATTCAGTTGACATGGGATATTGTTGCACAGGACGCAGTGTTGCTCTCCCTGGCCATTCTTTGGGTTCTGGTCTCACCCCTGCAGCTGCGAAGGCAAGAATTTTGTACTGAAGAATAGAACACTTCCCTGAGGTCCATTGCCAAAGCAAACACATTGTTTTAGTTAGATGAACACAAGCATGCCCTTTCACTGTGGCCAATGGATGATTTTTTATTTTATTTTATTCCACCCACTGCCATTTATTTTTACTTGGTCTACTTCATGAATTCTTATTTTGTCGTTGAAAATGTATGCTTCCAGGAAATGGGTCTTAGAGCTGGAATTCCAGTTGGAACTTCATTGATTGATGCTCATGCTGGAGGCGTAGGGATCATGGAAAGTGTTCCCGAGTCAGATTCTGAGGCTAAAGGTAGATTTCAGTTGAAAGTAAAAAGATGAAAAGATACACTATTCGTGGTTCAGTCATAACCACTTTCATGCATAATTCTTTTTAAGCCTTTACTAACCGAGTTCATTTTTTTTGCTAGAGTCTGATAAGGAAGCTGTTACCAGCCGCATGGCATTAGTCTGTGGTACTTCTACCTGTCATATGGCCGTCACACGAAGCAAACTGTTCATTCCAGGGGTGTGGGGACCATTTTGGTCAGGTAAAGGAATTTCAGATATATTTTATTAGTGTTACAACACTGAATGAGTACCTTATCAAGGAGCTTGCCTTTAGTTTTACGCTATATTTAAGATTGGGCGCTCCCATTAATAGCTATCCTAGTTCTGCTAGCTCAAAGATATCAACTTTACTCCCATGTTTGTAGCTATGCTGCCTGAGTATTGGCTTACAGAAGGCGGGCAGAGTGCTACTGGAGCTTTACTGGATTACATAATTGAAAATCATATGGCTTCTCCTCATCTTGCAGATCGAGCGGCATCTCAAAGTAAATCTGGTTATTTCTCCTACATTTCAAGTCTTATCGTTACTTGAAGCAGCTACATTCAGCTTACATAATGCTTATGCCATTCCGTTCTTTCTCCTTGCCAGAGACTTCGATCTTTGCATTGTTAAACAATATGTTACGAACAATGATGGAGGAACAGAAGTCTCCATTTGTTGCTGCTTTGACTGAAAGCACACATGTTCTCCCTGACTTTCATGGAAATAGGTAGGTGATACTGTGATAGATATGATAACAACACAGGCTTTTCCAGGTGGCAGTGCCGATATACTATTTACTAAATTTTTTTTATTATAATTTTTTATGTTGCAGATCTCCTATTGCAGACCCTAAATCAAAGGGTATAATCTGTGGCTTGACTCTTGACACAAGTGAGAGACAGTTAGCTCTCTTGTACCTTGCCACTATACAGGGAGTTGCTTATGGTACAAGGCATATTGTGGAGCACTGCAATGCTCATGGCCACGAAGTAGATGCATCTCCAGTCCTTCATTTGTCGACTCTCAACGACTCATCAATGTTAATTTTCCCTCTAATGTGAAGTTGCCTATTTTTGCTCACAGATAAACACTTTGCTTGCTTGCGGTGGCCTTTCTAAGAACCCGCTTTACATCCAAGAACATGCAGATATCATGGGTAACTATCTTCTTTACTGAATGTAAGTGGAATTAGTTATTGGCCTTCTATTGGCAACAGGATAAGCTTATGTTTCATTGACTATGCAGGTTGTCCGGTTATACTGCCTCGTGAAAGTGAGTCTGTTCTCTTAGGAGCAGCAATTCTTGGTGCAGTTGCTGCCAAGAAATATCCAACTCTCATGGAAGCCATGAAGGCACTGAACGCTGCTGGTCAGGTGGGCATAACATTCTTATCTTCCAATTCATTTTCTCCTTTGAGACTATGTAAGGCAGTGTGCTGAAATGGATTATTGGTTCTGTTTGGTATAATTTTTTTGGCTGAAATAGGTTTATAGTTTCGGTTTAATTCTCTACTGTTCATAATCGAACTGATCATTTCGACCAAAATGCATCTACATTCTACTAAATTTGATCTCTGAATTTTTCCCTGATCTTTTCGTTCTTAAATCAGATGTAGGCTCAAGGCCATCGTAATATTTGGTTCTGAATTTTCTTTTTGCTTTATGACGATGAATGTTGGCGATAACGTTATTCAGTTATCAACAAATCGGAACCAAACCAAATTTTCTCTTCTATTATAATTGATTTAGTTTGACACTATTTTGATTGATTTGGTTAACCAAATGTATTCCACGATTAATTGGTTCCGTCTTAACTGGATTTGCAGGTTGTTCGTCCATCTCAAGACCCAAAGGTCAAGAAGTATCATGATGCCAAGTACAGAGTCTTCCAGGAGCTTTATGAGCAGCAACTATCTCAACGTTCAGCCATGGCTAAAGCCTTGGAGTAGGGTCGTGGCATCTCCCAAATCCACTCTTGCTGCTGTAGTGGTGTACAGTTCAAGTCTTTTTTTTCTTTTGCCATACAGTTCAAGTCATTTAGTCGTGGCTAAATTTTTCGCTTTGCTTTTTATACTCGAGGAGGTTCCTTCACAGCTATTGTTTTTGAAAGATTCTTTGTAAAGCTTCAAGCTTTTGGTTGACTCTCTCTGTACAAACTATTGGTATGGAATAAAGTCAAAATATGGAACAATCTCAATTAGTTACTTGCATATATTGTTATGCTAGTTAAAATTGTTTTTCCAACAAATATTCCTTAAGCGGTCTGTAATAAGTAAATCTAGGGATGAGCATGATTCAACCGAATACGAAGGAACGACTCGAGAATGATGAACACAATCCAATACATCTCAATTCGGTTCTTTTTGGTTTGTTTCATCTGGTTTGGATTGTTTGCACAACTCTATTGAATCAACATGGTGTCAAACCTATACATTCATTATCGATTTGATCCATCGTCAACATACGTAAATAAGAAAACACATTCAATTTGGTACGCAGGCACTTTAAGCTCACTCGAAAAGAATCACCTTTTTAAGCCCCAGGATTTTGGGTTTCTCATGTTCAAATCCTTCAGCTAAAATGTGGAATAGGAGACACGAGAAGGTCATTTCTTATAAGATCATGGCATTGTAAGAAGCATTAAGATTGTGGCAAGATGGTACTTGAACAATACAAAAACCACAAGTTAAATGGGTCCAAACAAAAGATGAAGGATTTGACCAACAAGTAAAGAAAGCACATTCAGTTCTAGAGGGAACGATAGGCAGCATTCTTCACATGTATAGTCCTTCGGGCACCCCTTCTTTCTTCTTGAACATCACTTTCTCCTTCGCTTTCTTGAAGTCGACATGAGTTACCTGAACTCAAAGCAAAATGAAATATCAGAGAACTGAATTTAATTGCTTAAGAGACCAAAATAGCAGCGAAAGAACCAAGTGAGGGGATTGTGAAGCAGAATTGATTCATAGTTCACCTTCATGCGCCGCTCTCTTAAAGCAAGCAAGCCAGCCTCAGTGCAGATTGCTTTAATGTCGGCTCCTGAAAACTCGTCCTTAGTCATCACAAACTCCTCCAAGTTAACATCATCTGCTAATGTCATCCTCGATGTATGGATCTGCATGAAATAATCAAAACACGAGCAAAAGCATTGGTAACCAGAAGACACTTGGTGTTATACTACAGCCAAATATTATGTTGCTCATGTTCATCAAACTCTACCTGGAAGATGCGCCTCCTAGTTTTGATGTCGGGAAGAGGGAATTCTATCTTCCGGTCTATACGCCCTGGACGCAACAGAGCAGGATCAAGACTCTCGATTCTGTTGGTTGCAAGAATCACTTTCACATCTCCCCTCGAATCAAAACCATCAAGCTGGTTCAACAGCTCCAACATAGTCCTCTGGATCTCACGCTCACCACCAGAATTTGCATCATACCTTAAAAATGCGGGATTTTCATCAACTACCTTAAAAAACACAACCTGACAGGCCCACTAATGAAAATGCATCAACAGCGGACTACCTCTTTGTGCCGACTGCATCAATTTCGTCGATGAAGACAATTGAAGGCGAAAGGTCATCAGCAACTCTAAACAACTCCCTAACTAGTTTTGGACCGTCACCTAGATATTTCTGAATCAGTTCACTTCCTACAACACGCAAGAAAGTTGCCGATGTAGAATTGGCCACAGCCTGAAGTAGAAGGACAAATCAAAGAAGATTATTGCTGATAGACTTGAGATAGTTCGTCATAATGAGACCCAATTTGAACTGTTTAAGTATTTGACTGAGGTATAAGTACCTTAGCAAGCAATGTCTTCCCTGTTCCTGGCTCCCCATAAAGAATAACTCCTTTAGGGGGCCTAATCCCGATGTCTTCATAGAGTTCAGGATGAGTAAGTGGAAGCTCCACTGCTTCCTTAATCTCCTGTATTTGAGCATCCAACCCACCAATGTCGGCATATGATTCGAGTGGAGCTTTCTCGACTTTCATTACCGAAACCATGGGATCAACCTCATCTTGAAGAAGACCAACAACAGAGAGGACCTAGCAAGGCATAAGACAAAATACAACGGCATTCCAGAGTATCAGAACTAGGCTCGTAATCAAATAGCCAGAAAATTCAAAAAAGCTTTGAACTTTAATGTTCCCCATTGAAAAGAAACACTTGGCGAGACACATTCCGGCTCTAGAATCTAGACTATCCCTACGCACATCTATATCAACTATCAAGCTTGCAATTCCAGCTCGAAACACTGAATTCCGACAAAAGGCAAGGTTCACAAAAGAAATTACACTCCTCTCAGTTCATTATCGGGTGAAACAGTTCAAATTACCTTATTGTGCATCAGAATAGAACAGCCGGGCTCGAGCTGGTCCTTGTCGACAAAGGAGAGAATCCCTACGTAGTACTCGGGACCAACGGACGACGAAACAATGGCGTGATTCTCGTCAATCAGCTCCTCCAGATTCCCGACGCTCATCGGAGACCCTCTGAGATCGTCGACCTTAGATCGATCCTCCTCGTTCTTCTCCTCCTGAGGCTTCAACCTCTCCTGGTTTGCGACGAATTCCTCCTCCATCAGCAAGTAATCCTTGATTCGCTCCATCTTCAGCAACCTCAGCTTGCACTTGGTGAGAGGAGTCACCGTCGGCAGCCGCGACGCCGCCTCGGAACCCTTCTGCTTCCTCTGCTTCCGCCCGACTCTGGACGGCGGGGCGGCGGGCTCGTACTTCTTTTCCTTCTTGTTGTCGCCATCTCCCTTCCGGTCTCCCGGCGGGCGGTTCATACCCGATGGACCTTGACCCATGTCGTCGCAGTCGGTCGGCTAGATTCGTCGATGCGGCGGGGCTACGGTGGTTGGAATCTGAAATCTGGCTATCGAAGATCGGAGAAATTGCTTTAGGGATTGTTCTAATGAAAACTGGAAAAGCTCAGACCTTTGTGTTGTACCGAATTTTATTCGACCTTACAGTTTTAGTCCCTTATTTATTCTCTCTTCCGGAAAGGGACTTGTACTATCAATTTTGTTACAACTCAGGCCTCAGGCATGGACTTGGAGATATGGCCTTTTTTCTTTTGGGCTCATTCTCTTTACCAACATTGGGCTCGTTTTTGAGTGGGCTAGCTAGCTCCTTTTCCTCTCAGAACTAGTGGGCTTTTTTTAGCTTGTATTTTATATTATTAATTTATTATTACTCACATTCATCTTGTTTCTTTTGCTTTTTGTCCTTAGCGGCCATTACGTGATCTCGAAAACGACGTCACCATCGCCATCCTCAAAGCCCATAATCTTCTTCTTGTACTCATTCTGCGCTCCACGTGGCACTGCGTCACTTGTCACTTGCAGCGCGTGGAGGGATTTAACGAGCGTGGCATGGGCATTTGGTTTGGCCGGAACCCACCTGGCATTCAACTATTGGTGGGGAGGCGCATTTTCGATTTCAAGCCGCAAATATTACCACGCGCTTATGGTATGCTTGTCCATCATTGACGGCTAATTTCATTTGTGGGGTGAGAATAAAGTATTCGAGTTGTTGAGTGAGACCAAATTAATATGAATTTTGATATCATTTCGACGTAGATTTTCGTATATGTGACATACTTATTTAAGGTATCCGTGGATCACTCTTTCGATGTCGAAGGAGGTACTGGCTATCTGATTAATTATTTCGCACTTAACAAAATGGTTCGATTGCTCGCTTAATATGTTTCGGTCGAACGAATCTGACCCGGCTGGCTCGCTGTCCAGTGTCCATATTGAAGCGCGTGCATGGGGAGGACGACGTAGGAGAAAGTGGCTGTGGGCATATCCCTTTTCTCCTTGGTAAGTGGAGGAGGAGATAACAAATTGTTAGGAAAAAAAAAAAAAAACAAAAACAAAAAGAGATGCCCAAATAAATAAATAGAAATAAATCAATCTTCAAGAAAAGGAAAAGGGAAACCATAATTATTCGCGGAACCGAAAGAGTGCCACGTGTGACACTACGCTGGCAACGAGCCATCGCATCTTCTCCTTCCTCCGCCATTCTCTTCCATCCTCCCCCTCTTCTCTGCTCTCGTCTCCGCTCCCAAATCCCATTCCGTCTTCTTCTTCTTCTTGTTCTCCAATGGCGAATTCCCATTGACGCGACAATCACGAAAAAAGGGGGGAAAAGGATTCCTTCCCGCCGACGAAAAAAATTTCCCGCTCTGCTCAGGTACCATCAGCGCTTTTTCTTGATTTCCAGAAAATTTTCGATTGAGGGTTTTCGTAAAAGGGAAGGAATTGATTGTGTTTGCGATTCGGGTGGAATCCGTGTTGAATATTAATCGGGCGGCGGCGGCGGCGGTGGGTGGGTGGGGTGAAGAGCTGCCACCTCTGCGGGGAGCGCCATGGATGGGTTCGGCGGATTTGATGATTTTAGGGACTTCCTCTGTGTTATTTATGGTTTTCGCTTTGTGGGGGTGTTGAAATCGGAAGCTTTTTCCAGTGAGTGAACACTTCCCACCCCCCTCTTTCCATGTGTAACCAAGGGATTGAATCCCTGAAACAGAATCATAAAACTAGTCACCAGAATTCGATGGATACTCCACCTTCAGCCACTAATTCCACCCCAGGCTCAAACTTTAGCCCCAATGACGAAACCCAACGAGTCAAATTCCTGTGTAGCTTCTTGGGCAGCATAATGCCTCGCCCGCAAGACGGGAAACTGCGGTATGTGGGCGGGGAGACCCGAATTGTGAGCTTGCCTAGGGAGATTGGGTATGAGGAGCTTATGAGCAAGATGAGGGAGCTTTACGAAGGTGCTGCGCTGTTGAAGTATCAGCAGCCGGATGAGGATCTCGATGCACTGGTCTCGGTTGTGAATGATGATGATGTCACCAATATGATGGAGGAGTACGAGAAGCTGGGGTCTGGGGATGGGTTCACTAGGCTTAGAATTTTCCTCTTCTCGCATTCTGAGCAAGAAGGGTCGCCTCATTTTGTTGATGGAGATGATAGGGAGACCGAGAGGCGGTACGTGGATGCGTTGAACAATTTGAATGACGTGGTGGATTTTCGTAGGCAGCAGCAGATGGATCCCCCTTTGATTGACGAGCAGTTTTTCGGCCACATGAGTCTTGATGGTGGGATTCGTGGACACCGGAATCCTGATGTGCCATTGCCTCAGTATAATCTTCGACATGTTGCTGTTCCTCAAAGGTATAGTGAAATGGAAGCTACATGGAGCCCTGCCTATTATTCTCCCAGGCATCATGGGCATCATGACAATCCGAGATCAATGTCAGAGTTTCCGAATTCACCCCCATATCGGATGCCATTTGGGGAAATGCCTGATAAAAGCATGGATAGGGTGCCTGAAGAATATGCTCGTCCGCAGATGAACCATCAGGTACCTTACTCCGAGAATGTGATGTGGATGCCCGATAAAGCTGGTTTCCCAGGCAATTTGATGCATGGTCAAGGTGTTATGGAAGGGAATAGTGGTGCCTGTGAGCATTGTCACACCCCTTTTCAGAGAAGCCAGTTGCATTTGGAGCAGGCTAACATTGGAAATGGTCTTCCCCATGGTGTTAATTCATGTAGTGAGTGTGCTCCAAGTAGAGAAGCTTTCTTAGTACATGGAGATCCAAACATGCACCACACCATATACCCTAAAGATCAGTATCTCTCTGGAGCTGGAAGGTTCAATGAGCAACACTATCTTGTAGAAGGTCCTGGCATGAACTACTCACTTGGTCATGGGACTTTAGTGGATGGCCATCATGTTTCTTCTAGCTATGCCCCTCATCGAGCTGGTCACGACATGGGGAATGAAGCATTTCATGATCCATCTGTACCTCCTGCACATCACCAGCACGTGCCACCGGACGATCGTAGCATCAGATATGGGAATTTTCCTGGTGCTTATGGAACTGAAGCTGTTTATCAAATGCCTCTTGGACATGGTCATGGGCAGAGTTTATGGAGAAATGTTCCGAACCCTATGCTTGGAGGTCCTTATGAAGCAGCCAATGGAGCCTCACAAGTTAATGGTACAGTTAATCAGGCATATATCAGAGGTACAGTAGAGGGTGGTCCAAGGGCTGGAGCTATTGGCATTGATCCTCAGCATGCTTGGTCTGACTCCTCGCAGACCAGGTTGGGTTTTGATGCCATGGCTGTCCCAGATTATGCTTACACCCCTGCTTTGAAAACTAATCCAGCTAGTTATGGGGTGGAAGCTAGGCATTCAAATGCTCCTGAATCTACTCGTCCTCCACTTCCACATGAAATGGCAAATTCATTTGCTCCGATAGCTACTGTTGGTCATATTCCTGGTGGATTCAGCAGCACTGTTGTGGTTCCTGAAATTGCAAAGCAGGAAGAGACAAACATTGGTGGCACAGAAATAGATGCGAGTTATGCAGAGAAACTGAATATGGTTAATTTAGTTCATATTGTCAATCCGAATCAAGAGGCGGCTCTGGTGGATTTGTCCGACCCAAATAACTCGCGGAGTCATGCAGGCAGCAATTTAATGCCAGTGGGTGAAAATAAGCCTTCTGTTTGTGTGGGGGATTCTAAACTATCTGTCAACCACTTAAGTTACTTACCTGAGTTAATTGCTTCTGCGAAGAAAGCTGCATTGGAGGAGGCTGAGGAAGTGAAAGCGAGAGTTGAAGAAAATGTCTCTCCTTTGAAGGATAATGCGGCATCAAAAGAAGCAACTGTCAAGGAGCCTGAAGCAGTGGTGAGAAGCAGCAGACTTAGTTTCAACTGGAAATGCTTTTGTACTTTAAACTTTCATTTTAATGGTTGCATTTTTACAGAATGGAGTTGAAGAAGTAGAGTTGGATTCTGAAAGTGATAATTCAAACCTCAACAAGATTGAGCCCACAAAGGCTGAGGCTGAAGCTATCGAGAAGGGATTACAGGTTTGTGCAAATTCTCTTTCCATCAAAATGTCACTGTTTCTTTCATGAGGATATGCTGTTGTTAAGACATTTGTTCAGGTTTCTTCTGCTGCACTCTATATGTGAAGTTAAGTACAAATTATTGCTTCTTTTTTTATGCCCAGACTATAAGAAACGATGATCTGGAGGAGATCCGTGAATTGGGTTCTGGAACTTATGGAGCTGTTTATCATGGGAAATGGAAGGGTTCTGATGTGGCTATCAAGAGAATAAAAGCTAGTTGTTTTGCTGGAAGACCTTCTGAAAGAGAGCGATTGGTACATTATACTTTCAGTTCTCGACATTGTACATTATACTTACCCGTTGGCATTTCTTGTTTTAATAAATTGACCTTCTGTCTCAATCATTCTAACTGGAGATACAACGACTTCTATAGATTGCAGATTTTTGGAAGGAAGCATTGATACTGAGTTCACTACACCATCCCAATGTTGTCTCTTTCTATGGTATAGTTCGTGATGGCCCTGATGGATCTTTAGCAACCGTAACAGAGTTCATGGTGAATGGTTCTTTGAAGCAGTTTTTACAAAAGAAGGACAGGTAACCTTGCAACCGTTGGTTCCAGAATTTTGTATGCGGGATAAAAGACAAAAGTGATGAAGCATTTTTTTTTTTTTTAATTTGAGGAGTAGTTAACATTCCAACCTCATTACAGAACCATTGACCGGCGCAAGAGACTCATCATAGCAATGGATGCTGCATTTGGCATGGAGTATCTGCACGGGAAGAATATTGTTCATTTTGATTTGAAATGTGAAAACCTCTTAGTAAATATGAGAGATCCACAACGGCCCATCTGCAAGGTATGCTTAGGCCAAGCGATGTTTTTTGCCCCTGAGGATTCGCCTGTTCAATTTCTTAGCTAATGCTCTGTTCTGAATGCACCAAAGCTTCTCGAAGGATCTCTATTCAGTAGTTTTCAATTTGCTTCAATTTTCAAGTGCCTCATTATGTTTCGGCTCAGGTTTTCCAGACTTGAGTTTATCTCAAGTCAACAGCTTTGAAGCTAATCGAGTGTGCTTTTCTCTTAGATTGGTGATTTGGGCTTATCCAAGGTCAAACAGCAAACACTTGTGTCAGGTGGTGTTCGTGGAACTCTACCTTGGATGGCCCCTGAGCTTCTGAGTGGGAAAACCCACATGGTGACCGAGAAGGTAGCTATAATCTCTGGTAGAAGGTACTTGCGACTTATCTTTTCTGCTCTGCCTCATTTGAATTCTCTACATTTCCTGGCTCACAGATTGATGTTTATTCCTTCGGAATTGTGATGTGGGAGTTGCTGACTGGAGAAGAACCTTATACGGATTTGCATTGTGCCTCAATAATAGGTATGCCAAGATTCATTATGGTCATTTACGTAGCATCAGTATATACGTTAGTTGCTCTCGATAAAAGTCAGATTTCTGGGTTTATTTGGAAGAACTGCCCTTGAAACTAGGGGAGAAAAAAATCCTGGTCAACCCTGAATTTTCTGGCCAGATTAGTAAAGCTAAACTGCCAAATCATAGTGTTACAAGTTGTTCATCAGTTCATTTGAATGACTTGCAGGAGGAATTGTGAACAACACGTTACGTCCCAAAATCCCAACTTGGTGTGATCCAGAGTGGAAATCTTTGATGGAAAGTTGCTGGGCTTCTGAGCCTGCAGAAAGGCCTTCGTTTTCTGAAATTTCTCGAAAGCTGAGGACCATGGCTGCTGCAGTCAACGTGAAATAATGATCCAGTCATGAAGTAGATATTTCTCACTTCTCGACTGGCCTATTATGGCTACAGAAAAAAAATGGCCCCGTAGTGAACAAATAGTGATAAAGCAGAAGAAAAGAAGAAAAAGAAATAAAATTTAGATTTCTGATATTGTTATTATGCCTTGAAAGTATCTGCAGGCTTATGGGATAGAGAAGATCGCCCCTTTCAGAACATGCCCTCCCTATTCTCTAATTATGGAGAGGGTTAATGATGCACAATCAGAATGTGAGTTCCTTTCGAACATGCTTCTAGTTCGTTCTTTCTTTAGAAATGGCCGAGAAAGTAATCGCCTTTAGCTTCCTTCTGCAGGTTTTTTTTGCTATTTTGAATGTGATCATATAAGCGGTAGTGAAACATAATCTATCTCTGCTACTATTTGGAATGAAGGGGGAGGAGATGTATATATATCTATTTATCTATATATGATGATGATGATGATGAAATCCTAGTGTTTCTTTAGCTTTCTCCATTCTTGGAGGAGGAGGAAGACGATGCATAGCACTCTCTCTTCGCTCTCCAGCACGAGTTTCTCAGATGGGATCTTCACCAGCCAAATAGCTAGCTGTATTAGAAAGTATGCTATGTTACGTTGGCTTTTAGTCCCTTTGTTTCCTTCCTTTTGGTGGGGTTTCCTGCACACTACTGAGGAACGTTTTTCCCACATAAATTGAACTGCACAAATTTGAGCTCAATGTTTATTATTATTGTTCTATTGCTTGCTGTGATGGAGCACTGTCTATTTATGGTGCAATGAAGCTCCTGCAGAAGTCGCGGCAGAAAAAGTTCATGATGTTGCTGCTATAAGAGAGATTGTAGCTTTTTGCCTTACCTCTTTGATTCTGCTGGTATGTGAACTATTTTGAGTACATGTTAAATGGACAATTTCATGTGTCTCGTCATACATCTTGTACGTTCTGTTATGCGTAGATCGTCGATAATCTATGCGTTTAGAGTGTAAGTGATGCAAGTGGGAGTGTGGGTTTGTCGATAATAACGTGTTGACATTTGGTTTTCAACCTATACGTACGTGAAGTGTTTTCATGGTACAGGTGACGATTGAGCAATCTAAAGTCAATGTAGTGTAAATTTACCAACTCTTTCTGTGGCATTGAAAGTCAGCGGAGGGTTATATTATGTGGTTCTTTTATGGTCAAAATGCATGACATCATGTTTTGGCTTGGTATCTTCCATTTTGTGTAGTTAGAAGGAGCCAAGGAGTAATGTAGAACCACTCCAATATGGAGAAGTAGGATGCAACCAAACAATTGGTTTGTTCAATCATGCAAACCCGATTGCTTGGGGGGACAAAGGTCAAAGAGTATGTATTAAGTATTTGGTGAACAAGTTTATCATAGGCTAATGGTGTGGAATAACGTTATGTGGTCAATCCCATTCACATTTGTTGTGAGCTTAGTTTGGTTAAGCATGGATTTCGATTTTCACTCGAGATTAAGCTGTCTATTCAGATCTTCACTCCAAATCAAGGCATACTAAGGACTCCTCTTTACCCTCGCACATTCAAGGGCGTTACATCGGCTAGTATATATGGTGATTGTTCCATGACATGATTAGTCCTTTTACAACTTTTTTCTCTCCCAAGCATGCAACAACACAAGTCTATAAGGTCATTGAAACCCAAACAAAATGTCACTTGACTATTTTTGTTTTCATTTAAGTTTGAACGTGTAGTGAAGTAGCATTTTCCGTAAAGGAAAGCTGAGTCCATTTTCATATGAGCTTTTCATCAAGGTTAGAGATGAAAGTGGATGAAGCTATAGTTTTTCGTTACAAATTCATATTTAACTTAATACCATTTCGGGGAAAAGGAAAAATCTTGTGACTTTTTTGCACAAGTGTTAAAAGTCAAGTGACCATTTTGGTTAGATAATTCAGTGTGAAAGGCAGGTCAATTTCTTGGATTCTTTGAAGTGGACTATGTGCATTTGACATATGGTGGCGACTCACTGGAAATGGATCCCATTCTTTGAGCTCAGCAACTACGTCTCTTTGTTGCGTTTTTAGTCTCCATAACAAAGAAATAAATGTTATGGGGTTAAATGCCAACATGATCACTAGACTTATGGTTGCTACAAATCGGTCACTAAACTAATTTTCCTGATAGGGTAGTGTTTATGAAAAAAATGGTCACTTAGTTTGCTTCTGACTAGAAAGTTGTTCAGTTTCATGTCGATTCAACATTTAAGATAACCTTATAATAATTGGTCAGCCACAAACTTAGTGGCTCTTTATTTGTCGAGATTAAACTCTTACACCTTACCCTCAACAATAAAAGCTAACCCAACCTCAACTTGATCCTAACATATTCGCACACACAGAGTATATTAGTATGTTGAGAGTGGGAGCTAAACTGGAATCAACAAAACTAGTTGCAATTCTCCTTAGAGAAAAGGGAATAAAGTTGATTGATCGCCTATTACTTAATATTTATTTGTCGTGCACCGTTAAGAAGATTAGTTCGAAAATCGATAATAACAACCCTTATTTTTAGTGACCACTCTTGATATTTGTCCCAAGATGAAGATAATTGGTACATAAAGTGTACGCCCCAGAGTAAATATCCAAGAAATTTCCATGCATGATACCTTGATCGATTGGGTGCTAAGTGTGTCATTGTCAAAGAATGCTTTGGGAACATTTTATATTGTAGGTGGTACGTACAAGTCACAAGTCCACTAACATGTGTCTTTGTCAACCTTTTGTGACGAAACATGGGTGACTTTTTTTCGTCCCTTAAAAATAATTATCACCCCTCCAACATTGCTCAGTGCAACGCGGTTACGTACGTGGACTGGTAGTTTGTATGAATGATTATATGTACTCTCAGATTATCGAAAGCTACACTCTGGATATTATAATTGAGAGTGATTAAGAGATTGTTATTGTATTGGTATGCTCGATATGTTAATTGGGGACAAAGATATATGGTTGGTCATAATCGTGGTATCAGACAATACTGAGTTGAACGTTTGAAAATATTTTCTAATGGAGATCTATCGTATTGAATCACGGGATAATCATATCAAATCATAATAGAAGGTGACTCATTGGATGACATGTTACTACCACAACATTGACATTCTATTATTGCATTTTGTTACTACCTATGAAATGCACTAAAGCTAACTAGCTAGATGCAATTTTGGATAATCATGTCATCATCATTAGTGAAGGTTACATACATTTCTATAGGTCATCAATGAAATTTGTTGTTTTTTTAGGGCAGTAGGTAGCTTAGCTAGCTAGCCCCTCCTCCCCCAACATAACAAAAAAAAAAACATGGGATTATGTTTTGGTAATTACGCAATTATTGACTTTCCAACAAATAATCAATCAAACACACCACCAACTGCGCTGAAAAGGAACTATAGGTCAAACTTAAATGTATATTTTTTCTGCTAGATATGTGGATAAACTTTGAGGGACAAACCCTCAAACCCATGAGAAATAGAGAAGTCAATATCTTAGGAAAATTGGGAAAGAGGGATTAGTCTAGCGGTTTCATCGTTAGTTTTCAATTTGAAGATAATTCACACTTTGAAAGTGATCGATGAACCTTAAACTTAAGCATGATCTCTATGGTACATATATCACTTTCACGAATTAAAAATTAGTTTATAAAAGTTCACGAGGACATGATTTTTTTTTACAATATAGTTGTTTTTTAGTCATTTATTTCCTTCGACGATCAATGCAAGACAATCAGATCATCAGCTCACCCATGATAACTAAAGAGGCATGGAATCGAACATCGTCCAATCTGCTTAATAGCGTTCAAACCTCGAGCGAAGATTGAACATGAAGTCTATGTATGTATATATATATATACATGTGTGTTTGTTGAGTGACTCTTGAGAAATGGTAATTAAATATCCATATATAACTTGTTTTTATACTCTCAGTAAGAAGATAACCTTCATGGAGATATGTATGAAAGCTAGACTCATAGGACTATAGGAGTATCAATCATGGAATGTTTATATATATATATGATTATTATATGTACACAAACTCTCTCTTTCTCTTTCTCTCTCTTCAATTAAGCAACTAGAGAAGATTATTGAGAGATCCTAAAAGCTTATCTTCTAAACCAGCTCAGGACCACCTTTACCAGCCCTCACTAACAAAGAAAAAAAAACAATTATAAAAATTAATCTACACATAAAATACATAAAATTAACATTAGACAGAAGGGTTTGGTCTTATTGATGATGAAACTAATGGCAATGTCAAGTATCTACCCACAAAAAATATACAAAAGGAGGAGACTGAAAGAGAGATTCTAAGCTTGGGATAAAAGACAAGCAGAAGCCTTGTTTTAATTTAATTAATTAAATAAATAAAGCCTACCCTATCTCAGTCTTTGCCTCAATTTGTTTGGTGGTGATTTCAGATATAATAGTATAATATAATAGGGTTTCTGCTTTTTCCCTGAAAATTTTGATGGTTTTCTGCTTGTTAACTTCTATGTGGGTTCAGGTTCTTCTTCAACTTGGCCCTTAATTCAAAGTAGGGTTCATCAAATTATTAAGTTAATATAAAACCTTATTATGTCAATGAACAGAGATGATCCTTTTTGAAAAAAAAAAAATATCTTTGCATTGTTTATGGCCTAACCTTTTTGCTAGCTACAACTCTTCATCTTTTAGATTATTGAATAATGATTTCTACTAACCACTAAGTGATGAGTTGCAATATCAAGGTCTCAGCTTGCTAACCTTATCTCACATCTGTAAATAGTGTGGTGGATATTGGGTTTTTCGGTCTTGAATCCGGTTTCATTAGTTAATCATAGTTTATATAAAGTTTGAGATGACTCGTGGACCGGAAACACGAGAAAGATATATGAGATAAATGAGTTGAATTGAAAGGAAAAACATATAGTGTGATTCTTGCATTTAATACACAAATGACTAAGATAGCATATTGAGTAGGAATGTTGTCATCCAATGTTGCCTATATATACTAGCTCTTTGTTCTTGTCAAGGATGTAATTCTTAGAGCTAGCACATGCATTAACTAAGCATACAAAAACGAGGACATATATACATGACCTCTTTCGAGCTATTATTTACGAAGTCGATCTCATGTTAGAATTCTAAATACTCCTATAACAAATTATTAATTTACGTATAAAGTATGATTGAATTGTGCGGACTTTAAACCCGTATATTGTATCATGAGAAGGATCGTATACCGTTCAATCTTCTGGCTAGGGTTAGCTCTTAGACAAAGAACATTTTTGCTTAAAAGTCGATCTCATGATATAACAACAATTCAGATAATCAGCTGTAAACTAATCCAAAAAGTATGTGAGAGAGAAGCGCACACACCATTTCTTCAAACCCTAAGAGTAATATTTAACCCTAAGTTCATTACTACCACTCGGATTGATGGGAGAAGTCATAAACGATTGTAAATCTATCTTGTATGAAGTTTGTATATTGATTCATCATATCTTGTACTTCAATTAAGTTTTGATGGAGTGGATTCGCTGGACTAAAAATACATGATTTCTTGATGATCGAAACTCTATATCTATAACATTATGAGAATATGTATGTGTCACATCAATACAGTGTTGAAATAGGTAGTACCGGAAATAAATCGCATGCACTCTTTAATTGTCATAAATCAACTAGATGTATGGATATTAATCACTTCATTACATACCCCATTAAACGAAAGTCATTTCATGAGCTTGAAATTTGCATTGGTCGTCATACCATGTGCTTTAAGACAGTAATTAATATTGAGGGTCGTGAGGATTTAAACACGTGACCTCAAGTACAAACCAGCTCTGATACCATGTTATAAACCAACTAACCTCAACACATTGTTATGTATGCCATATTGATAATAGCTCTCTCTCAACAACTAGAATTGCTTAAAGAGGTACATACACACTTTGGATAAAACACACGCTTTCAAGTAACCCTAGAGGAAGTAAGTAGAGAGAGAGAGAGCAAGTACAGGTTTGAATTTTTGTTGGCTTGAGGAGAAGACTTTTTTCCCCCAAGGCCTTGCCCTATAAATCTCAAGTCATCCCTTCCCCAACATCTCTCCCCTCATCATCACAAGCAAGAACAAAACAAAACAAAGAAAGAAACACAAGTCTCATCAGTCCCAAACAGAATACATCATTCCTAGCCTGTTGCTGAAGAAGAAGAAGAAGAAGAAGAAGAAGAAGAAGAAGAAGAAGAAGAAACCTGCAAAATTAAAAAAGAAAACATGGGGAGAGCTCCATGCTGCGACAAGGCAAATGTGAAGAAGGGGCCATGGTCTCCTGAAGAAGATGCCAAGCTCAAATCCTACATCGACCAGTACGGCACCGGCGGCAACTGGATTGCACTCCCTCAAAAGATTGGTACACATATATACTCTTTCTAAATTTCTTCTTGTTCGTCGAACTCAGGATGTGGTGGATGTTCAGTTTTAATGAGGGTGTTTTGAATTTTTCTGTCTGGTACTAGGGTTGAAGAGGTGTGGGAAGAGTTGCAGGCTGAGGTGGCTTAATTACCTGAGGCCAAACATCAAGCATGGTGGATTCTCTGAGGAAGAAGACAACATCATCTGCAGCCTCTACATCAGTATTGGAAGCAGGTAATTAATAACCAGAAAAAAAGAGAATCAAATTATATGTTACTACTGACACTGCTAACATGGTTATGTGAGAGTGATAAGAGAGCTTTTCTGAGGGTTTTTGGGCCGTGATTCTCTTGTCTTGTTTCATTTGTTTCTGATGCTTATTGTCTTGGTTTAATTCTATATGTATACTAAAAAATTTCACATGCATCTCTACATCTGAAAATGGGTGTGTATGAACTGGTTAATTATTCATGTTCTATGAAAATGAAGTTAAGAGTAAATACACTTAGTTAATACCCTACTTCCACTCCATTTATGATCATCCATTTGTATAAAATGTAACTAATTAATATTTGTATGCTCCACCGTGCGTCTTCATTTCTATGTCATGTCACGAACCAATTTATCGTGCATAAGCATAGTCTAACTATGATTCTAAGTATTTGATTAATATTCTTGAAACGAGTTACATAATTAATTAGATCGTGATTTTTTACTTTATTTTATGATGTATATGTATACTTCATTCCGAACCTTCTTGTTAATAAAGATTATCTTCACACATTTAAGTACTCGTAACTTGAATATACATCTATATTTCATATAATCAAAATTTTACTATGTCGAAAAATCATTTAAAGTCAATAACTCTGTGCAATTCATCATCGTTTTGTTAGGTGGTCGATCATCGCAGCTCAACTTCCAGGGAGAACCGACAACGACATCAAAAACTACTGGAACACAAGGCTGAAGAAGAAGCTTCTAGGCAGAAGGAAGCAGCAACAACAACTCCACCACCAACATCAACAATCTCCTGATCATCAGGGCTCTCAGGCCGCCGCCACCGTGGAACATGACCACCACCACCATCAAGATCATCAGCAAAGTCCGACATCAAGTTTGAGCAATTCAGCTCTGGAAAGGCTGCAGCTCCACATGAAGCTCCAAACCCTAAACCAAAACCCATTGCTCCACAACATGCTTTGGCCAAAGCTCCACCCTTTCCAAGAGAAGTTACTCCTCCAAGCCATGAATGATGAGAACAGCAACAACAACATTATGCAATTGCCTCTCTTGCCACAGCCAATAATGATGGAATCCCCACTAAGCAATATTGGAAAGGAGATAATGATCAACCCTACTAATATTGCAAGTCATGAGACCATGGCCATGACTGCTACTACTTCATCCAATACCACGACTACAACTACGACGACTAATGGAATGGATCACTCAAATTGCTCTCCTAGTATGATGAACAATAACAATATTAATGTCTCGAGCTATGGTGGTGCTTTCCAATTAGGTGGTGGTGGTGGTGATGATTTCATGATGGGGAACTTGGACAATGGTACTACTAGCAGCCTGGTGTGGTGGTCGAATGAGTTCGAGACGAATGATGTGCACTATGATAGGTCTGGATCGTTTTCATCCTCGTCGAATGATTCGAGCTGGGATTGTGCTCTTCGATCTTCTGATGATGCGGGTTTGTTCTGAATGTAGATCGTCATGAGCACAATCGATTCGAAATCGAGGAAATGGTATAGTAGCAGCAGTTGTGATGTATTGTATTATTGTTCTTGTGATGGTTCATAAGATATGGTGATGAAAGAGATGGGAGAGCTAGCAGCTGTAGCTAGCTTCTTTACTTTGTGGTTGTAAGCAAGTGTGTGAATAATGAATGTTAGTAGTGGTGGGTACATACATGTGCAAGTTAATTCCTCTGGTTATGTGTGTAGTATTGATAGTTCTATTTCACTTTGGACCTTGGATCTATATCGATTTTGATCCTTTGTAGTTGGGCATAGAATAGATTTGGTCCCTAGTTTTATCCATTTATAACCTTCAATAAGATGAAAAGTATTTTGAAAAGGCTAATCTGAGTTAAACATCTTGAGTTGCCTCATTCAGCGAATCATTATTTTGTCTGCAAAAATTTTAATCAAATTAGAAGATTTTTTTTCTCGTTTTTCTTTGACTTTTTAAAATCGCTAGAATTTCTCTTTTCAATGGTCATGTTTGGATTGATGGGTTGTTAACGGGGTACTTGATGAAATTTTGGACGAAGGTGAATGCAAGTGGACATTTTGTTACGGAGAAATTTTACAATGCAATATAGTATTGGTGCTATAGGTTTTTGTCTTTATGGTACAATTTGAAATTGTACCTTTAACGTTGTGGTACAACTTCAGATTGTACCTATACTTTTTGTACAAATTCTTTTATGGTACAACTTGAACTTGTATCTTTATGTGATGGTACAACTTCAAGTTGTAAAGGTGTACCATAACATAATGATACAAATTCCTTTATGGTACAACCTAAACTTATACATTTAATGTTATGGTACAACTTCAAGTTTTACATTAAAGCACCAATACTATATAGCAAAGTAGTAGTGCTCTTATTTGATAATTCAAGATTGAACCTTTGAGACTTTACACTTTGATTAGATGGTTGTCTACATTACTATAGCAAAGCTTCTGAAATTGTCACTAGATTGTCAAGAATGGTCAATGACCTATCATATATATACACAATAAACCGGCATTGAGCCTGGCATCCAATAAGTAGAGAAAAACTTGTGAAACCAAGCTCCTTAAACAAGGAGAGCACATCAATCCATGAGATCACAAATGAGGTTTCTTCTCTCCACCTTGACGACGATGACAGATTCTGATATTTATCGCGAGTAGTAGTAATTGTACCCATTGTAATCCTGTTCAGAAGCGATTTGGCTGGAGAGCAAAGGCATCCCTTCCATCCTCCTCCCTTCTGGCTCTTGTAGGTATCTCCTGTCTTGAATGTACGATTCGATCTCCAAGATTATGAGCCTCAGGTCAGGATCATCACGAGTTTTCAGTGCGTCCATGAAGTGACTCGAGACCATGTGCAGCAACTTCCCGAATTGGGACTTGTACTTTCGATACAGAACAAACCCTGCAGTCTGCACAAGAATGGAAAAAAAGAAAGATTGGATGATTTCTTGTGATGGGAGTAAACAAGTCTACAAGATTGAGGAATCAGAAACCAGACTTACTTGGAGGAAAGCATTCAGTGCCACTGCAGTGAATGCATTAGCTGGAAGAGCGTTTAGGAATCTGGCAAGCCACAACCAGCCTGCTGCTGGGCCGTGAGAGTTCTCATTACCACATACTGTTTCTGTCTGGTGTGATCAAGTAGTGGTTTTAGAGGATGACAAGGGTCAGGTAACTGAAAGAGAAGATGACTGAAAGTGAAAGACGATGAGACCATACCTGAACCAGAGCTCCGTACAATCTCATGTAAGCTTCCATACGTTTTAAGTAATCTTTGACGCTCTCAAGTTGCCCGCCATCTTCCTTAAACCCGAGCTGTTCTTTGTAATAAGCCTCTTTAGAGCTGAATGCAGCCTGGACTACACAGAACGAAGACTTAGAATGATGGACAAGAATCATGTAAACTAAATTGACTGCAAAATTGCTAACCTTTGAGTATACTATATGCTTCGGGACAGTGTATATGCAAGCTTTATGGAACTCCGCCAAAATCAGATCCATTGCATATGGGACCTGTTATGAAAACAATTTAACAGATGTAGATCCAGAAAATGTTGATCTAAAACGGCAGGCAACTAATGGAAGTGATCTCCAAAGCAAAATTTTAAGCAATATGTAGGGCAGAGAAATAGAACACAAGAGCGACATCAGAGGTCATGCATAGAAGTCGAGAAGCAGAGAGAACACCACATAAGCATGCTGTACCTGTGAACTGATGAGGACTATTACTTGAGCAGATGCAAAAGCGGCATTGTCAGGGTTTTCACAATGTTCAACAACCTGTATATTAACAAATTTACATAAGAATTTAAAGCCCTGTAGAAGACCAGTTTCGAGAACTTAACAATCTATCTTGGACAATTAAGGAAGATAACGAACTTCAAATATCAATAAGAATGAACATGAGATTCTAGAACTCAGTGGAAAGCCTTTCAGAAAACTCTATTACCCAACCATCTAGCGATTAATATCATAATAACTATAACCTTCTCACTGAACAGTCAAGATTACCTTCTTTGCAAATGCTGCAACGGTGATGGACTCGGGGCACTCAGGATTCTTGAAGATCTTTAGAAGTTCACTTGCTTTTGTTCTGGGGTTATGAAAATAGCTTGTCATAATGAAATAGGAACAAATTTTTTATCCAATTGCTAAGAAGCTGGTGCCTTAAACATACTTGTAGAAGTAACCAAATAGTTCATTCAGCAAGACGGTAGAATCTCATTGCTAATAGGAAGGTTCCAGAAGAGTAAGAGAAATCACTTTCTTGAACTTTTGCCCTTTAAAAGACGCAAAGAACAGGTCTACGACAAGTATCTTACCTTACATTTTCTTCTATCCCCCTTATCTGTCTTATCAGTCTACCAATTGGCCGTGTATGCTTGTCAAGGTTCTAAACAGAATGAAGCAGGAAACAAGTCACGTTGACTGCTTGAGATAAGATCCAATAGCAACATAGGAACAAAGTGAAACTCAGAATCCAAAGGCCAAACGAGTGTGATTCCTGATGACCGAACTCTATGCGGGGGCTGAGGCAACACAATCAACAGCATACCATATTGGACCTTGACATGAGAGACTGACTTTGGTCTTCGAGTTCTCTAAGCTTCTGCAGCCTTCCTTGTTCCAGAGGAAGAGCTGAAGCGGAAGCTCTCACAATATCAACTGTCACAAACTAGTGAGTCAGAATTCCAAACCTCCACCAGTTGCACAGTTCATCAAACAAGCATATGAGGAGCAATCAGAAGCACAGCATTAGCTGAAAATACACTGAAGAACCGGCTCAAACTCTATGTCGAGAAGTGAAGCACTCAAAATTGCTCAGCAGAGTAAACAAGATTATCTGGAGAAACTAAAATGGCTTCTGTGCTAGAAGGAAGTCAATAACTAAGCAGACTCAAGATACTGAACGCAGAAGCCTTTGAATTAAAAGCATAACCAGTAGAAATGTACACTAAGATAGAGCACCGGCAGTGGCATTAGTCTGCCCAGGTGAGATAACAGTTTTCGAATCCTCAATTGTACCTGCTTCCTCCTTTTCTTTTTTCTCTGCTTCCAATGCAGCTATTCTAGCTTCCTCGGCTCTACGTTTAGCCTGCATTCAAACCAGGAACCATGATTATTTTCCTGCTAGCTATTACATTGTGCTTTTAACTGCTAGGATAATAACCTGACAATGAAATATACCTCACAATGAAAATAATTAGCCATGAAGGGCACATGCATGCACGAAATAGAACGGAGATCACGGGCTTGCTATCACTGAATCCAAGAGTTTATTAAGAACAAATAGCAATAAACCAAAAAAATCTAATTTAACTTAACATACATGCGCTTCTTCTCTGGCTCTGTCTTGATGTAGTCTCTCTTCGTGAACAGCCTTTTCCTTTCTCTTTGCCTCTTCTAGATCAATCCTTATTCTTCTTTCTTCCATCTGGGACTTGATTTCATGATCCCGCTGGATAGCAGTCAAGTGATCATCTAGTGCTTCAGCACTAGATAGTAAACATATTAATGGCTCATTCATCATGATAGTCACAATTTTTACGGAATCCAGAAACAGATTGAAGAAATTCAGATCCAAGAAGCTAAGAGTTGTTTACATGTTACGCTGGTACAAGGTGTTGAGTTTCCAGTCTGTTTCCCTTCTTGCTTCACTATACTTGTCAATACGAGCAAATGCTGAAGCATCCTTTTGATATTTTCTCATCAACTCCATCTCCAATGCCGATAGTCGTCTTCTAATCTCCACCTATACCGGATTTACTTTCCCATAAACTAACTAGTACAACATATGCCAAATCATAAGCAGTAATCAAACGACTTCCCATCCACACACCTTTAGTTCAAGTTGATGTTCATCAATCAGCTCAAACAATGCAGCTTCCACCAACCCAACTTCATCCATTAAGTAAGGTTGAACATCAAGAGCGCCAAACTCCTGACCAGAATCCTCATTCTCTCTGAGACACATCGACGAAAACATACGCAACATTATGACTGATACCGATACATATACCATAGAACCTTAGCTCAACTACTAAAATTCGTTAAGTTCAAAACTTTAACATAACCCACAACATGCACATTACCCTGCATTAGGGTTATCAAAATTGATTCGCTTCGCCGCTACTAAACCTCGACTATCATCCTCCTCACCGTCAGAAATTTCCAGCTCCTCGTCAGATACTCTCATGGAGAATGCCGCTGGAAGCCTCTTCGCTTTTTCCCCATTCGTACATCCCCTGGAACAAAACCCCCCGTCAAAATTCACGACCCAAATCAATCCAAATCGGAGAAATCAAGCTTCCGACCGTCTATTTTGAACTGTGGGGGGAAAGAGGGTTTGAGTACCGAGATTGATTTTTAGCAAAAGGTGCGGGCAAATTGGCCGACGAACTAAGCTTCTCCTCGAGCGAATCGAGCTCCGACAACAGAGACTCGAAGCTCCAGTTTGGCTCGGGTTCGAAAGCAATCCAGTGAACTCTCTGCGGAAAACGAAGCTCCAATTTCCCACCTCCCCTGAGACAGAATCTTGAAAAAGTCATAAACTTTGGGCGACGGAGGGAGGGAATTCAGCACATCGGCGAGTTAACTACGTACATGATTCCGGCGTAACTTCAACGGATTGCTGGAACGAATTGAAGGGGAAGGAAATGCGAGGAAGGAGAACGCGCGGTTGGCTTGGCTATATATACAAGTTTCAGAATTCCGAAATTTTGGGGGATTGGGTTCCGTTATTTTCCCGCTGGCTCGATTTCTGTTGGGCTTCCTGGGCTTCCGCATGTTCGGGCCGGGGAGGAAAGTTTGGCCCAGATGTTTTCCGTGTCCTATTCGGATTAGTTATGAATGGAAGTATTGCAGAAAAATATTATAACACAAAAAGCCAAAGTAATATAGCAATGAATTCTCTCAGATTGTAATGATCCAGATGTTTGTATTGAAAAAAATCATAGATGTTGTTTATCTTATCAAGAAGCATAATTTGTGAACAACCTCTTACTGCATTGTCCATCCTCGATCACGACGGATATTAAGTTATTTGTTGTTTCCCATGAGCACAAATGGACCCTTGTCTTGGAAGTGCACACAAGTTTCTATTGCAGTAGGACGATATCAGTAAAGGCTTAAAAAAAGAGTGTAGCAAGCTTCTGTCTTGTGATGTGCGGTGGAACATCTGTTTAGAGCGAAATGCAAGAACTTTACAACTGATAAATAAATGGGGATAGGGTGGGGGATAAGAAAAGAAGTGTAAAGTTCAATGATGTAAAACTTTCAAAAATTTCCATTTATGATATAAATTCATGTCTTCCAAAGCAACAAGAACAAACATATCAAATTGAAGGCACGATATACAATTGGTGCAAAGAAAAAACAATAACATACGCTTTTGACGAACAGTCGATCAACACCTCGAGCACTCTCGTGCACCTGAACCAACCTAATCCATACCATACACTCTACTTTTAGCTTTTTGTTCCTGGTAGGAAAAATAAAGAGAAAAATTATTATAAAAGATCGATCTAAAGATTGAGATGTTTTGTAAATAATGAAATAGGTCAAGTTAATTCGAACTGAGCTAACCTCTTTCTCCCAATTTGTTTACTCGGTGCGAGTTCGGGTTGGAGATCTGGACTGAAGTAAGAAGAATGTGTGGTGATTCCTTCGCCCCACAAGAGCAGATCCTAGACACCATCAAGTGTTGGAAGAGTGACGTTCCGGACACTACGACGGACTGGATCGGCTTCTGCATTCTCCACGCCGTGTGCTGGCAAATTTGGCTCGAGAGGAATAGGCGTGTTTTCCAGGATGCTAGCAGAAGCGCCAAGGAGGTCTTTTGGATTGCTATCAGATCCACGGCGGATTGGCTAGTCGCGAAAGGCAAGATCAGCAGGATTCAGGTGATGGAGTGGCTCCGCCCCTTGAGGCTGAACTGACACAGGGGCATTTTTCGGTGGGGTTGTTGCCGTGGGTTCGTTCGCTGGCTGTTGTCGTGTTTGTCGGCTGCCTTTCAGGTGCTGGGCTAGTTGGAATCCTCTGGTATCCTTGTTCGGGTTCGGGTTGCTGGTGGCGGCCGGGTTGTTGACCGCGCCTCGCCCCTGTCTTCTTCTTCTCTCTGTCTGTTTTCCTCTGCTCTTCTCAGTGATGGTTGTGGTCGGATGGGGCTTTGATTCCCGTTAGTTTGACAGTTTGGTCTTGGTCTTGGTCCTTGTTTCGTGAGGGACTTTGCTCTCTGTGCGTGGCTGTCCTTTTCAGGCTGTCGGGTGTTTCTTTTTTTTTTTTTTTTTTTTTTTTTTTTTTTTTTTTTCGTTTTCTTTTCTTTTCCGTGGGTGCTGCACCTCTGGTGCCGCTTTTTTCTTTCTGTATCTCGGACTGGTTCCGTTTTGGTTCTATTTTAATGCAATTCTCACCCTTATCAAAAAAAAAAAAAAAACAATACTTTAGAAACCATTGCTATTTGGATTCCTATCCAAAGACCCTATCAATAATCACACCCATCAACAATCCACATTGTGCATACATACCAATCTAACATATATAAGAAACCAATCAAAATTTTAGGGCACATTGTACAAAATATTGTATACCTTTCCTCCCAAATGGTAGACAAAAGCTAATACTATGGAGCAAGGAATTCCTAGTAGATAGAAAGCACCCAAGTTGACAAGAGCTCCAAGCTTTTGCCTTCCACATCCCCTACAAATGCCTGCCCAAGAAATTAGTTTCATATTATCTCAGATGAATGATACAAATGCCTGTTTGTTGGCAACAATCACATATGAAACCTGCAAGAACGCCATTGATGGCATCAAACACATGGAAAGCCGCAATCAGCACCATCATCTCTCCGATGTATTTCACCACTCTCTCTTCCTTGCTGTACAATGGACCCCAGACATTCCGGCCGAATACCAGGACCATTCCGGCCAGGCCTGCCTCCGCCACGGCGACGACCACTGCGACGAGGATGGCTAGAAGTGCCGACCTTGGCCGCCCGGCACCAAGCTCATTCGAAACCCTAGTGCTAAAGGAAGCAAACGAACAAGTGATGAGATGAACTTAGTTAAAAACTAGTATGATATAATACGATCATTCTGTAGTTTTTTAGTGGGTTCAGACAGTGGCTTATTGTGGCCAAATCTCTCACCTCACGGCATCACCGAGCCCAAGTGGTATCATGAAGATCAGTGTGTATGTATCCAAGCTGCAAAAAACACATCAAAGCAAATTGGGTAATGATTTAATTATATATATATATATATGGTCATGCAATTATATATATATATATATATGGTGGCTATTTCGGTGCACTCACTTTTTTTAGTGCATTGAATGCACTCACTTTTCAGATTAATCTTCACCGTCAAATAGATCTAACGACTGAAATTTTTTTACGATAAAATAATTAACTAATAACAAATAATTTATTTATATTTCATTAAAAAGTAGAAATTTATTAATAATTACAATTAGACCCTGATTCATTTAAAACGAACCAAATCTGTTTGTTCCTTTCATTCCGCTAGACACTTTGATTATTTCCACCACTCCAGAATAGTATCGGCCTCCCGTTTTCAGCAAAGGATGAAGACCGACTGTTAAAATAAAAAATAAAAAACAAAATGAACATCGCCGCAAAAGATAAGGACACCGAGAGTCCCCTTGCCGGTTTAAATCGATCTCCCTTCAATTGCGAACTTGAAGGTGGTGCAGTAGATTTGAATGGGCTGTTATGGTAATGGGGCATCTAGCATTACCATTCATCATTCTGGATTTTTAATGGTCTTGTCGTGGTATTGTAAGTGATTTTCCAGAAGCAGGTGATATGAATAAGCTAACACCCCTGCAGTGGAAAACCTTGTCGAATGTCAACACAGTGGCATATGTTAAGATACTGGTGCTTGCTTTCACTGGTCCTTGATCTTCTGGTGAAGGTTTAGTTGCGAGGATGATGATGCCAAGCCACTGGACAAGAATCATCACCGACTTTCGTTGACGGAAGAAACTGGGTGCTCGATGGCGGTTGGAAAGCTGGACGTCGGCCACTAAGAAGAATAAGAATCGACGCTTGAAGATGATTGTTTGTTATGTACGTTGGTGTAAGGAAGAACTCAAGAAGTCTCTATTGGTGTGAAGAAGACGAAGAAGAAGGGGGAAAATCGGGAAGATGAGGGTTATAGTTAGGGGCCTTATTGCAATTATCAATAAATTTAAATTCTTCAAATAAATATAATATAGTCTATTAATTAATAATTAATTATAAGCAAATTAAATTATTCTAACCGTTAGATGTATTCAATGGCTAAGATTAAACAAGAAAGTGAGTGCGTTTAGTGTACCAAAAAAATGAGTGCACCGAAGACGTCGCCATATATATATATATATATATAATATAATATTTCCACATTAAAATTTAATGGATTATATCTCACTCATAGAGAACTTCCACTTTTAAAATTTTGTTCACATAAAAATAGTATTAATTTATAAAATTACACCCACTTTGATATATTATTATAAAAAAATGCTTTTAGCGAGACATTCTTTATCACATCATTGTAGTAAATCTTGGTGTCACGGAAGGTTATATTATGGCAGTATGAAAAAATATCATGGTGTTAAGAATGAGCACTTCTACTATACTATAAAGTATTGGTGTTTTAATGTACAACTTGAGTGGTCCGAGATCTCAAAGGGTGGAGTTGGTTAAATTTTGGGTGTTGGGGTCTCCGTTCTTTATACGGTTTTCGATCCGGTCTCAAACGATTTTTTACCTCAAATCTAAGCTCGAATATAAAATTGGATTGTTTGCTATCCGGTTACGGTCCGGGTTATACGGCCCAGTTTCGGGTAAAACCAAACCGTCCGGACCAAATAGCCGGTCCTAGTGAGCAGGGTACTGCAACATGTAGGAATCACTATGTAATTGGGCAGATTCTCCAGCCACATTGTCCTCGTTGTTGATTCTTCGTAAATGGATGAACAAGATCTCAGGCAAATATATAAGAACCGAATATCATTTAGTAGAGTACCCCAATAAACTCATTCATCATTCCCTACAAATTTACCTAGCTAGCATATTCAATTTCCTCTACTAGTTATTTTCTATTTTTGCTCTCTCTCTCTTCTAAGAATAGGAATAGTACTATCTATCTATACATAATATTATAGCAATTCAAAAGTAGTTTGTTGCCACATAAGCATTTGGAGAATTTACAAGGTGCCATGGTGGACAATTTTTTTACAAACAAAAAAGTTAGTTAATGATCAATTAATGTAGAGCTATCTATCTTTTTTTAATATTTTCTTTTTATTTTAATAATCATTTATGTAGCTATCTCTATCTTCTTTTAATGTTTTCTTTTTTTATTCAATAATTGTATTTTCCAATATATATGTGTAGTAGTAGTATACTTATGTTTGGAGAGTGACATATATTGTAATGCTTCAAAAAATATATTTGATTAAATCTTATCAATTAATTTTTCTATTTCTTTTTATTAGAACTTAATATATGTTATATTTCGATAAAAAATAAATTAAACATACAGATAAGTAATAAAATAATTTAAAAAATATAATGAAGGAAGTTTAGATAATCAACATTTAATAATCAATTAAATTTTAAAAACCAACTATATAATTTTATGTTTTGGTTATCAAACGCTATCTTTTTCTAATGTTTGTATCTATCAATGAAAACAAGTATTAAATAGCAAAATGCTTCAAAAGTTGTTTTTTCATTTTGATAGAAACTTGATGAAGTCATAATATAGTACCTAATTGTACAAATGAAGACGATAAAAGAAAGATAATGTTTCTTCTCTCTTATAATGCATGCTTCCATACCTTATTTTCTCTTACATTTGTTCATACTTTCCCTTATTTTTCTTAACAGTTTACATATTTCGGTCAAACAAAGGTGTTAATTACACTTAAAAATACATTAAACTCTCTCTATATATAAAGAGTTTAATTATAAACAAAAACCAATGGTCATGATTCGTTAAAATCTATGCAACAAATTACATGCACAATCTTAGGGGTGAAGCTCTATGATTAAGATAACTAAGACCTAGGGTTCACTCATCAAGGGTTAGGGTATATAGTATCATGCCCACAAATCCGGTTAATTCGTGGTCCAGATAGCATTTTCTTACTTAGAGTATAAGATCATGCTTAGATATTGACAATAGATGTGGCATTACACCAACAAAATGAAGATATTAGTATAAGTAGTGGATTTTTTTTATCTCAAAACAAACACCAAAGATAAATAAATTTTAGCAAATGCATATTTGATAAGTTAGAAAATTATACAACAATGGACCATGTTAAGATTAGAACCCTCGACAGTGTGTGAGTATCTTGGACCGAGATTCTAAACCAACATTTAAACAACGACCATGAGTTGAGGGCGAGTTTATATTAAACTTCAGGAATTAACAATTGGTACATATTGTATAAGATATTAAATTGAGTGTCTTGATAGACAAATATGATCTTACACTAAGACAGTAAAATTTCAATTGGGATGACCAAATCCATGTAATATTGAGAGTCTTGGTACATATTAAGTTGTCGTCATCTGAGCAACATCATTGGTTGAGAGTTCCTCCAAACTCGACATTCATTGAATGACATATATTGTATAAGCAAAAAAAAATTTGATTATCGTTATTGACAAATCTTGACATAAGATTCTATATGGGACGTGATATATCTTTGTGACATGATTTATGATCAGTGAATCGAAGCATTATAAGTGAATGTGTTAAGTATTGAGAATTTTTAATTTATAGACGCATCGCATACTCACCAAAGAATGCAAATGTAAAAATTTTAGAAGATCCAAAATAGTTTAAATATATAGATAAATTGATTAATGTAAATGGTAAAATTAAACTCACCGGCCATCAGGCCGGGTAAAAAGCTAGTATAATAGAAATTAAACACTAGCTGAAAATATGCATATTTAGCAAACCTTATGGACAAGACAGACGTTTCGAGCTTTGGATTTGGAAGCAAGCCTCCCAATAGCACCACCATCTCGTACGACCATTCCTCCAAGCTACATGCTTCTAGCTAGTTAATTAAACCCACAAGGATCAACCAAACTAAAAACTCAAAATATTATATATCAAGACCAAGATATTCAACGTATATATGCATAAATATAAAAATCTTCACCTGACCATGATTGCAGAAGGAACGGCCAGCCTAACGAACCCCGGAATCCCACGCAACGCCTCTATAGACCAACCGGTCCAAGTCCGTTTGCAAGTCGGAGAAACCCTAACGTACACAAACATCGCCACGGCGCTGATCCAGCACGAGATCCCATTCGCCAAAGCGGCACCCCGACTCCCGAGCCCGGCCCAGTAAACCAGGGCCCAGCAGAGCGGCACGTGGAAGAGCGCGGTGGCCCACGTCGCGACCGTGTACGGGACCACGTTGTTCTGCGACTGCAGGAACCTGTAGTGCGGCTCGAGGATCGCGAGCCCCAATACGCTCGCGATCTCGAACCGCGCGTACCTCCCCGCCTCGGCCGAGATCTCCGGGTCCTGGCTGAGGCACAGGAGGATCGTTTCGGCGTGAGCCGAAACGAAGGAGAGCGGGATGGCGGCGAGGAGCAGGACGATCGTGGCTCGTTGTAGGTGGGTCCCGAGCGCGTGGTACTCCCCGGCTCCGTACGATTGTCCGCATAGTGTCTCCAACCCACCTCCCAGTCCTCTCTGTGAGAGAAAAGAACGTAAGTTTCGTATTAAGACGAGTTATTGAGATGAGTTGGTTTTGTGTTTTTTTGTTTACTTTACGTACCAAAAGGGACCAGGCGGTGACGGACGTGAAAGAAGTGGCCATGGAAGCGCCGGCGAGGGGTAACTCCCCGAGATGGCCAACGAACATGAGGGAGATCAACTGGAGAAGGTACGTCAAGAAGTTGACGGAGACGAGTGGGCCGGCGAGGCGTAGCTGCTGCTTCACTTCTTCCACGACCTCGCTCTTGCTGAACTTCGCCCTACCGCCATCTGTGGCAATAGTACCGATCAATGGAGTTTGGAGATGATGAACACTTGGCTTGTTGGTCGCATCATGAAGAAGATCCATTTTTGGTTTGTTTTGGTTTTCTTCTCTTTGAGGAACTACTTCAGCGGCGAATACAGAACATGTTAGATCACTCGGCCGCATTTAAAAAGTGATGGAGAAAGCTAGACCGTAACTCAATAAACACTGAAATATATACCAAAATAAAAAATTTACAAGTACTATACGAGTTTTGAATCCGGGGAGGATTGGGTCGTGGCCCGGGGGCGGCCCCCCATAGATCCGCCGCTGTTACTAGTTTCGTTTCTTGTTTGGTTCGATATCAACTTTTCGTCCGGGATGGTTGGTTACGTTCTTTGGGTTGGTGTACTCATTTAAGTATTCGACCGATGCATATCACACGGATCAAATCGATGAAGTGGGTTGTAAATATGACTATGAACTATGATCTCAATCGTGAACTATACAGTGTGTTTTCGAGTAACCGAAAGCTAACAAATGAGGTGGAGAATTGTATATATGGCTCATTTTTGCACGTAGTAACATTGAAAGTGTTCCATCAACATCATCATGCATTAATGTATCTCACTTTCCTTTGGTTATTAGCTGGAGGTATTGCAACTGGCATTCCTTATTGGCTCATGGGGTGCTTTCCAAGGACAAGAACTCCTCGATCTACCGCTATCTACCGCTGGCTTTCGTGTACTGCCCAATAGCATGTGGACACACATCTTTGGTAACTAACACTGTGTTCTAGAAGGAGAGAAAAAGGGGGGAGGGGAGGGAAAAGTGGGGTGGAAAACAAGGTTTTCCATAAACTTTCCTTTGTTTTTTAAGGAAGGAAAAGTGCAATGGAAGAGAGAATAGGAGGTTTAATCTCCTATAGAACCCAACCCTCCTATTTGGAGAGAAAGTTTTCCAATTGCATTGCTTAATTGTTTTTAGCTTTTCTAAGTTTGGCTTTTGCTTCTTTCTTTTGTTACGTAAATTATTAGTAAGTTTGACAATGGATTAATTAACCTTTTCTTTTTGGTCACCTATTATAGGTGATTAACTAATAAACTATTATTATTTCTTAACATAATGTAAGAGTGATGGTTTATCGTCCTCTTAATTATTAAATAATTCATTTAAATTTTAAATATTATTTTCATACGTGGAATTTAACGTATCGCATACGTGTACAACACATAAGCGTCGTTATGCTGGTTTGACAAGTGGTATTTTCCAGCCAGTGATACAACTGGTAGTCCAGTTACAACGAACGAGATATGTTCCGTTATACAACTGGTTTGACATGAATCGCAATATAGATTCGTTTAATGCAGTCAAAAGCGATTCTACATAGAAGCGTTTGGACGACCTAAAAGCGTAAAATCATAAGTTTAATGTTTTAAAAGCGATTTTGGCTACGCTTGTGAGTTAAAAGTGCGATTCTACGTAGAAGCATTTTGGTAATCAAGAAGTGTAAAAGCGTGAGTTTTAAATTTTCAAAGCGTAGAAGCCTTATAACTTAGATTAATAGTGTGAATAAATTTGATCTACTATTTATAAGTAATTAACATCAACACATAAACAAATTATTTTACTATTACATAACCAATAAATTAATATATCTATCACACTTTTCAATATAGTTTTCTCTTTCCACTTTCCCTTCACTTTCCTCCATAAAACAACATTTTCTCTTCCATTCAATTTTCCTTTCTCTCCATTTCTCTCCCCTCTAAATTTTCCTTTCCCTTCATTTTCCTCCCTTCCTTCCTTCGAGAAACCTACCCACATTTCTTGGAACGTGCACGAAATGCCACAAAAAAGATCGCACTCATTAGTCATTACTCTAGGTGATGTGTTCGATGGGGAGGTTGCAACTCATGGTACTTGGTAGTTGGTAGTAGGTGAACGACGCCATTTATAACATTTTTAGAGTTGCACAATTTCTATTAGAGTGGGTATTATCCTCAACGGTTTGGTTTCCGCACTTTAATTTGAAGGGATAAAAGAGGTCTAGTTATCAGTTATGGATCTTATACTATTTACTAATACGTTTCCTCATGCATATGTATGGAGTTTATGTTATGATATTTAAGAGTGTTTGTCCAACGTTGTGTTGGTGTTGTTTCTTGTTATGTGGTTTGGTGCAGCTTCGGATGATGTGCAATGCATCAAAGAATGTTGCTACTGATCAGTTTATATAGTATTAGGAGTCTATCGATGTAACAGATAGGAGACGTGTAACTCTTGCTAAGTACAAATGAAAAGTAGAAGTATTATTTCGCTAGAAAAATCAGTGTATGAAGCTTCTACCTAGCTCATGAGGTGTATTGGAACATTTGGTTAGAGCTAAATGTAAGAGCCTTTGGCTATGTTCTACCTACTTACGTTTCGATTTGGTTAATATTGAGGCCAACATCCTTCTAACTATAAATGATCTAATGTGGGGTTAATCGTCTCGTTTTTTACCGATGATATCATTGTTTCAACTCTCCATTATATTCTTCGAAAAAGAGTTTATTTTATGATCAGTCATTTACTGTTTCGTCTGTAGACAATACGATCCCTCTCTAGTACACGATTACTATAATATATATATATATATATATATATATATATATATTCTTCGAAAAAGTGCACGATTATTAATATATATATAGTGGCGTATTCGGTGCACCCACTTTTTTGGGTGTACTCAGTGCACTCGTCTCATAATTGTCATTATGAGCATGCGATTCATGTCAAAACGGTATCAATTGTTGCTTATGATATTATGAACAAGAAGCACATGAATTTGAAGAAAAAAAATCATTCAAAATTTACTTAAATTCAAGGGATTTAGGGATTTAGGGTTAGGGTTTAGGTTTACAATTTGGGATTTTGGGTTGGGATTCAAAATTGAATGTTAAGGGGTTAGGGTAATTGATTTGATTTGTTATGATTCTATGTCATCTCATCATATTATATTGAGAGTGTTAATTCAAGTTCAAAATTTGATGTATTATGGACACTTTTAGAGTTGGGTGCAAAAGTGAGTGCGCCGAAGTAGCCACCTATATATATATATATATTCATAAGTAACAATTGATACCGTTTTGACATGAATCGCATAGTCAGAATGACAATTATGAGGCGGGTGCACTGAGTGCACCCGAAAAAGTGGGTGCACCGAATACGGCACCATATATATATATAAAGGTAAATACTGTTTCCTGTTCACGAACAATGTTCTTTTATTAGGCTTATGAACATTGGTATATATAATTGGCACTTTAAAATATGGGTTGTGAGAAGAGTTGTTTGATTATGGGCTGTGAGAAGTGTTGTTGGGATTGGGAGATTCTAAATCCATTTTGCAGTTTTTTTTGTTTCGCGTGGCGAAATATAGCTACTGTTTTTGCTTTATCTCAATAGGATTTTCCCCTTTTCTCTTCTAGAGGTTTGGTGCTCTTTAGTGAATTTTTTTTGAATATGTATGGATTAGGATTTTTGGAGACTTCACGGTTATTGGTACACCGACATGGAATCCATTTTTTTAACTTTCAAGGAACTAATTCCATTGGTTTTTGGTAATCTCTTACTTCGGCCTTCCAAGTGTGAAGAGAAGTAGTGGTAGTCTGGTAGATTACTAAAGTAGTGTGCTAATAATTTGTGGGTATAGTGATTTCACATGATTTATTTGTTTGAGTATTCCTTTCTTTGTCGGTCTACTATAATGTGTTCCTAAATTACATCATGGGTAGTTGTTTGGCTTTTCTATATGACTAACAATGATTGGTTCTTAAATCGTTGATCGAGATTATTGAATGAGCTACTCGAAGCTCGGTAGCAATCGAATTTGGTTTCAATTAGAATTGAAAGACAAGAGTGGTTATTGGAAGCTCATTGATTCTTTCAGGATTGTTTCTAGGTTTAATTCACACACTACTTCATTTTAATCACTGTTGTAGTTAATTTCAATTGTCGTACCACAAGTAGTGATGGATAAATGCATTGGAGAGAAATTTGAAGAAATTGGTCAATCTTTATTATATTTTGATTCTGATCTCATACTATTAATTGTGCTTAGTCTAAAGGCATGGTTGATTTCACACACTATAAAACATAATATAAGTGGAGCAAATATGGAACAAGTTGGCTGCTACTGTCAAAGTTAGTTTTCACGCCGAGACAACTCTATGACATCATATGATGAGCTTAGTCAAACAAAGGGTCGCACATAACAATTATCAAAGATGAGGACTTACAAAATGCATATAGTGTAAAAGAAAGTTTCTTAAATTTAAATAAATATCAAATACCCGAATACATAAATGTAATGAATATAAATGAATACATCTATACTATTCCATATCAAAGTTAAAAAAAAATGGTGCATTTGGTCAATTTGCTAAGTCCAATTTTACACAAAAGACAATTTTCTAAATACTTTTTATCATCCGCGACAAAGTGCGGTGGATGGCTAGTTGACTTATAAAATTTATTTCTTATTTTCTTTTTCTTTCATTCAATTTGTACCACCACTGAATTAGAATTACTTGGTAGAGATCTACATCAGTTGTACGTGGAGTAGGTAACAGTTCCATTCAATTGGAGTTGAGAGAAATTAATTTAGTAAGAAGTGGAGCCGACAACAAATTAGGTTTCAAAATCTGAAAGAAGGGGTGTTGTTGTGAAATGTAAATTTCAAACTACACTCTGCACCTATTTTCATTGGTGATAGCAATTGGTCGGGCATTACTTTATATCCATATCCTTCCAGTATTAAACGCGAATTAGGTTGGATAATACTTGTGTGAGTATAGGATGAGGTGACTCAATTGATTCCTATTTGGTACAAGAAAATCTTATAAATTAACGAGAGATACAATATAAGGAATAGTTAACTCTAAATAATTAAAAGATAGAGTTATAAAATTTCTTTGAGATAAAAATATAATTTTAAGAAGTCAAAAGAGGAGAAATACAAAGGGGATAGGACATATCTAAATTAAAAACTATATGTCCCCCCACACGCTATTGCGAGTCAGAAAATATCCAGCCCTAAACATATCATAGTACGCGAATCAGATAAGAAATTTACATCACTAATCTTCCATAACAACAAAGTGGCTCGTCGTTTCGTCAACATTGAGAGTTATGGAGATTCGAACATCGTCACCGAGATGAAGTGGCCAAGGAAGCGCCGGCGAGTGAGATGGCCGACCAACGTCACCGAGATCGCTTGCAGCAAATACGTCAAGAAATTGAACGACACATGTAGCCTAGTTAGCCCCATCTGCGCGCTTCCTCATCTCTCCAATATGCGAACTAGCATTGGGCCCGGCCCGTTGGCCGGTGAAGTACAAAATTGGTGCATGTCGTTGTATTATATTGGCCAGTAAAGTATAAAATACTCATGCAAATTTGAATTCTTAACTTCGACCACTCCATCGGCATGCATTGGTCATAATATCCATTATGTTGAAAGGTAATTATCATGATTGTTCCTTCAAGAATATCATCACATACACCAACCAATATGCATATTCAAGCAACTGTATAATTGGCTCAATAGTTGCATGGATAAACAATGGGGAAGAATGCATAGTAGTATTGCGAGTAATCCACTTCAAATGGTTGTCCAGTGAAGGCCATACTATCTTCAGTTAAGTTAACGAAAGAAAATGTTTTTACTCTTTAACAATGAAGAATTTATGCACTATGAACACGTAGTGATATCTTAATAGTGAAAATTGGGTTGATATGAATGAATAAACTCATGGAATGGTGATAAAAGAAACCCAAACATCTAATATATGTGAGTTTAAATTTTCGAAGTCACATTCAAGTACACACATCCAGCCCAACAAAGCTTGAAAAACTTGTCAACTGCGTATAATGTTTAAGCAAACACATATGTTTGAGGTATACAACAACACCATTCTTTCTTATAGATCAGTTTTCCTTGAAACTAATAGTCAACTTATGATCTCTAAATTTCCACAACCAAATCTTGGCTATTCGAAATTGTAGACATGCTGATGTCAGTTGCAAACTCAGCTAATGGAACCACCCCAACTGCTGCTCTCTTTCTATCAACAGTGTGTAGTAGTATGTTGGTAGCTGCTGCCAAATTAATTAAAAAAAGAAGCTAACAGATTGATCATTGTCCATTGATCTAACAGATTCCCCTCCTAAAAGAAGTAACTTAAATTTTAAAGATGCTCAACCCCAGTTTCGAACTTGCCTTCATCTCCATCAATCTCTGCATCAACGCGTGGGAAACTATAGTGCAAGCGGAAAGGGTTTACATTTGCCGCGTGTTCTCCAACCCCGCCTTGAATCTCGATGAATGTGGTGGAAAACAGAGTTATGGGTTTGTGAGCTTCCGATTTCGTGATTGCAGACATTCTTTTCTACTTTGTCCCTTCACTGCAATTAGAAGTAAACACAAACCAAGGTGAAGAAAGGGTGATTATTGGATCTCTACGTAGTAGGCTAGGCGGGTCATGGAGGGGATACATCTTTTCTCCAACGTGTTTCTACTTGAGATGTAGAGGAAAATTGATTTGGCTACCAAAGCTCAGCAAAGAAGCCATGAAATTACTTCTCTCTGATGAACTCCTGAAATCCCTCAAAATATGAATTCCATTGATGCATGCATGTTGTTCTCTATCTATCGACTCATGGAACAAATACATCAATGCAATGGCATGAACTCTGTTGGTAGGTGAGCTTTCCACCACACCCATAAATCATTCTAATCTACCTATCCTTACATTTCTCTTCACTATTTTGCTTGAATGATTTTGATTCTTAGGATGGATCTTGTTTACGTGTGTTCGTTTATGCATGCAGGGGAAACTATTAGAGTAAATATGGACTGAATCGCACATATATTGGAGAAACTATTTAGCAACTGACAGCCTCCTTTTGCGAAAACTGGGGGCAAAGGTGACAAATTTGAAAAGGATTTAGGATGTTTCGTACCTTTGGTAGCAGATGACTGCAAACAGGGACGATTTTGGGAGGCACAGCGCGAGAGGAGAAGGATTATTTGCTCGATTGTCGGATTTGGAAGGGGATTCCGGGGACCGATTTTGAGAGGCATAGTGCGAGAGAAGATAATTGCTCCGCTCCGCGGCGGGGTTTGGAAGGGGCTTCCGAGGGCGGTTCCACAATCGAGAATAATAGTTCACTGGATGTTTGGAAGGAGACTTTCGGCGACTGCGCTGGGGATTCGAAAGCATGATTGAGAATGAAGCGATGATTCAGGACGGTTCGGTTGGATCTCCAGGAGGGTTTGAGAGGCGAGAGAAAGAAGGATTAAGGAAGTTACAGGAAGGTCCCTCCGTGGTGTGCAGGTTATGCAGGAGGGGCTGACGTGGCAAATCAATTATATTGACATTGGCTTATAGTGTTTTGTAGATGTAGAGTAGTCTTGGGCCCATTAGGAACCAATATCCTAGCCCATCTATCTGCACATGATCAGAATTCATTGAGCCCTTTAAGTTTACTTTTGTTTTGCAGACAATATAATATTGTCGAGGATGGTTTTGTGAAGTTGATCCCATTGACTTGAATTGTAGGAATATAGGTTCAAACATCATGTGCTTATTAGTGGAATCGCTGAGATTCGAACAAAATAATTCTCGGTTACAGAAGGATCGAATATTATGTTAAGTACCAGTTGCACGGATAAGAATATAATGTGCTTATAACGTTCTTACCAAATGGGATCGTAATGATGCAAACATAAAACTTTCCGATCATTGAATAAATTAATTAATTTCAATAAATCAAATTATTATAATTTCTACAAATCTTATATAATTTATTAATCATATTAATTTAACAACTATTCAATTACATATAGAATAGATTAAGAAATGAGCAAGGTTGTCAACCTGCAGGTTGACCCGGATCCGGTCGAGCTAGTGGGTCATTATATTGTACTTATCCTGATAAATTATATCAAATCTTATCTAACATATGAGTAATAACATATAACATTACACCAAAGTAACATGTCATACTTAGATCCAACATATAGTGAAAATTCACACACACTTATATTACATAAATATTCAAATGTTCAACTAAAGATTCCAAAGATTGAGTTAGGTGAAAAGAAAAATCGGAAAATAGATGCATTTCGCAAATCAAACAAAAAATGACACAATTTGACCTCCAACCCGATACCTTGTAGCGGTCGATCCGATAAATACGTGCGACCCATTTTTCTCATCAGGTCGGGATTAAAATGGGTCGATCTGCAGGTTAACAACTTTGGAAATGAGCCGTGGAGACTGGAGTGCAGGCAACGGGGCCCAACGGCGTAGACATTCATGAATAATCAACGAGTAATTTGGTGATCGCCATGATAATGCGGCTACGTTGATTGAGGTATCTTGAAATGAAAGCCATCAATTTCTGCGATAATTATGGCCATTATATTATTCGATAATCGATTTTCTACCCCAACCCACCACTCTAATCATTTGATATAATATTGCTCTCACCACACTCCAGAATATAGTCCTACATATATATTCTTGCCCCTCAATCATCCTTTCCAATCACTTAAACCATAGAAGAAAATTTGTATGTTTTGTAGAAGTGTGTGCCCTTCTAGTCTTTACTACTTGGCGATGGTAGCTCATAACATTCTAGTTGCGATCCTGTCCACTCTAGATAGTTATCTTTTCGATGTTAGCTAATAAGATTACTGGTAGGGGCGGAGACACTATGTATTTAGGGTGTTCCATGGCACACCCTTGAATTGAGACTAGAACATTTAAAATAGGGGTATTAGTTTATACTATAGCTAGGATTTGAACATGAAACCCCCTTGATATTAGTTTTGACATTTTCCATTAAACACAATTACTTACGTGATACACAAATATGTTTTATTGTATATCTATAATTAATTTACCATTTACATATAATAAGTAAATTAAATTAAAAAAAACTCATAATTGCATGCTTTTAACAAGCAGTAATCGGAACTTAATTTAGCCCTAACAAGCAAGACTTCTCCTAGTCCCACCCTGAAGGTAACATTGCTGCTACCAGTTGTCACTGCAAGTGTTGAAAGAGTATTTTCGGCAATTAACTACGTGAAGAACACTCTTCGGAGTCGAATGAGTGATGATATCATGAATGATTTTTTTGGTAGGATACATTGAGAGTGACATTCTTAATAGTCTGGATGATGAATGAATTTTACAGATTTTTCAAAATATAAGAACCCGCCGTGGGTCACTATAAAATATTGATAGTCATTTTAATTATTTTTTAAGTTGACACCCCCTTACCCAAAATCCCGGTTACAATCATCTTCCACATACATTATTGTGTCTTTTATATATAGTGCATGTTTAGTTCCACCAGTAATAATAACTGATTCGTCGGTATTAAGCTGAACCTGGTTGGCTAACCCTGTGGTTTTCCAAGCTAAGTTCTAACATAATTTGGAGTTTGATGCCACATTTCTAACCTAATCTACTATGACTTATTACAAAGTCGAGAAGAAAGAAATGAATGCATCCTTTGACAATGTGAGATGAGGAAATATGACAAAAGTGCATAGAGACCAATAATTGGCCGGCTCAAATTGCCTACTAATTAACAGATACGTAACTACAAGTATTCTTTTGTTGGTACTTGGAGAAAAGCCTGGCAATTGATCCATCATCATTGATTATATTCCTTAATTGTTAATCTATAGTGATTGCTACCTACTAATTATTATCATATATAAATCATAAGTACTTAAGCAAGCTTAGACAATACAGAAGTAGCAAGCCTGTCCCAAGCTCATAGAGCCCCCAACCCAACCCTTTTCATACTTAAAGATTATGTCCTAATTAATTAATTAAGGATATACAATTAGTTAATTACTCTGACAAAGTATCCTGAGATTATTCTCTATATATGATTGAAGGTTCCTTTCCTTCTACAAGGATATCTATTTTGAACACAATAATATGCTAGCTCATTACCAAATCATTAGAAAATACCCGTGCAAAATGTAGGTATATATATGCACCCCCCAAAAAAATTATTAATTAACATATATCGAAGGAATATTGAAGGGTTCAAAGTTCATGTATTGGAATATAATTGTATAGGTACTTCTCAATCTAATTCCTTGGAGGGTCATCAAGATTTTCATTACTTTAATTCTCAACAATATTATGCTAGAATTCACCAATCAAAAGCATCCCTAGGTTATTAAAATCAAATAAATGCGTGCTCCAAAGTTCATCATTATAGTCCACTTACCTTGTTTCTTGGTTTCATATTAGACATACAAATGTGATCCGTCATAAAAGGCTTGCTAATTTCATATCTTTTTAATAACGAGCCACACCTACGACTTCAGATCCTTCTACTGTTATCAATGTCTGGTTTGATGGTGCTACCAAGCGTGGTCAAGGAGGTAGTATTGGTTTTGTCGGCTTTCATGCAACAGGTAATGTTCTATTTGCTTTTGGAAAATTTTATGATGGGATTCAGGACCCATTTCTCATGGAATGTTTAGCTCTATGAGATGCAGTCCAATGGTGTCCAACTCATTCCTTTCTTGTTGTTCGTTTTCATGGGGACTCTCAACTCTTGATACGCCGGATGATTGGAGGTGACATGCATCATATTCGGGGTGGCGCAATTTTGGAGGACGCAAGGAGCTTGGCATCTTCTTTCAACAGTATTTCGTACTGTTTTGTTTCTCGTCAACTCAATAGGGCTGCCATCATGTGACACAAAAGGTCCTCTCATCGGGAGTTCGACTACTGATCGACTCCCGCGCTTTTCTTTCTACCCGCTTGTGACTTTTGATTAATATTCTGACTTTGAAAAAAAAAATTAAAGAGAGTTGGAATTGTCATGGAAGAAGACGGTAAATCATAGCTCAATAAATTGAAATTTGGTGAATGTAAACATCAAGAAAACCTAAACAATTGTGAATTGTCTTTATATGAGATAACTCATAACTCTTGAGATAACAACAAGGGGGGAAAAGTTAGAACTTGGCATATAAGTGAATCATCTTGATTAAAAATCAACATTGAAGTCCCAAAAAAAAAACATTTTCTTCTCTTCTTTTTTCCAATTCTATATCTATCATCCTTAGCTAGCTATTCCCTACCAAACACACAAATTTGTGGCAATCATTATCGAACATGGTTGCCACCCCATCAATCTCCCTTTGACAACTCTCCACCTCCCAAAAAACAAAAAAAATTCCCCACCAACTCCCCAAACTTTCCACTTATTTATATAAACCCCCTCCTCCCTCCAAAAATTCCCCCCTTTTACAGGAACAACACTCCCCTCCCCTTCCCTCCATCCAAAACAATGCACATCAGCCCCGGCCACCGCCGGGCAGTCGCTCTACTCGTTCTCCTTCTGATCGGCACCGCCACTCGCGGCGGCGGCCAGGCTGCCATCTCCTCCTCAGCCGCAGCATTGGCGGCAAGCAAGAGGGCCTACAAGAGCGCCGCGGCCCAGTTCGTGGGCCCGCAGAACGCGGCGAGGGCGGCGCTCAAGATGCCTCCCTTGCGGTGGGACGCGCGCCTGGCGGCGTACGCGTCGCGGTACGCGGCGCGGCGCAAGTGGGACTGCGCGCTGGTGCACTCGAACGGGCCGTACGGGGAGAACATCTTCTGGGGGAGCGGGAGCGGGTGGACCCCCGCGCAGGCGGCGGGCGCGTGGGTCGGGGAGCGGCGGTGGTACAGCTACTGGTCGAACTCGTGCGCCGGCGACCAGGACTGCGGACACTACACGCAGATCGTGTGGCGCGGGACGAGGCGGGTCGGGTGCGCCCGGGTGGTCTGTTCGGGTCGGAGGGGGGTGTTCATGACGTGTAACTACGACCCGCCCGGGAATTACGTTGGGGAGAGGCCGTATTGATGATGACAAAAAAAAATCTGATTATATGATTAATCATCATAATGATTGATTAGTTTTTTTTTTTAAGACAATTCCGATTTTGATTTCCTTTTTCGATCGCTTTCATTTCTCCCATGGGCTTGGCTTGTTATAGTTTCATTGTAACTAGTGATTACTTATTGAGACATTGAGCCTGGTGGTAATGAGAAAGAAAGTGAGTTGAGGAGTAATCTGCGATATTGGACCAATGAGATCAAACTATTATTGATATATGAGCTGATTGAGTTTTTCAGTTTGTAGATATAATGATTTTTGTTTTTATCTCGTAATATAATCAAATTCCTTTTGATGCTAAGGTTTTAGAATCGATTTAATATCAATTCAATATAATTCAATTGATTATTATGACGATGTTCACTTATAACTCTTAAGTCAAAAGGAAGTGTTGATTAGTTATGAATATACTTGTGACTAGGAGTTTATAACCTGCTAGGGGAATTACATTAGGAGGGCACCTCATATTGAGATAAGAAAATTTAAGACTGGTTTTTTTTTTTTTTTATAAAAGATAATCATATATTGATACTCAAAAATAGATCATTACACCGTCTGCCTTAACCAGGCTACAAAATCAAAAGAACGACTCGCTATCGGGTACAAAGAAAGGGCCTTTCTAGCCACCACCAGATGGGCTACCCTGTTAATACTCCGACCAACGAACCGAACACTAAACCCTACGTTCTCAGCCAAGTAGAGCAACACCTCTCGGAAAATAGCACTAGCCGTACTATCACTCCCTTGAGCCAAAAGAAGTATATCCACCACCACCTTCGCATCCCCCTCAAAATGAACCAAGACACAGCCTCTGCCCCGACACCAGAGGATTGCTTCCCTGAGGGCCAACACCTCTACCAGCATTGGTTCATCAACCTCCGGGAAAACCACCCCCCTCGCAGCGACAACCGCCCCGTCCGGACTCAGCAGCACCATCCCTCCGGCCGAATGAGACACTAACCTCACGGCTCCATCCCACCTACAAATGAGATGATTCTGGCTACCAGGTGGCCCATCCGAGGTGACCCGCACAGGGGAAAACCCCTCCACTTCCCTTGGAAGCGAATCCCACTCCCTCACTTGCTGGTGATATTGCCGAAGAAGGGCTGGTATCCCAAATTGTTTGCCTTCAAAGACTACCCAGTTTCGAGACTTCCAGATCCGCCAGAGTACCGCTACAATTTCCATGACCTGGGAAGGGTTCCTAACGATGGCCAGAAGGTTCTTGAGGAAGAGAGGAAAAGTAAGCCGAGCAAACCCTGGCCCACATGCTCTAACCCCGCTAAATCCCACAAAGCACGAGCCACACAGCAGTCGAAAATAGATGTTCCATAGTTTCTGGCGCAGCCCAGCACACCGGGCAACGAGGATGAACATCCACCTTCCTGCCAATGAGAGCTTCCGTTGTGGGGAGGAACCTATATAGAACTTGCCATAGAAACACCTTCAATTTAGGCGGAATAGCCAAGTTCCACACCCGCTTCCAGCTTACATTGGGCTAATTCCAAATCACTATTTGATTGAGAATATCACTAATGATTTTGATCATTACAATTTACACATACATATTGCTGCCAGCCTAAAAGCATGCCTTTCTGGGCCGGGTGGCCTAGTTTTATTGGGCTTGTTGTCGGTGATATTCATGGTCTCACCCAATTACTTACTGGGCCTAGAAAAAGTTATGCTACATATATATTTTGTTGGTCGCCAATGAAATGTGGCTCATTTGGTAACTCGTTCATATGTTGTTTTTATCGCCCAAAATGTTAGAAGGATTCGATTTCGTTTATTAGTTATGCAGCAAATAGAATTATCGTTATAACTTTGGATATCTCACTATTCTCCTTTTTCAAAGTGATAATGTCTAAAAAAAAATTGAGATTGTATTATAACTGTATTCTCCTCCTGTTTTAATTATCTTAATAGATGGTTACATAGCGACCAAACGTATTTTTTTAATTCACATCACAACCAAATCAAAATACCAAAAAACAAACCATACCAAACAGGGCAGTCAAGTCGGGTACCGTTTTACTAAAAAACAGAACATTTTAGTGCAATCCACCGATCATGAATCCCAAAACATACAATTCAAACAACCATTAACTCATCAAAATCATACCCATCATCATTCCATGGCATCATTACAAATTACAACTTTCACAACCCACAAACACTAACCCCATTGCATAATTACAACCCATAACCACCACCACTCCCACTACTAATCAAACACACAAGCCACACATTTACAAACCCACCAAAAACTCAATACGGCCTCTCCCCGACATAGTTCCCGGGAGGATCGTAATTACACGTCATGAAAACATCCCCGCCGTCGCAAACCACACGCGCGCACCCGACGCGGGTGGTCTTCCTCCACACAATCTGCGTATAATGCCCGCACACCTCCCCATCCGCGCAGCTATTCGCCGAGTAGTCGTAGTACTTCTCCTCGTCCGCCCACGCGCCCACGGCGTCGACGGGACGCCACCCTCCGCCGCTCCCCCAATAGATGTTCTCTCCCAGCTGGAACCCTCCTTCGGGGAAGGAATGCTCCAGCCGGCAGTCGGCTTTCCTCTGGCCGGCCCACCACCGCGCGTACTTCTCCAGCTGGAAGTCCCACGCCAATGGGAGCTCCCACTTGGACGCGCGGACAAGGTTGTGGTAGAAGAGGAACTCGAGTGACTCGCCGGCGCAGCGAAAGCAGAGCTGCTTGGAGACCTTGTAGACGGTGCCGTTTGGTGAGGACGGGTTTAGGGTCGGGACATGGTCGGAGGAGCTTGCCGTGGTGGGGAGAATGACGAGGAGGAATATGTAGGAGAGGAATTGGGTTTTCATTTTGGTGATGGCTGGTGTGTTGGGTTTTTTTTTTTTTTTTTTGTGACACATTTTGATGGACGACGTTTATATATATATATAGAGAGAGAGAGGGAAGAAGGTTGAGAGATGGTTTAATCATTCAATGTAGTCCCACATGCATCACGAATTTTTGTGGTATGTGTAGACAGAGTTGCAGGCAGACGAAGATTTTTTCTAAAAAAGTATTCTTATGATCAAACATTATCGATTAGGATAATGCGGACTGCGAGATGGTGATAACATGTTTCGTGATCTTTAAGTTTGAAATCACGATCGAGGTTATTGGATGTTAGAACAAAAGGTTTGATTGGTGTTGTGTCAATTTTAAAATAATTTCACCTTCGAGTGAACATATTGAGACTTTCGATGAGCAAGAATAGAAGACCGACCAACAATCAATCGTGCCACATATCACAATGATGAGTGCGAGAATCAGGTTTAGTTAGTTTCACTAGTTTAGTGACATTGTGGATCGGGGTAGAAGAACGAGTTATAGGAAGCAACATGCATGTTCCGATCACACTAATGAACATTGATTTAGTTTAGATAACTGTTATTGACTTCCTGATCAAAGAACGGTTGGATCAATGTACTACAAAAGACGCGGTTCCAAAAGTGCATGGAGTACATTATATACGTACAATATAACAAACATTAACTTTAATTAATATCTATTACGTTCAGTCCAATCAGACACATCATGGATATTAGAATTTGTTACATATTCCGATCACAATAGCGTGAATCTTAGGAAGACTCCACTCCATCAAGTAAGGATTGTACAACCAGATCAACGATCGTAATAAAAAATGAGTGGCAGGGTATATTTTGTGTGCTGAAACTATGATTTAATTGTTTCATATCACTAAAACCACATACCCACTTTGACTCTGATAAACAATTTTTTCTACGAGACGTACCGTCGTTCGATATGGTCTACAAACACTGGTATGAAGGGATTGGCTCAAAAGTGGGAATACAAACAATATGCCTACGTATTACATATAATGCCTAGTTTAGTTTGGTGTGCATTATTGGGGGGGGGGGGGGGGGGGGGGGTTATCAATGATTAAGGGAGTATATTTTTTTGGGTTCTCGTGAGTCCCATTGTTGCACCCGTGAGTATGCTGCTGGCTGGGTTTGTTTGTACTAGGCAACACTTTGTTCTTGAGCCCACCACCACAGATTAAACAGACCATTCCAGAATGTTGCTGATCGATGAGATTACAAAATCTGCCGGCCAGACGGCTCCAACTCAACCGGAGTTCTTATTAACTCATTTGTGGTCGTGGATATAACATATATATAGCTGCATATGAGATCCACAGGACAAAGATGAAGTGGTCACTTATTCTGTGGATGATGATGATATAGCTATAGGGGGTTGCCCATGATGGTGGGACCGAACCGAACCGAATCGATGAGTGGGGTGGATTTCGGGCTTTTAAGAAAGTAGAGCAACAAAATAAAATTCTATAAGATAGACATGTTCTGATAAGTTTTTCCAAGTCCAATCTTAATGAGTTCCTTTCCTATTTCGATTCTGATAAAATTTTATTGATTTGAACAACTAGATTGTCTCTCGTCTTTACCGAGCAGGTAGCGGACATAAACCTGTAACTAACATATATCACTCTGTTGTCTTCGCATTACCATAAAAAAAAGTTCATTTTTCAAAAACAATATTAGAATTCAAAGATTTCATTAATTTTTTTTTGTGAAAAAAAAAACAAATTTGAAGGCCACATCATTCAATTTATGGTATAAAAATAAAAGAAACCTAGGGTAAAGAGAAATTTGGAATAATATTAGATGGGCCGATTTGTAGGCCGCAGTTGGAAAGACCTCATTTGACATTTTGTCCATGGGAGCCCATGAGGGGGTAGAGGTCTTTCACTTCAGCCCAACATTGACCCGCTTGTTACATAGATGGGCTTAATTCTGTTTGAAAGAAAGCGCACTACAGTGCTTCTTCCGCCCGGCCCAGCCCATTCCATGTTTTGTTGTTTTGTTTCCTCCTCCTTGAAAGAAGAGAATAACAGCGCACGTGCCCGTTTTGCTCCTTCCCTGCCATTTCCCCCACTCTCAACCGACAACCGCCGCCCATTTCCCGCCGCCGCCCGCCCCTCCATTCTTCGCCGGAATTTCCCACCAACCATTTCACCATAATTTTTATCTTCCCATCACGTTTTACTCGATTGATCTCGCTCCTTTGAATCCCTCCTTTAACGCTTGATTCACACTCTGTAAAGTCTCTGCTTTTCCCCCAAAAAAAGGCCCGTCTTCAGCAGGAAGCAAAACGGTTGATTACTTTTACTTCTGTCGATGATTCATCGTCGGGCCGCATGATTCCACCCGATTCACGTCTCGTTCTACCCGCTAGGCAGCCAGCACCGCTCCTTTTCCGCGGTGGCGGCGCCGATCGATCCTCTCTCCGGTTTGATACGGCGGCTCGATTCCGCTGCCGGCGGCGGACGTGCAGTATGTCTTCACCCGTGTGTTGCTTCGGGGAAGGCAGTTGGCGGCGGAGGAGGATGAAGGGAGGGATGAAAGTGGAGATTGATAGTGGCGGGGAGGATGTTTTGGATGCTGGAGTTGCTTCTGGATCGAGGGTTTATCCTGAACATCTTGTAATCATGGTTAATGGGCTCATTGGAAGGTAGAGGAAAAAGGGGAAAAAGATTCAGTCTTTAGTTATGTTCTGATCTATATGCTTTCTGGGTTCTTACTAATTCTGTTGGGGGTTTTGTTTTGAACCTTACGTAGCTCTGCGGATTGGAGATATGCAGCAGGGCAGTTTGTGAAGAAGCATCCGGATAAATTGGTTGTGCACCGTAAGTTATTATTTTTTGTTAATGGTGATCCTCCAATTTCATTCTCTGAGTAGCTCTTAGGGTGTTCAGCGGCTAATGAATCTGGTGTGCATTTAGCTTTCTGATAGTAGATTGAAATGTTATCTTTGAATATGTATGTAACTTCGATATTGTGGCTTGGTTTTGGAACCAGGGAGTGAATGCAACTCATCTAAATTGACATTTGATGGTGTTGATTTGATGGGTGAGAGACTGGCTGAGGAGGTAATGTTTGGTAGCCGAAACTGTCTTATTTGTAGAGGGGGATCAATTGAGAAGGCATTAGTTTCAGAAAAAAAAAATACCTATGTTGGTTAGAGTTCAGTTGATGTTGAATTGTTGGTTAATGGCCTATTTCAGGTACTATCACTTGTCAGGCATCGGCCTGAAGTCCGGAAGATCTCATTTGTTGCTCATTCCTTAGGTGGGCTTATCGCCCGTTATGCTGTTGCGAGGCTGTATGAGCAATCTCCAAAGGCAGTTCAATCAGGAGATGCAGTGAAAGGTATTGGTCAGCAAACTTACGAAGCTCGAATTGCAGGGCTCGAACCAGTTAACTTCATAACCTTTGCATCGCCACATCTTGGTTCACGAGGACATAAGCAGGTACGAAATGAACCTATTGATATCTTACTACATACTGTTGGAACCAAAAAAATGATGGTCCTTAATGGCTGATTCCAAACAGTTCCCTATTCTCTGCGGCCTTCCTTTTCTTGAGAGACAAGCATCTCAGACTGCTCACTTAATCGCTGGGAGGACTGGGAAACATCTTTTCTTGACTGATGATGATCAGGGGAAGCCTCCTCTTCTCCTCCGAATGGTGAATGATTCTGATGAACTGAAATATATGTTAGTATTTATCTAACACTGGTCTGGATTTAGCTGAACATTATATGCTAAGGGAATGTGTTGCTAACTTCATTTATAATCTGTGTAGATCAGCTCTGCGTGCATTCAAGCGGCGTGTGCTTTATGCCAATGCTAATTTTGACTGTATCCTTCTTCTATGTTCGGCTTCTCGATCAGGGTGAATGATGTTTATAGTGTATTATGTCATTAGTCCGCTTCTAGTCCCTCTATCAAGAGTTCCATCAAAGTTAGCTATAGTTAGAAATGATTCATGCTTAGTAAGCTCATACTAGACGGTTCACGTGCCACATGACGCATATTTTGTTAAAACTGTATAGTTAAGTGGCTAAAATGTCATTAGCTCTCAGTTATATACTATTCCGTATATCCAATCCAGTATTTATATGCTATCGTTTAGCTTCCAAACTATTCATCTTCTTAACACATGATTAAGATATGGTTGGTTGGGGGACATCATCTATCAGGCGTCAAAACGAACTACCCAAGGTGAGTTATTTTCTTCCCTTTTCTTTTAGCAAACCAGTTGCTGCATTTTACCCTTAATCAAAGTTTTTCTTGCTCGTCATTTTCAGTCCACTGCACTTATATTAGATGAGAAATATCCCCACATTGTCTATATTGAGCCTGAGAATACCAAAAAGAAGCATGGTCAAACATCTTCCACAAGTCTGGTGGAACAGGCGACGGATCTAGAAGGTTGCAAAAACAATTTTGCTTCTTCCACGGATGGTTCTTATTTCTCAGTCTTGATGAGTTTTGACATCTTTTTGTTTATGTAGAGATGATGATCAATGGTCTAACTCAAGTACCTTGGGAACGTATACATGTTAGTTTCCACAAGAGCAGGCAGCGGTTGATTGCTCATAATACTATTCAGGCAAGTCTGCATCATGGCTAGTTAATGCTCATCTAAACTTTATTTCTCCACAATTACTCATTGGTATGCAGAAATCGGAATGAGTTCTTATGTTGTCTTTATCATGCTTGTGACTTTTGCAGGTGAAGAGCTATTGGTTGAACTCAGATGGTGCTGACGTGATTTACCACATGATAGATAACTTCCACATCTAGCTCTATTGAAGTTGGGTTCTTCCCATCAACAATAGTTCAAAGATGGCCTGGATTTCTTTTATATTCTCATGTATCATGGGCATTTTCAAACTTGAAACTAATGCGGCATATGAAAGTTCACATCTAGGTAAGATATAGAGAAACTGAAGGCTGTTGTTCATTTTGCTCTTGCGTCTTGTAGATTATTAGCTTGTACATAAAAAATCTGTTCATGATTTGACCATACTGGGAAACTGTACAAAGCTGTGTTTCGGCGATTGTATAATGATGCAATCTATCTCGACAAACTGCAACCTTTTGGTTTGCTACTATGTGTTAATTGCTTGAATTCCAGGTCTTGGTTTTAGCTTCAATCACCGATACGTTCATGCTTTTAGCTTCCGGAGTCTGGAATGTCTGGCCTGAGTTGCCTGTCAGGAAACTTGATATGGCTCTGCAGCCATACACATTTTTTAAACTGCAGCATTGTGCTACCTGAATCACCTGGGATTTGTGACAGAATGATGTAAGGATGTGAGGGTTAATTCAAGCTAGAGACAGAACCATAACAAGTTACCTCTACTGTAATGTTATGGTACAATCTAGTCTGTGTTGCCATCGTCTTGTCTTCGAAATGCAGCTTCATCTGAAAGTATGCCTGCAAAGTGGTCAGATCATGTTTGAATTCGATATAAATTAGAAAAAACAGACATGGCAAACATGTTTTAACCTTGAAGTCATTAATTTTTCTGACTGACAGGCCTACACATTTGGCTGTAGCTTCGATCTTCATCATGGTTTCATCAATAGGACGCTTGATTCCCAACTTTGTTTTCTGATTCTTTTGTTGCTAAAACGAAGGGGGGAAAGATGAACAGAGTTGAATTGTTAATGCTCAATCAAGCTTCTTAATGTTCTCCGAACAAACCAGAGAGATCAATACCATATGCGTTGCTATAAGCCGAAAAGCATTGATGAAGCCTGTGGAGGTCTTGATCCTCAATTCCACATAATCACTAAATATTATTATAATTAGCTTAAAAATTAAAAAAAAAATTGAAAATTTAATTACAATATATTTTAATTTAATAATTTAACTATAATATAGTTTTTTATTTTATTTTCAAGGCTGTTTCTCAAAATTTGTTTTATCAGTTTTGTTTTAATTTTTAATTTAATTATAATAATTTTAGTTATTATATGAAACCCGAAATTTTTTAAGTTTATTTATGCTGACTGGGCAGTGATTAGGGATGGCAACAAAACCTGAACCCACAGGTACCCACCCGACCCAATCCGGTCAACGCGGGTAAAACCCGTGTTGACGGGTTTTGGGCCGGGTTCAGGTTTAAACCCGTTCACTATTAACCAGGTTGGGTTTGGGTTTAGATATACCCGCCCCATGGGTACCCGCCCACACCCATATAATGAATTTTCTCAGTATATTTAATATTCTAGACAAATAATCTTATTTATGTTTGTGGAGACATCAACACCTTCGCAATGTAGCAAGAGCTCTAAAGTTTCTATCTTTATTGATGGCTAATAGTGCATTTACCAAACAATGAAAATTTTGAAAATTTTATTCAATAATCAAGAGAATTAGAATCTTCTAATCGTTTATTACAATCTACATATTTAGACTTCAATTCTCAAACAAGGCCTCGATATTGGTTTTCGTAAGATACTTCCAAGACTTCTGCCCACCATCATAGTGGTGCTATGACTATGAAGTAGTTGGATTGTTCTCCGGTTTCTAATATGAAAAAACTATATATCTAAAACCAAACACATCGACTCAAATCGATTAAATTAAAATTTTAATAAAATTTTAATTTTAGTTCTTTTATTTTGGATCCAATCCAATTTAACGTGCACCATTGTTCACTCCCAAACCTAACTAGCCTTTTACGGGCCGGAGAGATTTATTTTATAATTTATATGTTTAAATCATTTTGGATCTTTTAAATATTCTGTAACCGAGTTTGTAGTATGTTTATATTGAAATTTCCAATATTTAGCACACTCACTTGTGATGTTTCGGTTTTCGAATCATAAATTATGCGGCTGTCACGTCCCATTTAGAACTTATGTCAAAATTTGTCAACCAAAACACTAATATTTAGTGTACGCCAACCTAAACCACACACACATATATATAGTTCAAGCTAGCGTGCTCCAGGAGTACGTTATACTCTTGCGTTCATACTACCATACGACCATTGAGTTTTACTATTTAGACCCGAATTAACCGGTTTTTTTTGGGTATTATACTATACCCTAACCTCTAATAGGTGAACTCTAGTCCCTAATTCTGTAACCTCTAATTTATGCACATACTTCGTAATACCTATCTTCTATCGTATCTTGAGTTAAATAAAAAGTATAGTATACCTTGATATTACATATACATGTATATATACATGTATGTGTGTGTGTATATTACACTCAAAATTATCTAGAGATCTCGCTTTTACCCCCATAACGCCAGAGAACCATTGGGGTTGTCTATTGTTCGATATATAATATATAAAAAGGTAGGGATGACGGGATCATAGCTCGATATGGTTTTATTATGTTCATCTTATCAGAGGTTATGTACTTTTTTTTTGCTTCTTTTTCATTCTACTTTAGCACCTATGGTTGTGATCAGAGGTATTTAGCCCTCGAAAGGGATTGGGATTTTAGGTCCTTTGGAAATCCAATACACATTCATGATCCTCGAGTTTGGACGAACTCTCGACCAATGTTGTAAAAATTGCGACTTTTTAGTGAGAAATTCTTAGTAAAGATACTTCATTATTGGATTTATTCATCCATATTGAAACTTGACACACACTGTAGCCCTCATGATGACTAAATTCTCTAATCTCGACTCATTTCCATTTTGGATGTTTGTTTTTTTTATCCAGACACTTAAATTTAGTATATTATACAATATGTATCCATTGTTAATTTTTGAAGTTTATACTAAACCTCAACCGGTGGTCATTGTTTATATGTTGACTTAGAATCTCAATCTAAGGCACTCACACACACACTATCGAGGATTTTTTGTCTTAACATGGTCGTTGAATGTGTAATTTTCAAAGATTTTATCGCTTATATATATTAATAATTGATAAAGAGTGTCTCCAATACACACATATTTTAAGTGCATTTAAAATGTCTTATCATTTGAACAATATCAGTGTATTTCATTTGATTATTTGCAATAACTTATTATCTTATACAACATATATTAATTCGTTTTTCTCAAGTCTAGACGAACTGAAAACCAATTTTAAGTGTTGAGATTATTGGATAAAGATACTTGATTGCTGGATAAATATGTTTATCCCAATTGACGATCTTACTAAAAATTGCCAACCTTTATTTGGTAAATGCCTATGTTAGTAGTTGATGAAACGTGATGTTTATCGTAGATTCTGAACAAAGATTTTTCTAACCTTCACATCTATTATTTTTCAAGGAATCTTGTGTCTCATCCTATGGTATGAAGTCAAAGTTCGTTAACAATCTTACTTAAGTCATTTTGAAAATTTTGATTTATAATCGTCGAAGATAACTCCAAGTCTGAAAGAAAATTTCTTAGCATACGACTTAGAACCTCAATAGAGCTTGCTCAATCGACATGATATAGAGCAAATATTATTAATATGAACTTAGGTCACATTATCAAATTATTGCACATGCGATTCCTCTTCATTTGAGGAATTTAAGGTAGAACATGATCTGAATGAATAAGAATTATTTTTTTTAAATAAATAACTGTAACTACTCGATCAAGATTGTACTCTGACATTTTGCTAAATAATACTGTTTTATTTTATAGATATATATATTGTACGAAAAAGAGAGTGTTTCATTGCAACAAAATATAAAGTAATTTAGTTTATTTTTCAAAAGTAATTGAATGACAAATGTTTATTTTCTCTCTTTTCATATATATTTTGGTTTAATCGATTAAAACATAATTGTTTATGTGTATGTTTGTTTATTTTTTCATCAAAATGTAACCTATCATTGAATTTTATTAAAAATGAGTAGAAAATTTATTTCATAAGGTTTAATCAGATACTTTTTATTTAAATAAATGTGATATATGTCACTCTCTTTTTTCTTATTTATATTTTTTTTATTTAAAAATATTATTATTTATGTTTGTCTGGTTAAGTTTATCAACATGTAACTTATTTTTAAAGACAAAAAAGAATAAATGGATAAATGAAAAAGAATAATTGGATAAAAGAAATGGAAATATTAAAGAAGAGAGAGTTAGCTCCATAAATACATTAATAACTAATTTTTTGTTTGTAAAAAAGTTGACCAACTTGGCAAATTGTGGATCCTCCAAGTACTTATGTGGCAAGAATTTTTTTTTAATTGCCATAATATATAGTATAGATAGATAGATATAGATAGATACTTGCAAATCCCTTAGAGAAGATTACACACTCACTAGTCAGTAATTTCATAATATCTTAAGTCATAACTTTACTAGAGAAAAAACCAATCCAACCTTGTATTGGGGAATTGGGAATCCCGAAAAGATCTATTCATGAAGAGCAAAGAAAAGAAGGCAATATCCAAAATTAGGATAACATTAAAAATCACACGTGGACAAGTCGTGTCAATGATAACATTCTATCCATAATCAGAACCAAAGGAGAAAAAACCCAAAAAAAAGGCTGACGTTAAACACGCAAATTTAGTTTAAAAAGCTTTAAAATGTGATTTTCTTCGATAAAAAATAATTAAAAAAGGTAAAATAAAGGGGTTTAGGCGTTTAGCTCTTCCACGAAATATATAAAATACAGCTTCCATCACTCTTTCTGTTGCATTCCGTCTCTTGACGAGCTTAATCCATTTGTGAGTTCTCTCTCTAACCGTCTCTTAACTCCTGGTTTTGGTAACGCTTGTTTGCCCCTTTCCTTTCGTTTTCCGATAAAAGAAAGTATATTTTCGTGATAGGCTCTGATCTTTGTTCGCTTAGATCATGTAAAGATTGATGCTTGATAGTGCTATGGGGGGTATCGGCTTAGATATGCTGTAATGAGTTTGATGATCTGTTCGACGAAATGCTTGAATGATTTTGATGTGGGCGGGTGATCGGATTATTGTTTGTGTTTCGATTTTCTTATATGCTGAAATGGGTTTCTTTGTCATGATTATCTTTTTTTTTCGCGACTGTTGGATTGATTGTGAAAGTTCTCGTCTTTTCTGTCCTGGTGGATTTCCCAGTGTCTGATGAACACGATGAAAGGCGGGAGGGTAGTGTTGCTTGTTCTCCTTTGCTGGAACGTGGCCAATTTTGCAGTGGTAAGCTCGATGATCTTGTGGCGAATTTTGTTTTGGCCATTCGTTATTGTTCTTGATTTGTCGATGGTGAATCTGAGTGATATGAGTATTGCAGATAGCTGCCGGTCCACAAACTTGTCCAGCAAATCTCGAGGGACAATGTGGCGATTCAGAGGAATGGAAAGGTGAATTCTTTCCTGGAATTCCCAAGATTAAGTATGAGGTTAAGAAGTTTCCTAATCAGACCCTTCTCTGTTTGTTAATGTGAGGCAGATTTATTATTTGTGGTTGGAACATATGGTTTGATCAAACATGGCATTGCAGGGTCCTAAGAGTAAGAACCATCTGGCATTTAAATGGTATAATGCTGAAGAAGTGATTCTCGGGAAGAAAATGAAGGTAGGAAGATTCTGTGTGTTAATCTTCAATTTTTCGCTCCAAATTATGGATTTTGTTTCTCTTTGAACTTGCTGATTGCAGCTGTAATTACTGGCCTTTTTAGGATTGGATGAGATTTAGCGTTGCGTTCTGGCATACATTCCGCGGCACAGGAGGTGATCCCTTTGGAGGGCCTACCAAGTTTTGGCCTTGGGAGGATGGTACTAACTCAGTGGCCATGGCCAAAAGAAGAAGTAAGAATGATTACTTGAATGCAATTCCTCTTGTACTTTATTCCCTTTTCAGAGTTTTAAGTGGAAATCTGATATATTACTTTTCTATTGAAACGATGGTCAGTGAGAGCCAACTTTGAGTTCTTGGACAAGATTGGAGTGGATTATTGGTGTTTCCATGATAGAGATATTGCCCCTGAAGGCAATACTCTAAAGGTCAGTTCAATAGTTTCAGTCTTTCAGATCTCTTTGATTTCCTTCACAAATCTTTGCATTCAGTGGGAATGGATTCCTTCTGTTGTTTATATATATGATTACAGGAAAGTAATGCATACTTGGATGAAGTGGTTGCTCTTGCTAAGGAGCTTCAGGTATAATCACACAGCCAAATAAACTTTCATTGGTTGACCGATTCGTTCTCTTCAGTATTTTGTATTTGGAACTTGTGCATTTGCTGTAGTGCCTGAAACTTTTGGAACCCGAATGTTGCAGGGAAGCAAGATCAAACCCTTGTGGGGAACCGCTCAGCTGTTCGTGCAGCCTCGATACATGCATGGTGCTGCTACAAGGTAATCGATTAGTTTTTGGTATTATTGATGTTACTATGTTTGTGCTTATTGAAAATAATACCTGGTGTCGGTTCTGGTATCTAGCTCTGAGCTTGGTGTCTATGCATATGCTGCTGCTCAAGTGAAGAAAGCAATGGACGTGAGTTTTCTGTGACATGTCCATTCACTTAGGTTTCCTGCTTGTTACCCTACATTAATCACCATTAATCAAAATCGAGTTTGTTGAACAGGTTACAAATTACCTAGGTGGAGAAAATTATGTATTTTGGGGAGGCCGAGAGGGTTACCAGACTCTCTTGAACACGGATATGGAACGAGAGCTAAATCATTTGGTATTTTTGATCATTGTCTCTATGATGATATGTAATGCTTTTGGAGGTGTCTACTAGTTGAACCAAATTGATTTCTTTCTTCTGATGACAGGCTAGTTTCTTCCACTCTGCTGTTGCCTACAAGAAGAAGATTGGATTCAATGGTGTGCTTCTCTTTAACCTTCTCAAGTCGTTTTAGTTAACGCTGTTCAATTTTTTAGCACCTTAAGTAGTAAATTGACTGTCACCTTTTGTTGTATCTTAGGCACGTTGCTTATTGAGCCCAAGCCTCAAGAACCAACCAAACACCAATATGATTGGGATGCCGCCACAGCTGCAAATTTCTTGAGGAAGTATGGTCTTCTGGGAGAGTTCAAGCTCAACATTGAGTGCAACCATGCCACTCTCTCCGGCCACAGGTATGTGATTGTGTCTCTTCTTCGTCAAGCAATTTTCTTTCACCATTTAAATCTTAACAGTTACATCTGTGAACTCTTCTAGCTGTCATCATGAACTTGAAACTGCACGAATCAATGGCTTGCTTGGAAACATTGATGCAAACACTGGCGACGCTCAAGTTGGTAAGGAGCAAAAGTTTGATCATTATGCAATAATTTGTTTTTTTTTTTTTTTTGTTTCTATGCAACAAAAGTTCCAGTCTTCAAGCATCTGCGCCAAAACTTTATTTCTTTAATCATTTTACTATCTGCAGGATGGGATACCGATCAGTTCTTGACAGACATTTCTGAGGCAACTATGGTCATGCTTAGTGTCATTAGAAATGTATGTGCGAAATGATTGCCTGTCTTTGGCTTTTCAGAAGTTCAAATTACAGTTGATTGCAGTTCAGCTAACTTTGGATCTTCATTGTTTTATTAGGGAGGATTGGCACCAGGAGGATTCAATTTCGATGCTAAATTGTAAGTTTCTTTCTCAGTTCTGCTTTATTCCATCAATTCCCCGAGCCATGATTGTTCTGTAATTTGAAAATGTTGTCCAATGATTGATCGATATCTCAGGCGAAGAGAGAGCACAGATGTCGAGGACATCTTCATTGCTCACATTGGAGGAATGGATACTTTGGCTCGTGGACTTCGAAGTGCTGCCAAGCTGGTTGAGGTTAGTTAGACCGTTAGCAGTTCCTGCCTTTAATATGTTTCAATTTTGAGCTCTCATCCCTTACAAGTTCTATGCACCATCCTGATCTCTTGCCCCTTATGTCCAAACTCCAAAGGATGGTGCTTTGACCGAGCTTGTCCGCAAGCGTTATGAGAGCTTCGACTCTGACATTGGGAAGAAGATCGAGGTAACACCACAACCTTTTACATCGATCCTTATATGTATATCTCTCTGTCTCTCTCTCAGCCTTCTTTCCTATCGTTTGAGAGCTGAAACCTCGAACCCTTCTGTGTGATTACTACCCTTGCAGGCTGGGGAAGCCGACTTCGTGTTCTTGGAGAAGAAAGCATTGGAATGGGGTGAACCCAAGGTTCCTTCTGCCAAGCAGGTAATTTCAAAGTTCACTCCTCCCAACAAAAGCTCATTCCTTTCTCTTTATCACATTACCAAGAACACAAATTCATCGCGAAATCTGAAATGTGTTCTGGGTTTATGTCATCTGCAGGAGCTTGCTGAGATGCTGTTCCAGTCTGCATTGTAGATAGAAGTTGCAGTATAGTAGAAAAGAGGATCATCACTAGGACTTTTTCTTTACTTTTCATAGACATCCATGGAAAATAATGTCACAACTCACAAAGTCAGAAGAGTTTGCTTCTCCTCTCTCTACTTTTGTAGCCTTCTCAGAAGGATTTTTTCCCCCCATTGGCCCCATGGTATAAATGGGAAGTCTCGCAATTGAGTTAAATGAAAGTAAACCTTTCCTATCACACCCATCTACTCAGTTCAACTCTTGTATTTTGGTCTCTGCTAGCTTCCAAGCTGGCCGCCATTGTTATGCCATGGTTCCTAATGAAGCAATTCCAGTCAGCTTATTGAATATTAAATCCTTGGGTTGTTAGCAAACCTGTAGTACGAGCTTAAAGATCTTCTGGCACAGATAGAAAGATGCTGGGACATGGTCCATTTCATATTCCTTGGCACAAGGGGCCAAAACCCCTGCTGCAATCACTAACATTTGTCTGTTTTCACGACAGATATCTCTGGACTAATATGCAGAATTTATGATCCGTCATTAGAAGATTAGAATTTAATACAACTTTCTTAAGTGTACCTAATTGCCACAAACTTGAACATCTATATAAACAAATATCTTATTAGTAATGATGAAGTCCAAAATAAGTAATGTTGTTGGGGTTGAGTAGTGAGTCAAAGGTCAATCAAGGGTAGCGCCATAGTTCAATGAAACACCTCTCTCCCACCTTCCACGCATATTCATTTTTTCATCTATTATCAATTTACTAATCCTATTCTATATATTCTCTTGATTTATGAGGGAAAAGATGTGGTGTAAAACTCAAATCCGCAAACTCTATAAAATTTTGTGTCCGATATACTTGTTAAGATTCTGGATAGTAAGACAACGAGTTTTTGTAGGTTTTGCATATTTGAGTTTTACAACGCGAAATCTATGATATTTATGTATTGCTTGATTACATTACCGATTCCTCTCGATTTTCGCCCTTCCAATGAGTAAATGTACCATTTGTATGTATATAGAATGATATATTATCTAGTAGTTAATGTTTTGTTATATGTTTTTTTTTGGGTGGTATGGTGGTTGTTTGTGTATTACTGATTTGATAGACATGAAATAACCGTAAGAGACTCGTCATTGAAAATAATTAACACTCAACAGAGAGTTTCGTCATCCTTGTTTCGATGTTCATATACCCATCTTGTTTGCATGATATTCAATGTAAGCAGTAGTCTCATGAATGTACGAACAAAGGATGTGACCGAACTATGATGAAGGTAAATATTTTCGAATGAGGCTCAAATTTCTATCAACATAACATACTGTTTGATATTAATTATTTTTAGTCGATTATACCGTATCGAACCGCGACAATATAAATATCTATAGGAACTTACGGGAGAGTGATGAACGGTGAACCCCCACCACACTCGTCCGTCAATGGCACGTGAAGGACGCCAATTCTGATCGAGAGGAGAAAAACAATGGATATATATATAGTACGGTTGGACTAAGAGTAACAAGTGATAATAATATTTATATAATAATTATTATATGATCATTGATTCATGAAACCCTAGCAGCTGGCTGCGTTATCCCCAAAATTATAATTAATAAAAAACTTGGTCAATTTGTTCGCAAAACTCCGAAGATTAGGGCTAATTAATCTAAGTCGCCAAAATCGAATAGAGAATATTTTGGCCATAATAAGTTAGTATTCCGTCATTAAATTAAAAGATCAAACCAAGTCAAAAACCAGCAGAGAGTTTAAAAAACGAAGAAGGGAGGAAATTAGGCAAGATTTTAAGTCTTAAATTAATCAAGTTATATGAAATAATTGGTCGTCCAAACGGGAAAGATGGCCAGGTGTTACGCCATGCAGTTGCATGCAGAGAGTGGAATAATTAGCGGCGGATCCAGGCCACAGTAGAGCACTGGACCGCATTTGAAAAGAAAATTAGATTCCGTAATTGTATTTGACCAATCTAGTTAAAAGCGCATTTCTACGTTTTTATGACCTACAATAGTTAAAAACGCCTTTTAACTACAATAGTTATAAAAACTACGATTCTTTATATAAACGTTTTTATGACCTACAAACGTAAAAACGTAAGTTTTTAAACTTTAAATCACAATTTTGACTACATTGTACATGACGATCTTTCAATTTATCGAATTCATTCATCCATACCAATAACATACTCTATCTCAAAGAAAATAGTTAAGCAATCAATGAGAAATTCACCGCTCATTTTGTTGCGTAAATAAGTTTTCACATGTTTCATTGCAGAAAATGTTCTCTTCGTAGTAGCTGTTGAAATGAGCTAGTATCAACAGACAAATCAATTCGTATTGTGTATCCATCTCTGTTTCCACTAGCTTCTCTAGTAATTTGCAAGGGCATAAACTTCATATTCCTTACTATGAACCACATGAGTGGCATACTATCATAGTTCATTCTTCAAATGATGTATCTAATAGCCTTCAAAAGACTGGAAAGAAATCAGCGCCCGACGAACTAGCGGAGGAATCTGTTTCGGGTCCATTCGTCTCCTCGTTCTGATTTTGTATTTTGGGAGATTAGGGAAATCTTTTGAGTTCTGATAGAGAATTGTGAAATTTAGTTTAGAGGTCATTTTTTCATTTCAATGAAAAACTTTACACTTTTAGTCTTCTACGTATAAGACTTTTAGGTTTCATTTGTTTATTTTATTATTTTCAAACGAAATTATTGGGGCTAGAATTTTTAGTCTAAATCTAGAGTAGTGGTTTGTATATATTCATCAAGACATTTTTTAAGTTACACAAAATCATATTATCAAATAATACTGGAACGACTTTTAAATATCACTGAGCCGAACAACTAAAATCGAAAAATTCATACGTATTATATTAGCTCTGGATCGGAGGAGGGCTGGGCCGTGGCCCGGGGTGGCCCAGCCCTAGATCCGCCGCTGGGAATAATAGATAAAATAAATCAACGAAAAACGTGCAATCTAGTTTTTTTGGCCATTGCAGTAAGTCATAAGTCAGTAACATAGTTTTTGAGTTGATTGGATATTGAAATCCTTCAAAAAATTTAAGAAAATTTGATTAAGTAACCATTAACCACTACTGTGGCAGCCAAAAAGAGATTATTATGGCGGCCTGAAAACTATAACTTGTTGAAATAGAAAGTTGACATAATTGACTTTATATTCAGTATTCTCAGATATATAATCCATTAAAAATTCGACGTCCATTTTGAATTGGGACTCATTAATTAACAACAGTCAACAGTCGATTATTCTTGACTAGAAATGGAATGGAAGAAAGGGGGGAAACGGACGAAAAGGGAGAAACAAAACTCGAATAAAACGAACAGAAAGGAAGAATATATGTTACAGATCGAGCAAATTAATTAAAATATCAGAGCAGACTCGAAACAGTTCCCCCTGTCTCATCTCATCATCTTGCATGGTTGGTGGCTAGGGGGAAAACGACGAAGTTGGAATATTAGAATAGTTGTGGAGAGATCGATCACAGTATAACATGGCAGCTGCCATCCTTTTTTGAATATATCATTTTGATGCATATATTATAATGGATATAATTATTTGTTGATATGATCTGAAATTGTTTACTAGTTGACGATTACGAGGTTCTAGGACGATTCATCGTTCGATTGTGTGAGTTCTTACGCTTCTATTTTGGATTTGGTTTTGATCTTTCTTGTTTATGGTTCGGAGGAGGTATTTGAGTTTTCTTGTTTAGAGAAGATGTCGATAGTAAGTGATACATGATCTATAATTCATATCCCAACAACTCGAGTTATTGTAACCAACTGATTCTTCACATTATATAACCTTTTTAATTCATCTCTAATATATGTACTCTATTTAAAAAAAAAATAGTAAAAAACTGGTATTTTTTTGTTCGTGAGCTAAGTTTTATTAGTAATATGTTGGGTTCGTTCACTTTCTTGTTTTGTCAATTGCTATTTATGTTATTACAACTATGTTAGGAGAGTTTACTACGGTGACCTGGTCTAAACTCCAAGTAAAACTTACTTGGAGAGTCTGTCGAGTAGATATGTCATTGGTAGACAACGATGAAGAAATCTGGTTGAACCAGTTGACATAATCACACTAAGTCAGTCGACCGACCTATAAAATCAAAAGATTGATCATCGTCTGATACTCCGATCAATCTTCTATATAAAATAGATCTTAATTTTCAAATTTTTATTCGTGTACCTCGAAACCAATCGACCCGAGGAACACAATCAGTATTATTTATAAGCCACATCAAGTATATCATGTATTGTCAATATTAAGGTGGAGGGAAGTTGTCCACCAAACCCAAAATAATATTTACATTGAAGTTGTGACATACCCTCTTATCATATTATAGTGAATTGTTTGATCCATAATTATCTCTTCATCAATGTGAATTATGAATAATTGATTGCTGCCTTTTCCATTTACTTAATCAAGCCGTCGTTCAATTCATCGACAATAATAAACTAACAACTTGTTAGTAACAAGAAAAAGAACATATAAAACATGCAACTAGTCTCTCGATCCCTTTGGGTGGCTGCTCAAGAAATCCTCAGAAGAAAACAAATGGTACGATATGCATAAAGATACCATCTCTCCAATCCAAGAAGAATCCATGTTGAACATATTATAGGTTTTTTCTTTTGGCTTCTAATTATGGTGATTCAATAATACCTCTAACCAAAAAAGATGGAGATGAGCATAAAGAGAGTAAGAGGTGTTTTTTTTTTCCTTCTAATTATGGTGGTTCAATAATACTTCTCACCAAAAAATGACGGAGATTAGAATAAAGAGAGTAAGAGGTATATTGTTAGTGGTGGAGCTAGGTTGAATCTAGTAGGGTTGTAACGTGTAAATTTCGTACAAAATTAGGAATGAAAGTAGTCGGTAAGACTTTAATCTCTCTTCCTCCAGTTATGACATTCAAATAACTCTCACTTGGTTAAGATTTCTGACTCCACCATTTGTCTATTGGAAATGAAAGTCATCATGACATAATCAAAGGGAAAAAATTTCTAAACAACGAGGAGATAGTACATAATTTTTTTTCCAAATGCATAGAAAGAGAAACACAATGACGTTCGGGAGAAAATACATATAACGGACTATCGACCGAATAGTTACTCTTTCAACCATTTAAATTGTAAGAAGTCAATTGATCATCAACATAGTGTCAAACACCCATTAATCAATGTTTATTTCTTCGACATCTAGCTAACGAAAACCTATCAAATTCTCATATCGTCTAACCAAAATAAGAAATTATCATTGCACTTGAATTTCATAACAACTAATTAACTTCTAGCAACAACAAATCTATGTAGACTACAAACATAAATGGGCTCAAAGCAACTCGATCAAACTATGAACAATGTTTAATATTAACATAAAGTGTTTGACAATTTATTGTTTTGTTTTGTATTATAAGAAGCTAGCTAGGAAGTTTCATTGCCATCTTATTAATCCCCAAAGGCAGCCAAGAAACAAAAAGAAAATAACCCATAAAAATAAAAAAGAAGGTATTTGAATATTGATTTCTTTATCTTCATAAAACGGGGGATGGCTAAAACCCTAGCAAGTATTTCTCATTTTTATGTATTTTATTTTAACTTCATGTTGACTGAGTGACTAGTGTTGGAGGAACTAACCAATTCCTCCATTTCCTCCCTTCGTTAATTTGCTATATAAAGAAGGTCACTTCCTCCCTGCAACCTCCACGCTCTCTCATTTGCTTCTGCTTCTTCTCCTTCTCCTTCCTCCTCATTGTTCATTCTTTGGCTTCTTCCATTACTGAAAAAACTTGCAGAGAAGGAAGAAGGTGAAAAGGGTGAGAAAGGGAAATTATTAGTGAGAATAGAAGAAGATAAAACAGGAGAAAATGGCTTCTTCATTGTTGAGATCGACCTTCCTTCCATTGATCCATTCTCAGGATGGCCAGTCTTATGCAAGCTTCCATCCTAAACCCACCTCCACCACCTTCCTCTCCAAGAAGGTAAACCCCGATCGAAATACATACTACGATTCGGTTCCAAACATCATTCGTGATATAGTTCAGACATTTTATAACTATATTGTAGTCTCGGATTTGTAGAGTCTTAACACCTGATAGATCTATGAGTTTAACTTATGATATGAACTTATAATTAACGTATGTTTGGCAACTTGACATGATCACTTTCGTTAAAGTTAACGAGATTCAAAGCTCAAATCTAGCGGGAGTTGTTAAGACTTAACACGAATTAGTTGAGGTTCTTATCAAAGGCCAATACCACCTTGATTATCCTTTTGTTTTGTTATGTTAATGTGATCAGCTGAATTAAATATGATGCGATGTTATGCGTTATTATGACGATAACTAATTTTTTTTGTTAGACAAGGGTGATATAGGTTTGACGATAACTGATGTTATGAGTTATTGTGATGAATTAGTTATCCTATGTAGCAATATGATGTTTAGACTAAAAAGGTATACTTTTTCTGGTATGTTCCTCAGAAGAACAGGGGAGCAGTGGTAGCTGCTGCAATGGAAAGTGAGGAGGAGAACTTCGCAATGGTGGAAAAGTTCAGTGAGATGAAAGAGAAAAGGATGTTGGATTTCTCCGGCAACAAGCCTGCCACTCCAATTCTCGACACCATTAATTTCCCCAACCACATGAAGAATCTCTCCCTCCAGGTACCCACAATTAATGCATTAAAAAAAAAAACAGAGCTCCTCTGTTCTTCCCCCTGTTTTTCCATCCATGGCGATCTCACTTCCAAGAGGAACTTTTTTCCCCCCACGTGCAGGAGCTAGAGAGCTTGGCCGATGAGCTGAGGGAAGAGATCGTGTACACAGTTTCCAAGACCGGCGGCCATCTGAGCTCCAGCCTGGGAGTCGCAGAGCTCACCGTGGCTCTCCACCATGTTTTCAACACCCCTGAAGACAAGATCATTTGGGACGTCGGCCACCAGACTTACCCGCACAAGATCCTCACCGGAAGAAGGTCGAGGATGCAATCGATTCGACAGACGTTTGGGCTCGCCGGATTCCCGAAGAGGGACGAGAGCGAGCACGACGCCTTCGGCGTCGGACACAGCTCCACGAGCATATCGGCTGGATTGGGTATGGCGGTTGGCAGAGATCTGCTCGGGAAGGATAATCATGTGATTGCAGTGATTGGAGATGGAGCTATGACAGCAGGGCAAGCTTATGAAGCGATGAACAATGCTGGGTACTTGGATTCCAATTTGATTATCATCTTGAACGACAACAAGCAGGTTTCTCTGCCGACGGCGACCGTCGACGGGCCAGCGCCGCCGGTCGGAGCTCTCAGCAAGGCTCTGACCCGGTTACATTCCAGCAGGAAGGTTCGCATGCTTAGGGAATCTGCTAAGGTGGGTGATTGGCTGATCGCGTTAGTAAAAAACGCGCTTTAAAATTTAAAAGTTTAACCTTTTACACTTTTAAATCATCAAAACGCTTATATAATTATGTAAAATCTACCTTTCAATATGCACGTATAGTTAAGATTTACACTTTAAAAAACGTATTTTAATTTCTAAGTCATCAAAATTCTTGCACGTGAAATCGCAATTTTGACTACAATGGAATGTTATCTGTAATTGGGGATTGGTTTTTGCAGGAGATCACAAAGCAGATTGCTGGGCCGAAGACATATGGGCTGGCAGCCAAAGTTGATTCCTACGTGAGAGGGATGACTGGTGGGCCTGGGGCAAGCCTGTTTGAGGAACTTGGGCTGTACTACATCGGCCCAGTGGATGGGCATGATGTTGCAGACCTTGTCGTCTTGTTGAAGAAGATCAAGTCCATGCCAGCTCCTGGACCTGTCCTCATCCATCTCATCACTGAGAAGGGCAAAGGCTATGCTCCAGCTGAATCTGCTGCTGATAAGATGCATGGTATGTTAAAAATCGATAGCCCGTTCGTCCCAGTAACTCGAGTGGTCATATTATATGGAGTAAGTAACTTTAAGCAGAAGTAACTGAAACATGTTACGATTTTGCTTGAGCCAGGTGTGGTGAAGTTTGATACAGTCTCTGGGAAGCAAATCAAGACCAAGACACCAACAAAATCATACACTCAGTACTTTGCTGAGTCCTTGATAGCTGAGGCTGAGCACGATAAGAAGATCGTGGCAATCCATGCTGCCATGGGAGGAGGGACAGGGCTGAACTTGTTCCAGAAGCAGTTCCCTGAGAGGTGTTTTGATGTTGGGATAGCAGAACAGCATGCTGTCACATTTGCTGCTGGTTTGGCCACAGAAGGGCTCAAGCCTTTCTGCACTATCTACTCATCTTTCCTTCAAAGGGGTTATGATCAGGTGAAATTTCTGATCCCCAAACCCTTGGAAGTAAGTAAGGGTCATTTGTGGTTGTTGGATTGCTGATCCTAACAGTCTTTTTGGCTTTGTGTAGGTTGTTCATGATGTGGACCTTCAGAAGCTACCTGTGAGGTTTGCAATGGATAGAGCTGGCCTTGTTGGAGCAGATGGGCCAACACATTGTGGAGCTTTTGACACAACTTTCATGGCTTGCTTGCCAAACATGGTGGTCATGGCTCCTTCAGATGAGACAGAGCTCATGAACATGGTTGCCACAGCTGCAGCCATCGATGATCGTCCCAGTTGCTTTAGGTACCCAAGAGGCAATGGCGTTGGCACTGTTCTCCCACTGAACAACAAAGGAACACCTCTCGAGGTAAATCGGATTGTCTGCATTTCGCATTTGATTTTGCTCTATATGATCATGGAGACTAATCAACTTTTGGTGTTTTGTCAACAGGTTGGGAAGGGAAGAGTGCTTAGGGAAGGAAGTAGGGTGGCTATATTGGGTTATGGAACTATAGTTCAGAACTGCATTGAAGCAGCAGACAAGCTTCAAGCTTTGGGGTTCCAGCCAACTGTGGCTGATGCAAGGTTCTGCAAGCCACTTGATGGTGAGTTAATCAGAATGCTGGCTCAGGAGCATGAAGTTCTGATCACAGTTGAGGAAGGTTCCATTGGTGGGTTCAGCTCTCATGTCTCCCATTACTTGGGCCTCAATGGATTGCTCGATGGCAAGCTCAAGGTAAACATCAAATCGAGTTATGGATTAATCGGGTTGAACCAGGATCTTTCAGAGCTCTAATGTTCTTCTGTTATGTTTTGCAGTGGAGACCAATGCTGCTTCCTGACAGATACATTGACCATGGATCTCAGAAGGACCAGATTGAAGCTGCTGGGCTGAGCTCAAAGCACATTGCAGCCACTGTTCTTTCTCTAATTGGACACAAGGAAAGCCTTCACCTTATGGATATATAGATTGTATGATAAAATAAATTTGTCGATTCTTTTCTTTATTATCTTATAGGGGAGGGAGAACAACTACAACTAATTGCATTATGCATTACCAATGTTTCTTTCATTGTATATTAGGGAAAACCAGTGAAGAGGGTACTTAAGAAAATAACTAGTAGCTCCCTCCCTTCCTTGTACTTTCATTAAATTCAATCAATGATACAAATGTTGTGCTCCAAGTATGAATACAGTCTATGTAGGGCTAGCCATGACCCGACTCGATCCGAAATTGAACTACAACGATATAGAATCGTACAAAATCGTACTCGATCTGATTTGATTAAACTCAAATCTCAGTTTTGTGTCCTCTCTTCCTTTGTTTCTAAGAAGATCCAATGGAATATGGCCTGAAAAGGTCTAGATGGAGTAATACTCCTGTCAAATTCGATTCGATCCAAATGTGAACTCGACATGGTTCAGTTCAGAGCGGATTAGATCGTGGTTCACCCCTAGGTCAATGTAATGTTGCATAAGTTATAAGAAAACTACAAAATTTTCTGAAAGCTGAATGTTTCTTTTTTTGTTTATGCTTACAAATACTCCTCCAAGTCAATCTCTAGAGGGACATCATACCCATAAACCATGGAGAAATCATCCAATTCATCAGATGTAAACTTTGGTATTCTCCGGCTCTTGCCAATTTCAGAATCTTGTTGGCAAGTGGTCAAAAGCTCCAAAACCTCGCTCATCGAAGGGCGCCATGCTGCAGATTGTCTAACACAGTATGAAGCTGTTAGCACAACTCTGTACATTTGGTCTGCTTCATACTTGCCTTCCAGTTTTGGGTCAGCCAGTTCAGCTACATTCCCAGCTTCCATCAGTGGCTTTGCCTGGTTTTGTACCAAGAAACATAAAAACAACATTAGAAAACAGGTTAATGCAGTTTGTTTATGTACCATGTTGTTTCAACAAACATTTCCTTGTATTGTACATACCCATAATAGAAGGTTCTGCATTGAAGAATCAACAGGCCTTCTCCCTGAGATGATCTCCAGCAGCAGAACTCCAAAGGAGTAGACATCTGTCTTCTCATCCACAATCCCATGCATGAAGTACTCTGGAGCTAAGTAACCAAATGTTCCCTCAATTGGGATCACAGCATGGTGTGTCCACTTGTTTGGAAGCCATTTGGCCAGCCCAAAATCAGTGATCTGCAAAAAAAAAAAAAAAAACACAAACTTATTTAAACCCCCTCTTCATCAGAATGAAAGAAACCTGAAGAAATTGTTACTTAACTAAAGTTACCTGAGGCTCATAGTCGGGTCCAAGGAGAACGTTGGAGGCCTTGATGTCGCGGTGGATTATGCGATGCTTGCAGCATTTGTGTAAGTAATGCAGTCCTCTTGCAACTCCAAGAGCTATTCTGTACCTTGTTTCCCATTCAAGCACCTCTTCTGTTTTGCCTAACATAAAATAATTTGAGCTCCAACAGATGTGAAACACTTTGGTCTTTGGGTTTTCAAGTAGCATTTTTTGATGTCAGAAGAAGCAATGTGATGTTATTACCATGCAATGCTGAGGCCAAATTCCCATTCTGTGAGAAGCTGAAGATGAGGTAGAGCCCATTTTCAATGCAGCAGCCAACTAGAGTTGCTGTATTGGGATGGCAGATATGGCCTATAATCCCCAATTCTGTGAGGAACTCTTTCTCCTTTCTAGCATCTGTGTTGTCCTTAGCCAGCCTTTTCACTGCAATGGTTGTTCCATTAGGAAGATCTCCTCTATACACTTCTGAGTACCCTCCTACTCCTACTAGATTCCCTGCCAAAATTTGTCAAACACCCCTATACTACATCAGAACATTGATAAATAACATGTAATTTTGATAGCATGGTGAGTTTCTGTACAGATGCAGTGAACCACACAATCAAGAATGTGTTTACCTGGATGGAAATAGCTGGTAGCTCGTGCGATATCCTCGTAGGTAAAGCACTTGAGCAAAGGCTGCTGATGCTGATCTTGATGTTGCAGTACTAGCTTAGGTTTTCCAGAGAAGCTTTGACTTCTTCTTCTTCTGAAAGATGAAGTCAAGAATGAGCTGATGGCCTTATAAGGAGACATCATTTGCCTTATGGATTTTGAGCTGTGAATCAACTTGGAAGGAGATTCTGCTATTCCCATTGTAGCTGTTGAACCGGAGATGCTTGAAACCTCATCTTCATTACTGCTGTGAGATGAAGATGATGGTGAGGATGATTCCCCTTCCAAAACAGTCCTAGGAGAATCTTTCTGTCTCCTGGTGAGATTCTCCTTATCATGTTCTTCACTGGCTGGGGAACCAAGACTGCTGCTGTCATCATTTGCCTTCCTCAACCACTCTGAGCTTGATTGATGAACTTCTGCATAACATAACCAAAGTGAACAACCTTTTTTTAATTAAAGTTTGTGTCACAAAAGAAACATGGAAGCAAATGAGTAAGTAAGCAAGTCAAACCTTTGAGGAGTGCAGAGTTGAGATTTGGCTGTTGAGACTTCCCAATTGAGATGACTGAGCATCCCTCAGCAGCATGCTCAAAACAATACTTGATGACCTCATGCCAAGTCCTATGAAATCCCAAGTCAAACCAATTAAATAACCAAAACCCATATCAGAACATGACATTTAAACAAACATTAACAAACCAAAGTTGTGATCTTTTTTCTGTTTTTATATTTGACAAACCTGTTGGACCTGCTTCTCAAGCCAGGAAGAACAAGGTAGTCAGCTGAAATGGAGTTCGACTCGTGAACCAGGCCAGCTCCAACACTGGAGCTGAATCCAACTCTTGCCTCCAAGTTTATCTGCTTGGACTGGCAGCTCCAAGCATACTCTCCAAGCACAGAAATCACATGAGCTTTGGCTTGTCGAACCCGGGACTGCACCCTCTTACTACCACTACTCCCCTTCTTAGTCTTCTTCTTCTTTGGCTGCTCATCATCAACTGTCATAAAACACAAACCAAAATTGTCAAAATTGGAAGTGAAACAAATTCTAACAGAACCCCAGATGTCATTTCCTTTTTTTGTTCTGGGTTAGTGGCTTACCAACAACATGGATGGCAACAATGGTGTCACAAGGACTGGCAAGAACCCTGATAGCCCAAGAGAGAAGCTCATTGCTTTCATCTGGGTCCAATGGGATCCCAATTAGTATCTTGGAAGGAGATGAAGGGATCATTGTTCTGCAACCAAAGTTGAGAACTTTCTGGTGGGTTTTTTGTTTTTGTTTTTGAAATGGGTATTATACAGTTATGTCAGTTATTTTTGCTGGCTTTGGTTTAGAGAGGCTTATATGGGTTGTGGGGTGTGATGACAGAATGATTAAGGGGTGAGTAGAGGAGTACTGAGAGTGAGAAAGCTTGAGATTGTCTGATAACAAGAATAATCTAATCTTCCCATTTCAATGATTTCCATCATCATTCTTGAATCACAAGGAATCCAAGTCATCTGTTATGGAGGGAAGACAGGAGGGGGGGCAAAAGGGCAGAGTTGTTGCAGTTGGGGTGCTTTGGGGTATAACTTATAAGCAAAGATTGGTGATTTTGAGTTGGTAGGTTTCTTCTTCCTTCTCTCTTTTTATGATGTAGTATTCTTTTTTTCAATTCGGATTTGGTAAGGAAGAGAGATTCATTTGGCCAATGAAACACTGCCCTTGTTATCATGAAATTGGCCATAGCCTTCACAACAAACTAGTGTTCCCTTTTTGGCTTTAACCTTCTCCACGTGAAGTGAAATAGAGGGGATAGAGGCCTTTTTTGTTCTTGTTCATGGAAAGGGAATTGAGGCGTGCAGTTTTGTCCATGTGCACATTGCTGATACTCCCATAGGAATTCTCTTTGGTAAGGCCCGTAAAATCATTTCGTTCTAACGATTTCACTTAATTTGACGAGAAATTTAATAACCGATTTTAAGTTCACAAATATAAGGTAGAAACAAAACAAGACGTTCGCACAATTTCAAATCTTATTATTAGAAAAGAACTCATTTGAGTTAACACGTATTTCATGCGATACAACGACGAGTATATTAATTATCGGTGTCATTCAATAGCAACCATTGTCACTAGTACTTTGCATTGTCCATCATCCTTTTTGTTTAATAAGAGGCCCAAATAGATGGATGGATGGATGGATGAACAAACCAGGCCCATAGATTTCATTGCATATAATCCAAATTCTTGCCCCCAATTTTGTACGTTTCATAGATATTATTTTCCAGCTTCTTTGTTCCCATTACCCGTCGGCAACAATGGCCCGTGGTCCTTAAATTCGACTATGATGTCTGTGTGCAGCAGCCACACATGGACCAAAAACAGTTCAATAGTTATGGCCGGTGGAGCTATATAAGGGTTACTAGAACATTCAGTTAAAAACTTTGTCCAAAAGTGCATGGTCCATGAAACCGTACCGGACACCGTACCGGAAAAGTTAGTAGTAGGGTATTTTACGGTAAAATCGTGGTTGAACCCGTTAATATCGTTAAATACCGCCTATCGAGTTAGCCTCCGATACTGGTATTTTATGGTTGAACCACCGGTACGGTACGATTTAATGGACCTTGCAAAAGTATCGAGTTATTAGAGTGATCTATCGTTTATCTATTATCTCGATTTACAATTTTGATCGTTGGTTTGAGCATACAACACAATGGATTGTACCTTTTACATTTGTCGAGAAATAAGAGAAAGGCAAAAAGATGGAAGGGCTGGACTCTTCTTTTTTCACAACATAATATCACATGCTTTGCCTAAATATTTCATGATTGAATGTTCATAATTTATGACGTTAACAATTAGAAGTTGAGTTATAATGAATTTGTACAAAATTCACACGGATCGATTCATTTTTTTTTAAGAACAAGTGTATTATAAGATCCAAAATTGGACAAGATTTCAATGCGATGATCATAGATTATAATTTGTGTACATCTTATAGTAAGAACTAATCATGCACCTATGAGTCCCAAGACCATACTACTATAGCAAGAGGATCAATCATTTGAATCCAACAAGAGCTTGGGTACTTGTCTTCTCCTTAAAGTTGAAGACAAGGGTAGATTCTATATACAAAATGGAAAGTATACAATTAGTTGGCTTTTCTCTTGACCAACTAATGTAATCAAATACATGTTAGTAGCTTCTCTTAACTAACACACGTTAATTAATACATGCTACAATTTGTTTGCACTTGGAGCATATTGATGCCCTAAAATTGGATCATGGATCCCCCTCAATGGAAATGTTAGATTATGGACCTATTTGTTTGAACGGTATGGAGAGCCATTCTTGAGAACCAACGTTTTCGGACTAAATGTTTTCAATCAACTGGGTACTACGAGTTTGTTCGGTATGATTTTTTTCGAATAAGTCATGGTTATGTCGTGTATCTCGCTCAATAAATGATGATTATCTGATCATCGAAAATATGTTTCGAAAATATGTAATGAAGTCACTTCGGCAATCTAACTATAGTATTCATCAAGTGGGCATTTCAAACAATTGCTCCTTCTTGTACTTACTTCAATAATGAACATTAAGTTCACCGTGCGTGATTACTAATTACTTGTTGCCTTTAAGCTTTGGTTAGTGGCTTATTTCATGTCTTTTTGTGATTGTTTTGGTGATTAGTAATCGTCCATTTGGAGGCATATAGTTGTACGGCCGGCTTCAAATTGATAAATGGACTTTCTGAGTCTTCATGAAATATATGTTTTTGAAAATTATGCATTAAAGTAATGTATTAAGAGTGAATATATAATACAGCCATAAATTAATTACATGTTTAATATCAATCTATATATTACGAAAGGTGGTTGGCAAAGAACTCAGAGGAAAATCAAAGAAAACATGATTCGACCCTTTGTAATTTTCAAAATAGGAAAATAAAAAAAATAAACGAGACTTGTTTTCCTATCAACAAATCGATTTTACATCTAAGAGAGCAAATCATTTCCCCCCAATTCAACCAACAAACTCTTTTCTTTTTATCCTATTTTTCCCCTTCGTCGCTACTTGAAATAGCTCTCAATACGTTGAAGAATCCGAAAGGAGGAATTAAACATTTAGGCACATCCGGTTAACGATGAACCAAATCAAATCAAACCAAACCTTTCATTTCGTTCGGAGATGTGTCTTGTAAACATATGTATTTTTTCCCCTCTCATTTAAATCTTCCAGTCCGATTGTTTCCATGTCGTTTGTAAGGATCTTGCATTTTCGGCAATTCTAACGCACTAAACACACCATACCCGCTTTCCTCCGGCAACCCGCCTCCACCGTTATTACCTCCTTCTCCTCTTCCTCCTCTACCACCTCCACCACCACGATTTCCTCCTCCTCCTCCACCGCCACCACGATCTCCATCTTCCTCCTCATCATCCGTCTGCTCCATCGCCATCAAATCCTCCCTATACTTAACGCTCGCCAACCGGGTCTGGAGCGGCCGGGTCCTCGGGTCGTAGTTCTTCAACATGTTCACCACTTCCTTCATATTGGGCCTCTTTTCGGGCTCGTTCTGGACGCACAAAGCAGCCACATACACGGCCTGCTTGAGCTGGTTCTCGTCGAAGTTTCCCCGTAGTTTTGGGTCCACCAGGTCCCGGAACTTGCCCTGGACTATGAACGGCTCGGCCCACTCGGTTATGGTCCGCTTGATCCCGCCGGGCAACTTCTCGATGGGCTTCCGGCCAGTGACAAGCTCGAGGAGCAGGATCCCGTAGCTGTACACGTCGCAACTCTCGGAGACCTTCCCCCACATGGCGTACTCCGGCGCGAGGTAGCCCAACGTGCCCTTGACACGTGTCGTCATGTGGCTGACTCCATCGGGGATCAGCTTCGCGAACCCAAAGTCGGCCACCAACGGGTCGAAGTTCGAGTCGAGCAGGACGTTGCTCGCCTTTATGTCGCGGTGGATGATGTGCGGCGTCACCTCGTGGTGCAAGTACCTAGTGCACACAACCAGCAAATAAGGACTTAGTTTAGTGGTACTATGAATAATTGCTTAAACATCACCTGATTATGAAAACAAACATATGTCATCTTAATAAAAAAAAATCGTTAACCATATGATCGTATTTGGCACGTAGCTGTCAAATGATCTCAATAACTTGAGTTGTTAGGAAAGTGTTATTTATGAATCATATACCATTTTTTTACACGTCCGTTCAAACAAAAGCCAACTCACACGATTGAAATTTGTACAAGCCCATCATACATTGTGCTTAAATCAACTGTTAATATTGAGGGTTATGAAAATTCGAACACCACCACTACTTGATCAAACCAGCTATGATACCGACTAATAACCGACGTTCCAATAACTCTAGTTATTGAGAACAAGACAGATGCGGAAAGAATAAATGTGGGTGGTTGGGGGTCATCACTTACAAAAGGCCTTCGCCGGAGCCGATGGCGACCTTCATCCGGCGCTTCCAATCCAGCTGAACTTCGCCGGCGAACTGGCCGTGGAGGTGAGATAGGAGGCTGAGATTAGGCATGTAGTCGTAAACAATGAGTCGCTGATCGGTGCCGGCGCAATACCCTCGAAGCCCCAACAAGTTCTTGTGGCGTACCCTGCCAAGTACTTCCACTTCTACCGCAAACTCCATCTCCGCCTTCGAGTTCATCGCCTTCAACTTCTTCACCGCAATCTAACACATCATAACATACACAAAAATCAATCAAACCAAGCCTATAGATCACCATTAATCTAATCAAACTCAGGACGAAAAGATTAAATTCCAACCTGAAGTCCATCGTTGGTTTTGCCCCAATAGACGCTCCCAAACCCTCCTTCCCCTAGCTTGTTGTCTTCACTAAACCCATTGGTGGCGACGTGTAGCTCCTTGTACGTGAAGATCCTCCACGACGTGTTGCTCGCCGATAAGCCATCTCCGGCGGCCGCTCCTCCGTTCACTGTCCTGTAACAACGTATAGCTTCACGTATTGAATAACCAGCTGATCTTAATAGATCTTCTACTACATATACTAACATGTCCCTCAAACGAAACCCATGTATATTGGTTTAAAGTTTGCTTTCGGATTGCCAAGATTCAAAAGTAAATTTCTCGATTACAGGGAACTCTGATACCATGTCAAATCACTAGATCAACGAAGTTATACGTACCTTTCATCGACGGAGTCTCCGGAGCAGCAGCTAGAGCCTGCTCCCATGGCGGATGGGAGAACGGTGAGGGTGGAGGAGGAGGAAGAGATTAGAGGGGGATTTGGAGAGGCATTGATGATTTAGAGAGATTAGAAGGAAATGCTAATTAGCTACTTGTTTTTAAACAGAACATTAAAGACAAAGAAGGTTTATGCTAATTAAAATCGCCATTTGAACATTATTTATGATTTGTTATTATTTTTTCACCCAATGGGCTTGCCGGCCGGCCCTTGTGTTTGAAGCTTCAACGGATATCACCAAGTGGTGTTACGGTATTATATGATATGATGATGATAATTGTTATAGAATACAAATTGATTTATTGAGAACCTTGGATTAAGAGATAATTAATTTCTAATCCATTTTAACTGATGTTAAAATGTTTTTACCGTACCTCCATTATATAGTTATATGGAAACTCAAATCATATCTATGTAAAACTATGTTTAAGTAATATCTAGAATGTTCTGTGGGCTCGCTGCAGGGATGGACGAGTTGTGTGGATCGATAGACCACCGATTTATTTGGTTGATCAGATTAAACTGGACCATGTAGCAGCCAATTCTGATTAATGCAATGGTTACACGTTTTCGTTAAAAAAAAACTATGTTTAAGTAATATCTAGAATACTAGAAGGAACATAATACTTAGTATTTTGTGTGCTCATTTATACAAACATGACATATAATACTCATGGAAGGCATGCTCCATGTTCATAGGTTGGCCCTAAACATTGTTCTTTTGAGTACAATAAATGACAAATAAATAACATATAAAAAATTGCATTTACTATATATTTCTTTTGGTTTCAACTTTGAACAAGATCAACAACAATATAGTACAACCAAAACTTCAACATCTCTTGGTCCAATGATTCTCTTGTTTGCCAATTGGATTGATGTCAATCTGCAGTTCTATAGCTAAAATACAACAGCATGGTTGCTAATAATGCTACCGTATTTTATTTGATTAGAATTTCACCCTTCTTATATAATTAATTGTTTCTTTTGGTTTAGTTGCTTTGCGACTTACTACATCATTTTCTCTTTGTTTTTATCATACTGAAAATAATGAAGTCTAACATGGTTGTACTCTCCGTTGTCCAATTTATTAGATCAGCAACATTATTTGGAGAAATTTGGGTACTTTACTACGGTATGCACTTTTCGGTCGACCTCATATAGGATTAGGCCGACCTAATCTATTGTTTCAGTGTAAAAACAGTTTAATGGTGTCTACTTTGGAGATTCATATCTTACAATTGGCTAGATGAAAATTGGAGATTAATGGTTTGTTTTGAAACTGAAGTGTCCCTCTACACATTAAAGTACTTGGGAGCTCGATATGAAGTCCACAAGACCATTTTTGAACCTTATCAAAAGGCTATGCCAAAACTGGGAAACTGCCTGAAAATGGCTAAGTTTGGGAACGTGTTTGTGAAGCCTACTTTAGAGCTCAATTTGAGAAGCATGGATGCGATTCGAGTCTAGGGGCCTCTACCACGTTACATTAAGTATGTTTGTCTATAAAGGAAAGGCATTGGATGGAAGATTGGATATCTTTAAGGCTTCAAACAAAAGGCTCGAAGTTGCTACGAAGGCTGTTTTTCTGGTAGCTTACTTGTGCTCGAAGTCTGCCAGAAAAACAGCCTCGTAGAAACTTCGACCCTTTTGTTTGAAGCCTTACAGATATCCAATATTTCATCCAATTCCTTGAATTTGTATAAAAACATACCTAATTTAACGTGGTAGAGGCCCTTGGACTCGATTCGCATTCATGCTTCTCGAATTGAGCTCCAAAGTGTCAAGAACCAGTTGGTCCCAATAACTCGAGTTGTTGGGAGAAGGTTCTGCTGGATCTTATACCACACTCTTACACGCCCCCTCAAACGAAAGCCAACCCATGGGCTTGAAGTTTGCACAGGCCCACCATACCTTGTGCTTTAATCAAAGGTTAATATTGGGGGTCGTGGAGATTCAAACACATGACCACTTGGCCAAACCAGCTCTGATACCATGTCAAGAACCAGTTGGTCCCAATAACTCCAGTTGTTGGGAGAAGGTTCTGCTGGATCTTATACCACACTCTTACACAAAGTAGGCTTCACAAATACGTTTCCAGACTTAGCCATTCTCAGGCAGTTTCCCAGTTTTGGCATAGCCTTTTGATCAGGTTCAAAATGGTCTTCTGGACTTCCTATCGAGCTCTCAATCACTTCAATATGTAGAGGGACACTCCAGCTTCAAAATAAGTCATTAATCTTCAATTTCCATCTAGCCAATTGTATGATATGATTCTCCAAAGTAGGCACCATGAAACTGTTTTTACACTGAAACAACAGATTAGGTCGACCTAATCCTAAATGAGGTCGACCTAATCATAAATGAGGTCGACCTAATCCTAACTGAGGTCGACCGAAAAGTGCAAGTCACCGTGACTTGCATGTCACCGTAGGCGCATCCAAAATTCGGTGACGATCGAAGATGGTGAGTTAATTAGAAGAACTCTGTGATGTATGTACGTACTTATAATGTTGAAGGCAATGCGGTTGATCGAAGGAATGAGGCGAAGGATATTTTAGATCACTTGATTTATACGATGTGCGGACCGGATACTCTATAGCAACCTCACACTATCTTCTTTTCTTTTCTTATTAGGTTCGGAGAAACAAACACCGAAAATAAAATAAAAATTAGTCGAGAATAGAGCAGACCAAAACTAAAGAAGACTCGAGGACCAAAGTCAACCAAAAGTATATCTAATCCGATCAAGGATCCATGTTTACCCCTATTAAGAGTCACCATCGAGCAAATTTACGTTGAATCTAATCCAAATTGATCCAAATATAGTTTCGATTCGATGTGTCCGATCCCGGAGACCTAATAGAGAGGGAAAAGGAGAAGGAAAGGATAGATCCAGGCCCAAACTAGGAAATCAATGAAGCCCTACCAAAGGTCCTGCTAAAGAAAAAAAAAAAAAAAAAAAAGGAGGCCTGAATTATGGTCCATCAATCATAGCACGAAAACCCAAATTGGAACGATGACATCCCAGATGTTAAGCAACTGCAGCGATGAAATTCGTGGAATGTTTTCTGATGGTCTCGTCACATTATTTGTGTAATTTCCCTAGCTGCTAAGCAGGTTGCACGCAGGCCCATTGATTAAGGTAGGAGGCCATTAGTGTGGTATTATGATGTTAATTATATGGGATCAAACTTTAGAACCCATAGGATCGACTAGCTATAGCCAAAGCTACTACATTGTACGTTTGTTGATGCTGACCTTAATGGATATTGCTGTAATGCCACTTTCCAATTATTTATGATGTATAAGTCTATATAGTCTACATACATTACATACTGTGACGAAAAAATAGTGGGATTTTTTTCCCCGTAGATTAGATCAGATCTCTATATTCATTTATAAGTATGTAGTAATGTAAGCTCTATATTTATCGATCGCTGCCTTTGAATTGGTCGATCTTCGAGTATAAAAATATTGAGGGGTCGGTTGGATGGGTTATTGTTATGAGTTATTTGGTACCAAATAACCTGTTTGTGTGCAAAAGGTTGTAATAGGTTATTTGTACTGAGTTAATCTGAAACAACTTAATAATGAGTTATTGAGAATACCATATGGAGCAGTTATTCTAAAATAACTCTCAAATACCACAAAATTATTTTCTCAATTATTTTAACTCTTATAATAACTCGTTACACAAACAACTCCTCCAAACATATAGATGAGAAATGAACCAGAGATATCTCTCCTCAAACTCAATGCCTTTATTATTGTTGGGCTACTACAAGCCTACAACTATGAAGATTGTTATTCGACCGCAAGTGTGCTCCTAACCCGCTGTGCCCACTCTGTGAGAACCAGGAGGAAACGATTATGCATTGCTTCTTTCATTGCCCCAAGGCGCTTGAGACTTGGACTCAGCTTGGGCTGCTTAATGTGCTTCCTGTGGCTGACTCTTGCTTTGTGGATTGGTTCTTTGGACTAAAAGACAGGGTTTCCGTTGGCCAGATTACCAAGATTGTGTGTTCCCTTTGGAACATTTGGATTGCTCGAAATGGGTGGGTATTTGAGAGTCGGGCGTTCTCTCCGTCCTCTGTGGCAATTTTAGCCGAACGTGATGTTTTGAATGTCCAAGAAGCTAGGATCGGATCCTCAGCCAATTTCTACTCATGTCCAGCTGGATTGCCTTCTCAGCCTGAGAGCTCTCGATCGTCGACCTTATCACCGCCTGGTCCTTTCTGTAAGGTTGTGCATTGTGATGGTTCCTTTGTTTCTGATGCACAGGTGGCGGCTTATGGGATTGCTATTGCAAACTCCCACGGTCAGGTTATCGATGGGAAGGCTGAGCGGTTCTTTTGTTCTTCCCCGCTTCAAGCGGAAGCGTTTGCGATTCTTAATGCAGTTATCTGGGCGGCCAAGGACCCTGTGCCAACGTGTGTTCGCTCTGACTGTCAGAGGTTGACTAATGCGTTGAGACAAGATCCGAGCCTGTGGCCCTGGCAGTGTCGGGCATCCCTTGCTCGTGTGGTTTCCATTGTCTGTGTTTCTCCTTGGATCACGGTTGAGTTTGTTCCTCGTCGATTTAATAAGGTGGCTGATTGGATCGCTAGGAACTCTCGCCTTGATCTCCTTCATCCGGAATGGATTTTCATTGCCAACCTTGTCGCTCCATTATTGTAATCGTTGTGCTCCCCTTGGTTGGGTTTGGAATGAAATGAATGATGCCTATTGTCAAAAAGGTTCCGGAATTTGAGTTAGGCCCTCTATAAAAAAAAAACTTGAGTTAGGCCCGTTGAATCAAGACATTTGTTGATGGTTTTTTAGTCCAAATTATAACGAGAGAAAAATTAGAACCAAAAAAAAAAAGTCATGCACCCTCAACTTAGGAATCCTCCCGAACCAACACACTAATGAACCCACCCTAAAAATTAAAAGGAAGTTAACTTTAGAGAAAACTACAATAGGACTTTACGTATCACTTTATGGATAGCCAGGCCTCTCATGACTTCCCTAACGACTTACACAATTAAAAAGAGACGAGACAAGCTGACGACGCTAGCATGGCCCACCTAAGGAATCACCTACCACACCTTAGCGAAACTTATGGATCGCCACCTTAGAATCACATTCAATGATCATACGGGATAGCCTTTGTGAAATGAAAATCTCGAATGATTGACTAGTAATGGCGATGGATATTATATATGCAAGTATGCAAGCCAAGAGCACTTCTACTATGCTATATAGTATTGGTGCTTTAATGTACAAGTTAAAGTTGTACCATAATATTAAATGTATAAGTTTAGGTTGTACCATAAAGCAATTTGTACCATTATGTTATGGTACAACTTTACAACTTGAAGTTGTACCATCACATAAAGGTACAAGTTCAAGTTGTACCATAAAAGAATTTGTACAAAAAGTATAGGTACAATCTGAAGTTATACCATAACATAAACGTACAATTTTAAGTTGTACCATAAAGGCAAAATCCTATAGCACCAATACTATATAGCATTGTAAAATTTCTCTGCAAGCCAATCTAATTTCAAACTCTATTCCAATATCACGTATGAAAAAGAAAAACAAGTTAGTGAGTATTGCGGATTTGTGGATTGAAACGTATGTCAAAGAAAAAAGTGGCACCAAAAATCTTCTTCCGTGTGGAAAGAAAACAACTTTGTAATCACCAACAAAATTAGATTGCTTCAAGAAACCACATAACCAACACTATTACTAAAACGCAAACCGTAATCAAAATGACCTAGTGATATAATACATCCTATATGGTTCCCATTTCTCAGCAAAAACGTTACATCGATTTTGATAGGTAAAAATTCATCGCCATGCTTAAATAGTGCTTAAGAGGTTTGGTGGGACAATGAGGAGTTTACGATATGTTTCCTACCCTATCTGTTTCTTTTCATTCCTTCTCATCCGACGATTTTTCTGATTGCTGGTTAAATTGGGTTTCCTCTCCCTCTCGGTGGGATATGGGCAGGATTGCCGTAATTTTTTGTGCACCCTTTTTAATAACAGTGATAGCGAAGATTTAACCACCATATCTTCTCGTCCCTACGAGCATTATTAAGTAAAGAATAAAGATAAGGGGATGCAAGTGCAATCAACGACGTATATAGGAATCATTAATGACGATTAGGACTTGATCAACTACCGTTAACTGTACTTGATCAATAACTTCCTCCCTGAAATGTAAATTGCGTGAGGGAATCATCTCTTGCTTTTGCCCCAATATGGTGAGGATAAACTGAACGAAAAAGCTGATAAATCTGGAAAGATAAACTTACTTGAATGAGTTTCCATTAATTAGGGTTTCCACTAATACAAAAAATTATTGCCTCAAGTACTTTAACGAGTCATAAAGGGTATACATGTCAATCTTTGTCACGCAACGCAACAATACAATGAATGAGTAGTACACACACTTTTTTTCGCACCAATTTTTTGGCTGTTTGCTACTGAGTTTTATGAGAATGTTGATGTGATGGTGATACTTATGGAGTTTAGGGAAAGAAGAAATAGTGGCAATACCGTTCACGATCGTTTCATAATCAACAGAAGGTCTGTATTGGATCTTATATCATCGTTTTCTAGTTTCATGCATCTAGTTCGACATTGGGAGGGTTGATGTGTGCAAAATGCTTTGATGATCAAGCGAAAATTGTTCAATCAGAGATAGGTATGAGTTGTTTGAAGCATCGCCAACAATAATTCATTATCAAATATTGTTTTGGCAAGATTATCACGATAGTAGTGATTTTCTGTATACAAGAACTATTCATATAATTTAATTTGCATTCTCAATATGCCACTTGTGAACCTAAACAACATGGTTATTCGATCCATATGCTCAGGGCCAAGCCGAGTAGATTTGGATTTCCCAAATAAATATGGTTGAGTTACATGAGTCATTTACCAACAACGGATATCAAGACTTGTTTTGGTAGGACGATTATGACAATAAGTCGATAATTGTATATCTACATAAAAATCACCCAAATACTTTAATTTCCACTCTCATTATACCTTCTGCTATTTCATTCATTAAAATTGTGGTTTGTTTCAAATGGAACATTAGTCCTACTCCATTTTATTGTGTAAGCTTCTCAAAATTTTCACCTTCAAAGTGGATAAATACAATTAGGAAAAAAATCATACCATATTATTCCAATTGGGGCATTGGATATCCCTTTTTTCTTCTTCTATTCATGAACTCAATTATGCATGGGCGCACCCAACTCCACATAGAGATCCATGATTGGGCTAAGTCCCTTTGCATAGTGGCTTACTTCACCAAGCATTATTTTGTGCTAATGATTAATGTTTGCTTACATGGTGACAAGCAATTTCATCCTAGACCACCAATATAGGGGCATGTGTATACTTCCAATACATCTTCTCCAACTCACCTACCACTAATAATCCTCCATTTCCCCACTTCCTTTCCTTATTGCCTTCCCTAGGAATGGAAGTATGAAAACCAACAAATGTACATTCTTAAGGATTACAAGGTGAATCAAATCTTATCATAGACCAAAATTTGATTAAGGACATGTTAATCTTGTGGCTTATCGTGAAATATACATACAAATAGAATCTCCACCTCGTTCCAATTAAATGTTGATTAAGGACTTACTAATCTATATCCAGCTCGTCCCAATTAGTCGTGCTTGTAGATTTGTGTAAACACTTTTTTCATTAACCTCAGTGTATAAAATGCTTCTAGATTTGCACACATCCGACTTTCATCTCTTGATTACCACTTGTCTGATCACTTGGACTGATTGCTCACATCTCATTTAACGTATGTCTGGATGAATAAGTATATGGGGAAAAAAATACCCTACATGATGGGGGGAAACTCGAACGTAAAACCTTTCATTAAATGATAACTTTTGTCAAAACCAATTCACAACATAAACGAACCATCAAAATGAGCTCATTGAACAAATGTTAGCACACTAAATTTTTCATTACTTTATCTTTCTACTCGTGCCGTTGTTCATAAATAAAATCAAATCCTCACCAATTCATCTGAAACTGCATGCACTCGAATCACCGACATGATAGCCCAGAGAACCCTCATTAAGTGCCACCTAGCACATACCAAATGGGGTTAAGGTCTCAAGTTTTTGGCCGTTAAGGAACAAGCAACGGGGGCAAAAACTTAAAACTATGGGCTATCTTTGTTTTCATGGCGGTTTCAAATCGCCGCATGAAACATCAAAAGCAACTAACAAAAAAACTGCTACAAATTCAAGTTCTAGCCAAAAGAAGCTTGAAACCGTACAAACACGTGAGTGTCACATGCCGCCGGTCTTCCGGCCAGCTGCCGGCGTCTCCATAATTTCCACCACTTTTTACCTCTCTCCCTCCGCCTGGAAAAAAAGCTTCCAACTTTACCAATTACCCTGCTTCTCTTCCATACCTACCATTGTTGAGCTATAGTAGTTGAGTTAGTAATTTCGTATGAACTCAACTTTGTTTGTCATTTACCTATCTTGCGATTAAGTTTTCCACTCTCGTATGAAGCATGTTGAATCTTGATCGTGACTCGACTTGTTGATTTGACGCAGTATCTTACTCGAAACTACTACATCTCTCAATTAGACCTCATCGAAGGATCTTAAACTCGTGGATTTGACGGTCCGTGATTAGATCAAGCATTCATTTCAAATCAAAATCTCAGGTAGAATTTACATTTCCCGGTCTGGAAAACGCAAAAACCTAACCCTCCCCCAAGAAACAACAAGTTAAACAGTAAAAATTGCTGATATCTATAACTCATTTACAGACAAAACAGAGTCCCATCTCTCTACCATGAGAAAGAAAAAAACAGAGCACTTTGCCCCAAAATTTTCTTCCTTCCTCAACACACCCAGCACAGAGGAAGAAGAGGATTTTAAAGTTAGACAACAGAATCAATGCGGCGCCACCGTTTCCTCTTCCTCTGCCGCTGTCGCTGTCGCTGCCGTTGCAGCTGCAGCCGACGACGATGAAGAAGAAGAAGAAGATTCGCCGCTGCCTTCTCGCGAAATTCCCCTGTTATCTCTACTCTGTTCTTCATCACTCCCCTGTTTCCCACCTTCCAATTTCCCGTCTTTCTCGCCGCAAAGACAAGGCTTCTCGCCGTCGCCGAAAGACAACGACCGGCTGGAGACTTGAGTGGCGAGGTAAGTGGGTTTCACCTGTCCAGCCATGATAACCAAGAACTTCTCGTCGAACTCCTTGGCCTTCTTCTCTCCACCTTCGCCTCCTTCCTTCCCGTTCCCCTCGCCTTCCCCTGCCTCCAGATCTCTCTCGCCGTCGTTTTCCAAGTAGCCGGACAGCTTCCAGTAGGAGCAGGCGAGGATCAAGAGGGCGAAAGCGATCAGCCCGAGCATGGCGGCCAATCCGCCGAACAAGTAAGGAACAGGGGAATGCCAGGGGGAGCGCTCTGCTGCTGCCATGGCGGCGTTGGTTTCATGGGATGTTGTTGGCCGCGGCGACATGTTGAAGGGTTCCCTTCCGGCGGCCATTGCTGTTTGTGGGTGGGTGATTTTGAGAACTGGGTTCTTGAGTTTTTAGGAGGAATTGGAGGAAATGGGGGATGGTGGTGGGGAGGAAGAAGATAGGGAGAGAGTATTTATAGAGGGTGGGAATTAGTAAAGGTGGTGGCTTTGGCTCTGTTGTTGCTCTTAATTTTTTGTTTGTATGATTTGATTTGTTTTTTTGGAAGGGGGAATTATGGCGTCATGGTGGTTTTGCTTTAGAAGTTGGGACTTTGGAGGAAGATGGAGATGGGGCCATTATCTTTCTTTTTGGGGGTGCAAGCAAGGGCATTATACAAGAGGGTGGGCAAGGATTCTTTGGTAGTGCATGAAACTTGCATTTGGATTGAATCAAATCTAAGCATCATTCTATTATAATGTTTCACCTTTGTCAAATTTTTAAGTCTTATATCAAAAGGAAAAAGTTATGGACGAAACCAACGCTGGTTAGTATCAATCGAATCGGGATGAACAAGCTTTTAAATTCAATTTCGAAATCTTATGTATGAGAGTGAGCATGATTTGTTCAGTTTGGTATGTAATTGCACTCAAATAATAAAATATGAAGGTAATCTGAGGACCAACATCGAATTAAAAGTCTATCGATTTCTGTTTTAGTTGGTCATTATTCAATTTAGGTGTGATATGCATGATGTTACCTACTCACCTTGAAATGTTGATGATGGTCATGAATTATATTTCATGATCAAATTAAGAGCTTATTGGAAACAAAGGATTACTTATGGGACCAATAACTCTTCTCCTCCTCCAAACTAATCAAATTTTCCTATGACCTTCCCCACCAAGCTAATCAAAGAATTTCATTCGTTTTAGACTGGAAAACCATGGGAAGGAAGTAATCAATTGCTTGCTTTGAAGATCGGGGCAAAGTATAAAGTTTCTCTAAGACTTTCCCATCATTTGGTGTCCATAAGATGTTATCCAATTTTGGGAAATGGGTGTTGTAGTTCTTCTTTCTCATGATGAATATTTGTTGAGAGAGTGCTTAAGCAATTTTAGCTAGTGGTAATATGGTTCAACTCCCACTCCATGGTGTGTAGGGCCTCTCTCTCTATTCCTTTCCCTACAATTTTCTTTTCTTTGCTAGCTTCTTTTTTTTTTATATAAAGACGTATTACATTAGTTAGACACAAAATTTTAAAATTTTTGGTTAATTAAGTCTTGATTATGAGAAAGATATATTCTCCTTTTCAAACTTATGTGTTCATATTTGTGTACCCAAATCGAGGTACGACCAGATTTCATGCGCGAATCTCAATAGTTGACGTTCTAACACAAAAAGTTACATTGAAAATTATCAATGCAGAAATCTAAATCATGTAGGTTTGAGTTCGAACTACTAGTCAAGTATCACAATTTGTTGCATGTTTTAATCACCAACTATAATTATGAGTTCCATAAATGTTGAATAGTGAGAATAAAATAGGAGATCGAATGGTTAAGATGTTGGATTCAAACTTCCGATAAAAGATTGACTAGGTTTCGAGACTAAAGGCTGAAAGTTTAGATTTGAATGAATTCATCTCTTGGTTAAGACACCATACCCGATTAGTCTTTGTTAAAAAGGACTTGAATGAATGAACATTTTTGTCCAGTACCAAAACTCAAATCACTAGTGGCTGGCCTGTCCATTTTAGTCAATTTCACAGTAATGCATATCAAGAAGAACTTAAAAATGGAGTCTAATTTTTTTTTATGTCTTTGGTGCACCTGCACACAAAGTTACAGATTGCATAGACTCTCGATACATTGTGTTAAAAATAAATTGAGAATCAAAAGGACACGAAGGCGATACCTCTTGAATATAGGTTCTAATATCATATCAAGAATCAATTGATAATCCTAACAACTCGAGCTATCAAGAAAACTCATATATGAAGCTAATACCACTAGTACTCATCGTAGTTTAAGTGGTTAATATGTACGAACCTAGTTCGAGAGAACAGTCAATTCGCCAATAATCATAAAATTTTGGCCAAAAAATAAGGTAGTAGCCTAATTCTATACAATCATGCATAACTCTCATTTAGAAGGGGTAATACGATCTTATCATAGTGAAACGATATGTCTTATAATAGTGTTAAGAACTGTATCAACCCGCTAAACGAGTATTATGTTGAATTTTGCATATAAGATTTATGCACCGAATCCGCTTTACCGCTATATTTGATGGGCATTTTTGTGATTAACCCATATTCAAACGGTTTCTTGCGTTTGCATTATCAGCATATGGCACCCTCTCCCTCAGTCCTCGATCACCATCGTTCGTCCACCAGCATATATAATACAAAATAGAGAAACTGAAAAACCAAAACTACTGCAGCAAGCAGCTTTTTAATTTTGTTTGTTTTTGTTCCTGACAATTTGCTGTAACGCAACCAATTCTATATTAAATTATCATCATCATTCATTCTGTTGTCTTTTTTCCTTTATCAAAAGTTCCATCGTTTTGTTCTTGTAAAATAATTTCGGTCGAAATGGGAATGAGGAAGAAGAGAGGACTGTTTTGGTCAAGCGGTTTTCTTGAGTAGCAGCTTTTATTTTTCTCTTTGGGTCTTTGTTGGATGGGTGACTCGACTGCTTTAATTCTTTACCCTTCTTTTTTTAACAAAGACTGATCATCGTTGATCGTATACGTATGTAATATGATAACGTTAGTCCAAAGTCTTAAACTAATGGATGATTACCTTTAAGACATTGTTAATCCAAACATGCTTTAGTCTTGTAAGAACTAGGGTTGTTCAGAAATTTGTTACTCTTACTAACAAGGATTAATGCAGTGTTATTTACATATATTCTCGGATAGAGTTGTGACAGCTGCGGATAGGATAGTTAGACGTTTGATTTCTAAGTTGTGTTATGTAATATTAGAGGTTGTTCATGACTGTTAATTCCCTTGTGTGATCCCTCGAATTTGGGCTTATTGCACTGGCTGGTAGGTTGTTATGTTTTCGTTTATCTACTAAACTTATGGGTTGAACCTACTCCTTATCCCAACACTTACCTAAATGGAAGTCCAAACTATAACCCATTACACGTCCGTCATTCTTTCTTACGCTCAAACATATATGAAACTACGATTAAGACAAAGAAGAGAGAGAGAGATGTAACAGGTTATATACAAGAATCAATATCAACTCGTCGGAAAATTACAAATTATTTATTTATTCCATACCGTCAGTCTGTAACATCTGCAAATCATACAATATTATAATATGCATTAACACAAAATTCTCATTGGTGAAGATGCACCAATTAAAATAAGGAAATCGATATCCTCCCTCCCCCCTCTCTAATCACTATTCATGATCATCTCTATCAAGTAAGTGGCCTTTAAATCTAGTATCCCACAATTAAAGGTAAGCAAATTGATTAAGCCTATCCCTTCAACCTAAGTCAGTTTCTTAATGACTTCTTCCCCCCTCAAGCTGACCTCACAAAGTCACTCTCTCATCATGGTAATGAAAATTGTTGTGGGTAGTAGGGCCAATTAATCAATTACATTGAAACCTAATGACAAGGAAAGCCCTCTCCACTAAACCAAAATGCTTTATGAGTTTTGCCTGCCACACCCACACCCTCCAATAGTTTTTGCCCTCCCAATTGTAGCAAAACTCTCCATGTTAGAGCATGACAACCATACCATAATGAAAAAAAAAAAAATCAAAGATAACAATAAACAAACACCCAAATCTCCAATATTATAATCTTGTCCAGGGAAAGTTGGAGAGTAGCACCAAGAAATATGAAACAAAGCATGAACCTAACCCTATCTCCATCACAACCTCTTCTTGTTCTTTTGGTGGTAACCCTAGCCCAAAGGCAATGGAGATATGCATTGACAAAAAAGCTTTTAAACCACTCTCCTCCATTGATGGGGTCCTTCCTAGCTCCCCCCAACAACAAAAGCAAGAAATAATGGCTTGTACCTTGTGTATTTTCTTTTGTGACAAAAAAAATCATAATAATTTGGGTACTTGAAAGTAATTACAAATAAGTTGGGGGGTGGTTCCCACTTGAGGAAGAGGGAATAGGATGGGTCATAATAATTCCACTACCCGAACGTACACGCCAAGGACAAATTTGGATAATGCCTTTGCCTTCAGCCTTCCTCAGTAGCTCTCTTTGTAGCTTCTGTTCATCTTTCATACGTTCTTCCACTATACACACCTAGCTAGCTAGCTGGCTAGCCTTTCACCATCTTTGTTGAATAGATCTTCAATAACATAGCTAGCCTCAAAATTCATGGTCCATCACAATTAGTTTGTCTAGGGTTTGTGATTTCCTAAACTCTAAAAAGGACTGAGAAAGTTAAGTCGAAGTTATGGTAAACTTTATTATCATGAATGTTCAATTAGATGAGTAGGTGATTCAGGACACACAGTCTAGTTGATACTTCTCATTGATAGTATTTACGATTTAAACCAAGAACCTCTCTATCGGAAGCAAACGTCATTATCATCATATGACATTAATGATTTTAATTACTAGGAAAAAAGAAATCACTATATATATATATATATATAGTGACGTCTTCGGTGCACTCACTTTTTTGAGTGCATTCAGTGCACTCGCTTCATAACCGTCATTTTAAACATGCGATTTAAAAGTCTATCGATTTCTGTTTTAGTAGGTGATTCAGGACACACAGTCTAGTTGATACTTCTCATTGATAGTATTTACGATTTAAACCAAGAACCTCCCTATCGGGAGCAAACGTCTTTATCATCATATGACATTAATGATTTTAATTACTAGCAAAAAAGAAATCACAATATATATATACAAGATCATAAAGAAAAAAGATACCTCAAAAGTGAAAAGACGACAAGGTCCGGTAAATGGATTAGCAATATATATACAACTTCCATTTTACTACTCTCTGATTATTTATCAGCACTCAGCAGTCAATAAGTTTTTTTTTTTAATTTGATCTGACAGGCAATTCAATTTGATTTGCCTAGCACAAATAATTGGTTAATCAAGCACATAATTTGATAAATCACACAAGATATGTATCGAAATAATGGTCTTCCAAAATTGAATACATGAGAAGCACATTTGAATTTTGCATTCTCTCTTTTACACTTATCTTGATTAATAAACAAATCCATTCATCCTAGACCAAGAGATTTATATAAAGTCTATTACCTTTAACTAATCCAACCCCAGCCACAAGTATTTTGAATTTCTTAATGTCCTAAAGTTGAACAAGATCTTAACTACAATTTGTGTGGCTATTGTATTACCTGAGCGAACCTATTGGGTAAAAAGGTTAAAAATGAAAGCTTCATACTTTCTCCATAGAATCATTACTGGGTAGAGCTTAATTTCTCACTTATCCAAGATTAGGGATTAAGCAGAAGCAATTAAAACACTAAACAAAGGACGGTTAATGAAGAATAAGGGGGACAAGAAGGAATCCAAACCAAATCCCACTTAGGAATTTTTTAATTGTTTTCTTGAATTGAACCAAACGTAACTGTCTCTTTCCCAATAGGTGGATCAATCGTCGTATCTAAATAATTAATTATTCGCAAATAAATTAATCGAAATATTTATCTAGCTAAGTGGGATCCGTTTGAAGCTACTCCCTCCTGAATTATGTGCTCAATTAATTTTAACACTATATTAGGATTGGACAACGGTTCGGTTCGTTTCATATTTGGATTGTATCAATATATGGTATTAGATACATACATGAGTTTCTTTCAACAATTTGAGTTATTAAAATCGATTGGTTTGTGACATGGTACCAGAGTCTGGTTTGATCACGGTATCTCGTGTTCATCAAGTCCCCACAACCCCCCAACATTAATAGTTGATTTAAACACACTTGATATGTCAAGTCCGTGCAAACTTCCAGCCCAATAGTTGAGTTTTGTTTGAAGGGAGTGATGCCAGTAAGTTGTATAGAGATCCACGCATGGACCTCGGCTCACAAATCGATTTATTGAGAACGTTGATTTATAACATGATAAGATCCGTGCGCTTTTGGATCGAATAAAAATAAAACAAGTGCATCGAAGTTAAGCCTTCAAGTTTCCTTCATTTTGACCACTTTTGAACCGAACCAAACCGTTGCAGACATCACAGTAACATTGGTGTATGGGGGTTTACGTTAATATACACTTATATTCGAGTCAATTTTTAATTGGTTTAATTGTCACTAATGTGCTGTTAGTTAACTATAATTTATATCCTTCATGATCAGCAATTGATCCGATCCACACCATCACCACCTGCGCGCCTAATTTCCATTAAGCTTTTGAGGAAGATGTGACTTGTTGATGAACATATCTATTTGATTGCAACTATAGGAAAGGAAAAGGAACAATTAAGAAATATGGATTCATTTTTCTGGCCAAGTCACGTTAATGTGGAATTCACTAGGCAATAAAAAAAAATTAGTCTCTACGTATACCTTAGTTTATGGTTGACTTGTGTTGTGACTAATAGACTTTGATCGAATTGAGGAGTGTTACCAAACAAACTTTTTGTAAATAATGAAATAAATTTATAAATGTTATCAATCAAAGTAAGTACCACTCAGTTTTCTTAACTACCCCCATTGAAAGTTAGCTAATATGAAGCTTCATGGGAATTTTTTTGACTCAACTATAATAGAATTATCTTTATATAAATTCGAGCGACTTGTTAATGTCGTCTTGTTGTAGAGGTTTCAGACAGACTCACTATTTAATTTTTTTTTTCACGAGAACAACATAAACCTATATTTCAAGTGGTCAGTCACTCGTATACACAAGCTTGAATACTAATTAATTCAAGATTTGCCTCCATTTTAAAGAGCATATATATTTCTGTATGTTCGATATGCAAATGACTTTTCCCTAAATTTCTGTATTTTTGTATGATATAATTATATAAATTTCTGAAAAACAAATGTGGGTTGTGTCAAATCACATGCCATAACCTTATAAATGTATAATATACCCACTACAAGGAAAAGAGTGAGTTATGGGTTAATGGATTATATATGGTTAATCTCCATTGTGGTTATAAGTGATTGGTTAGGGAAGAACTCTTATCTACCAAAAGCATTTTATTTATCTTGATTCTCTAATCACCCTACTAAGTGGGAATATTTGCCCAACCCTCCCTTGCCAACTTATATTCCTTCTCCTCCCTATAACTTTTCCTCCACACATTAAATAACTAACCCATTGATACATCATGTGCTATGTATAACATTCAAGTGATCTATTTGCATATGGATTAAGATAAGAGTACTCACTTAATTAATTGTGTTATAATATTGAAGAACCTCTCATGTAATGTACATGGAATGTAGTAATGATGATCATGTCCAATTACTTTATTAATTGATTGGTACTTAATTGGATTTGCCTTGGGGAAAACACAGAGTTCGATCGTTTTCCACACCAAGTGGGATTTCCACTAACCTAAATATTTTATTAAGAACAATCATAATGGTGGTCTCCTTCTGATCTCAATTATTAAGTGTGCACCTAGGAAACCTCTTTATGTAAGAGAGTTAAAGATGAGAAAATTCGAGATGGTGATGAATAATCGTGATTGATTGTATGAATAAGTTATTGATTGAAAGTTCGAGAGGATGATGAATCGTGTTTGTCTAAAAAAAAATTTGTATGCTCACAAAAAACAGGAGTTTATGTGTTTGCGCATGGCTACGAGCGTAAATCCTCACTTAACTTACTTAATCATATAGTGATTCACGTTGTATTCTTGACGAGGGCTCAAATGGGGGACATTTTTATCAAATTATCTATTGACAAACTACAAAAAATGCTTAAACTTAAACATAGTGTCTCTTTAATTAACCACTTTGGGCTTCAATCTTGATCATTTTAATTTATTGGCTTGTTAGTGATTGTGGAGTTCATTATTATCAAAAAGCTGCACGACCTAATTAAACAATGGCACCTAAAAATATCTATCTATTGAAATATCTAAACAAATGAAGAGCAAAGGGGCCACCCCAATTCATCATGAAGTGGGATAATGTTGGAATCTCTAGACACACAATTTATAACATCATCAACATAAAAATATTTATGCTATGGTGGCCTAGCTAGAATAAGAATATATAGGCAATATACACCACTCACCACTATCAAATTTCGATCACATCATAGAATTAAATCATAGAATTAAGTAAGGTTATGTGCATTAGCTAAAAAGTGAATTATTTTCAAATGAAAATATCCACCAAAACTTGAGAGTTGTTTGGACTAAGACAAGTGGAGCAAGGTAAAATGTTCCTAATCATTAAGGTGATCATCATGTATATATTACATATGAGTGTAAGGTAAGAGTAGGATTAAGAGCAAGAGTTCTAAAATCAAATCTAGAATTCAGAAGAAGTAACATTGATAAACCTTATTCAGAAGAGGTTTCTACCAACAACCATCTAAGAGGATCGAATTAGCGATAAAATATATCCACGTGGATATGGGTATTAAAAAAAAGGCTATAGCACACCAAATAGAAAAGAATACTAGGCATAGTACGATGTTGCCTTATCCAAATGTATTGATGTTGTGGCATGTATGCTTGCATTCTAGCTTTTAAAAATTCCTAGATACCCATTAATTCATATATATTTTTTTTAAAAACCCTAGATACCCTATAGTTGCAATACTCATTATATCTAACTGTAGTAGAATATGGCCCTCAACAGAACATATACATTGAAATTCCATCAAATCTCCAAAAGTACTCTTACCTCATTATATATACCATGAGCATATTATACAAAATGAAGAAAAATTGAAATGGCTTGTACCTAATAAGGATTTTATTTGTTGTCTAGCATGGTACTTCAATTAAAATATTCCAATTACTTTAATACAATCTATCTAAAGAAAGGTAAGCAAATAATCATCATGTTAGGTGCTCCATCCACATCCTAAATCCTAATTAGTAATTAATTACCCCCTCCCCTTTAATTCATCTCTCTCCTTAACCATTCTGTTTAACTTGTGCTATTTGTTGGTATACTGTTTTAAACTTTATATTGGTTAATATTTTTTCAATCATATGATTGATATTGTTGATAATTCTTTGCATATCATAATGAGTGGGCGCCTCAACCTCTATAACCAGTTACTACGAAATTTTTTGCTTCATTCCAGTAACTTTCTTGTAAGTTTTCCTCTTGTATTTTTTTCTATCCAATCAAGATCGTTTGAATAGCCACGAGCTATGGGAAAAATCAGCATCCCTAAAAATGACAGGACTTGGAGTACTATTATGAATTAGGTTTAACTGCAACACAATTAAATTAACTAGGGACCCATAAGATCAATTTTCCCCTAGGTTAGGTAGATGCATGTAAAAAGCAAATTGTATGAGAAAAAAAGCATGATTATTTCTACTTTATAGTGAGCATATGGAAAATATATTCACTACTATTGGCTCTTTTGTTTTAGCTTTGAGAATTGAGAGTGAGAGACACCTGAAGACATCAATTCATGGAAATTCTATGATGTGGTCCTCCAATTTTTTTTTCAAAAAAGGGTCATATAATAAATTCAACATGTGGCTTTGCTTTTCAATCACCCAACAAACAGAGCCTTAAATGTAAAATTACATCCATGGCCCCATAACTGCCAAAAACCAGCTCATAGCACTTGATGATAAATTGGCTATTTGGGGCCAAAACACCACACCTCCAGACCACAGTGGTCTAGCTCCTCGATGGTTAGAAGGTCACTTTAGGGTTAATTACATCTGCAGTCACTGAAGTTTTGCGATTATTCACAAATCGGCCTCAATGTTATACATACTTGTCGTTGATGTTTGGAATAACTGGAACTAACAATCATGGTGGCTATCTTCATCTAGTTTCTTTGTATCGGAATTTCCATAGTAGTTTAGTTTGGATTGGGTATGAGTTACAATAAGTTTTTCATGTTAGCTAGCTACTTAGCTAGGGTCCATATGACAGTTTAACTAGTAATTTGGACGACTCGACATGCAAATATTGATACGAAATTGGAAGAAAAATCTTATGTAGATGAAGAACTAATCGTTATTTGAGAATAATTTGATCTTTCTATACACACATGTCGATAGATAAATAAGCGAGTCATGACAATCTACAATTACATACACTTTGTTGTTAGATCCTTCTAACATTTTCCAAGGGAGAAAGGAACTAAGAACATTGAATTTTATTGATATATTTCTCCATTACAAGACCTCTTAACTACCAACTCCTACATTATCCTATGTTTCTAACGACACAAAAATCAATCTATAGCTAGGTCCCTTATTTGGGATGATATCTCCTACAAGGAAGGTTATTTTCCGAATATATGTATACTTCTTCATTTTGCATCTAGATACTCTAGCTACAACTACTAGTAGTACTTGTTTTGCCGTTACTACACAACAAGGAAGAAAAATCATTAGGTTATAGAGCAATACAAGCGAACAAAGGATCATTTAGAGAACCAATGTATTGGCCATCTATTATCTAATACTAGCACCGTGTTCGCCCTGTTGGGCGGGTAATCTACGCACAATCGTCTTATTTGATAAAAATTGAAATATAAACTCAATTGATAATAGTTCATTGTTTTGATAACTTTTGTAATAAATTCGTGTTTGTATAAAAGTTTTGCTCAAAAAATGTGTTATTAATACCTGTGAAAATTTTATCTAAAAATTGTTGTATGGAAGTGTTTATGGGAGAAGCTGAAATTAAATTATCCATGCGGATAGAGCAACTTAATGTTTATTATGAAGATGAATTAAAAGAATTGATTTGTAATTTTACAAACAATGTTATATGAGATGAACGTAAAAAAAAGTAATAGGAAATAAATACTTGGCCATCAATCCAACAGTCTGATTGATTTCCAGCCCACAAAAGAATGAGCAAATACTGGGCCACCAGATTGAATGACAGGGAAGTGGAACCAAAGTCGAAACTTGTATTCGTCCTTCACCAACAATCGATCGACTCCCTTCTAAATTCTAATCCTATCTCAGATTCTCAAAAGTTCCACTTCATCTTCCTCGGGTTTTCTAGCGATTCCTTCTAATCCTATCTCTTCATCCTCACCAATCTGAGAATCCCTAGCACCATGCCCCGCCTGTTGGCTGGGGTGTTTGATTATTATGTCTGTTGTATGTGTTGTAACCACTTATAATGTGTGTAAATAGTGAAGATTATTATGCATTTTTTATGTGTTGTTACTACTTATAATGCGTGTAAGTATCAAAGATATGGAACTGATAGCGATATACATGTTTACAAATAAAGCATTTATAATTGATTTGTGATATAGTCCAACATATCAATGAAAATGTTTTCCAATATTTATCATATTTGTTGATGACGACACAGGTTATAGATATCAAATTGAATGATTTGAAAGGGCACATTGTGGATTGATAGCAAAAAACGAATGAACTAAAATGACAGGTAAATTGTCAAATTACCCTTCCGTGAAACCCTCACAAGCATGGGAATTCAAATCTCTGAAAATCCAACCCATGTTTTGCCTTTATATATTATGTCGAAATATAAATAACTTAAGATAAAATATAAATATAGAAGCATCATCACCAAACATATCACTAGAGTTTAATCAAAGAAACAACAATAAATAAAATGTAGTCTAGTTGGTTATAATGTTGTTTCGTCATTTAAGTAACCAGGGTTTGAACTCCAACTATAACATTTTTAATATATAAACATGAACTGGGTGCAATGACAAAAATGACCTTCCTAGAATCACTCTCAGGTCACGAAATTCGAAATGGTAGAATTCCAACCTATGTTTTGCCTTTATGTATCTTGTAGATAAGCATAGTTAGTAAATACTTCGTTTAATACACGTATATGTACCCGTAATGTTTCGTTTTTGTTCCAACATGCAGGTTGATTGTTTGGCTCTCTGCCTCCGCCTGCTGTGCGTGTACTTTGTTCGGTTGTATTTTCCTTTGTTTAAATTAATAAAAGGCTATCACCATTATAAAAAAATACACGTATATGTACTCGTACGTACTTTATCCGTTTAAAACTTCTGTATCCGTATTATTGTCAAGTAGTTTCATTTGTTTCCGTCAATTGACGGCTCCCTTACTAAACACGTATAAAATCCGTATAACACGTTTAATATCTGTATTTAATGAATTAAATTATTAACTTTACTATTTTTACATATTTATTTTTAAAAATAATTAATTTTATATATTTATGGCTATTAACGTACTATTAAACGTAACATTAGCTTAGAGATGAAGTAAAATGCTCGTATGTATTTTATACGTAACTTTCCCGTACCGTATTTTACTAACTATATAAGGTATCCATTCGATCAAGTGCCACACATCAGATGTTAAATGGTCACTTGATTAGGCATCGTTTACAAGATATCTGGCTTGATCAATGGTGTCTATGTGTCCAAGCACCATTCAAAGATAGGGATCTCTAGGCTCGATCTCGTTGTAGGTACGAACACTTACTACTCATATGTTTTTAAAAAGAAGAATCTTATTTTGTTTGAGGTACCTATAAGCGTTTTAAGTAAAAAACAAATACGATAAAGAAAAAAATGACAATAACGATGATATAACACAACCCTAACACCTCCCTCTCCTTCATTCATAAAACATAAAACGAAAGACACTTGAGAACAAGTTATAACTTATAAGTCATTGCTCACATCTTCAAACGAAAATATGAAAGGAATCAACCATCATTTCCTTCCTTTTGCAAAAGCTCTCATAATGTCCAAAATTACAATTTTTGTTGGGTGGATGACATGAAATGACCCCAAAATCCTTGTAAATGACACTAGGGAATATCTTTGTGTCTTCTGTCTTTGGCTAATCGGATTAGATCATAGCAAGAGCAAGCAAGCTAGGGCACCCAATGTAGCACTCTAGCTAGTAATGGTGGCACCCCACGATCGACCCCATTTTTGTGACAAAACTTGGTGCATTTTTTTAGAGAGAATCATATAATCATCTTTTCAGTCCCCCAAAATTTGATTTATCTTTTCCCATTTGTGTGTACATTTGATGTAACTCTTCATCCACTATTTAATTAGTGATAGATTTGATTTTTTTTTCCCCTTTTTGTTTCACATTTAGGGTTTAGACCTTAAGGGAATGTTCGCTTGGTATTATTCACCATCATCAGTTGACAAATGACCGGGAAAGAACGTGCACACTCTATGTATCAGAATCATCTTTAATTAATTCACTAAAGTTTGTATAGTGTATTCCATTGTTGCATTGATCTCGAACTCGAGACCGACTCATTGTCGAAATAACTAATACAACGATCGCTTCATCTATTAATTAATATATTAAGTGTCTGAATATGTATATCACTTTATTTCAAATATTCCTCCGACAAGTTGAGTTAGTTGGACTAATAGGTTCTCCCCATGGTATTAGATCCAAGTTTGATAGAGAGGAGAGAAGGTGTAAGGAAATCTTATAAGATCCGTAAACGAGTCCAAAAAAACTCTAATTATCGTGACTAATTAGTTCCCATCACATAGACCACTCGCGATTTAACTTATAAATCATAATCGATCCATACCAGATACATTACTCAACCCAATCCAAACTCACATTACTCAAAAAAATTGCTCTATCCCGATACAACTAATCAAAGAGTTTACATGACATGGTATTTTTAGGTTGTGTGAACATACACACACTGATCTAGGCAGTTTAAAGTGACTATTCCGTTAACTATTCTAAACTCAAGTGACGGGTTACCCAAAAAAGCCAAAATTTAGTGACTGATTTGTTAGTATCACCCTCCTATCTCCACTTCTTAGCCAAATGCGGAGAATGGGTTGCTCTCTTTCACTGTTTCTTTCACTGTTCATATGGTCTATCATAATGACCAATACTAGTAGGAAACACCACTATTGCGACGACATTTGAAAAAAAAAAAAAAGGAGATAACCCAATTGGGATTTTTAGAATATAATCTCCTTAGTTATAATTAAGGGGAAGAAGAAATCTATATAAAGTGAGAACTAATATATATATATTCCACCAATTGATGAGTAATAAAACAATATATCGGTTTGATCATATCTAAAAAACCTTCAACTTGCTGATACTTGACACCAGCAGTACTGCAAAAAAGGGTTCTAAAAGGGGGAGATGGTGGAATGATGATGATCAAGTTGTGGCAATTTGCCAAATAGTTGATTTACATAAAAGGTTGGGAGACAAAATCCCATGTTATTTGCATCTGATGAGAACATATGCAATTGAATGAAGACCCTTGTTGTCAAAATGGTATCTTTAGGTGGATTTGGATTAGGGGGCAAAAAGCATACAACTCATTAGACTAATTTGGGACTTAGGGGGAGAAGCTTAATTAAAAAGCTCAAGGTGATCAGGTTGTGGGCCTCAAACATGTGAACCAACTCAACAATCAATTCATACCAACCGGCTAGGTACATTTCAAACCGTAAAGGTGAGCGAAACACTGATATTGTTACGTGTTCTCAATGACCATATGGCTAAAGTGGCATGAATCATTGTTGTGTTGAAGGAAATTACGAGCAAAGAAGTCGGATCGATGGTTGTCGCAAACCCACTTTTCACGTGCATCACGATTGTCAGATCTCATTTTATGGCTCGTAGGAAGGCCAAGGAGGCACAAAGATGTATGAATTCCTATTTCATATTGAGGCGAGCACAACATGCGTGTATGGAGCTATAGTCTTCTGACTGTTATGTGTGTCAGACATTAAAGAGTTCCTCTCCGACGATAGATTGAGAAACGAATTAATTTCCGTCAAACGAAGATGTTTCGAGGACCAAAAATACCTCTTCTATACTTAAGTTAATTGACATTCGATTTTACCGATGAATCGTTCGATTGAAACCAAATTACGATCACATCCTCCTAACCCAAATGGCTTCCCCTGATCATAAAGAAAGTGAAGGGACCAAAAATTCGAAGCAATTTGATGAATTTTCAAGATGTTTGTCGTATCTCTTCTCATCACTTACCCCACACCTATCTTCCATTCTTCATGACATGTAATTGTCGTCCTTCCAATGATACCATTATCCTCTTCTTCCTCCTCATCTCTCTCTCTGTTACACACTTTCTCTTAACCTTTGGTCCGTTTCTCAAAAAAAACTTGGCTCTCGAAGGGCGACCATCATGGAATAAAGCTAGCAACCACAAAGAGTCGAGCCAGATGGAACCAAAAGTTACCATGCAAGCAAGCAAACAACATTAAGAACAGGATATGGTGTTTGTGGAGGCTGAGTCACTAGAGCAAAATAACCCTCCCTTTTGCCTCCCCATGGCTCGACAAATTGGCCTGGGCCAAGTTGTCACTGAGACACTAACCCTCCAAACCAAAGGGTCCCTTAGGGTTTTTGGCTCTAGTACCCAGAATTACCCATGGCAATGCTGCCTCAACTTACTATCTATGGTGCAATGGTTCAAAGATAAGGAGAATACAAGTTTTTTGACAGGACTGAAATTCCCTATGGATGCTTTGGCTCTTGCTTGCTAGTGGGAAGCCATTTTCAGTGTTTCATGGATTAGGACTACACATATATAGCAGTATCTTCCTCTCCCTACCTCCATATATGTCACTTCATCGAGCAATTAGTGTCGAGAGAATCGTATGGTATAGTTCACTTTAAACTCTTTTCAATAATTCCGTCGGTTACTAGGATGAAGTAATAATTTTTTTAATGAGAGGAAGAAAAAAAAAACTATATATAGGATTGAATTCTGTTGGGGTACAATCCATGTATCATATCGGAATCGGAGGAACATGAGAAAGCTTTATGGTTTATAAGTGTCCACCTAATCCCTTTGTTAATACGAAGCCTTTTGGGAAGGTGCTAAAAACAAATACGTACAAGCTTGACCCGGAGAGAAAAGTAGTGTACCAATGTGGTGCATTTTGTCTTGACAACTCATTTTTCACATACTAATTTTGTTGATCGAGCAAACAAATCGTTAGCTTGTTTGATTCGTGTAATAGGCTGTCATGGATCAATGATTCATATCTATGATCTAGTCACGATCTTAGTTGCCTATTCGATCATCTCCATTTACATGAACCGATACAACTCAAATCGATCTACTAACAAATCGGGTCATCGAACCCTCCCCATATCTCCTTCTAAGTTGCTTTCGAGGTTATAACCCACTACTTGAAAGAGTGGGAGACGTCACTCTGAAATAGGGATGGCAGTTCAACCCGGACCCGCGGGTACCCGACCCGACCCGACCCAACCCGATCAAAGTGGGTAAAATCCGTGTTGACCGGATTCGGGCCGGGTTCGGGTTTAAACCCGGTGGCTGGTTGGGCGGGTTGGGGCGGGTTCGGGTTTGGAGGAACCCGACCCGTGGATGCCCGGACACACATCCTAACCCTAATTTCCCAAAACATTTTCACTCCCCCACCCAAGTCCCCACTCTCCCCAGAGACACAAACCCCGCCGCATTCATCCTCTCCCTCTCTGTCTCTGACTCGCGAAGCCATCCCTATTCTCTAGTCTCCACCTCCCGTCCCGACTCCAAATTCCGATCCGACGGCCGCCCGGCCACCACCAAAACCCTTCTCCCGATTTCCATCCTCTACTCGGCGCGCCTCCATTCCCGACAACCACCGCCCGTCACCCGATTTCCATCCCGCGCCCTCCCCCCGCTCTTCCTCTGCTCCGGCTCCGCCTCTCCGACTTCATTGCCGCGCCCTCTCCCTGCTCCTCTGCTCCGCCACCGTTCGACGCCCGACGGCCGACATTCCCGCACTCCCTCTGCTCCTTCGCGGCTCCGCCTCCCGTCGACGGTTTGAAGACTTGAACGAGCTGTCACAGCTCAAGTCGGGGAAAGGAGTCACCCACTTCTGCTCGTTGGGTGGTAAGGTAAGAGATTTGGGATTTTGTTTGATGTATGAATATATGGCTGCAATCTGCAAGTCTAGAATTGTTGTTGTGTATATTAACTATTAAGTAGTCTGGGTTTTCGTTTGATTTATGAATATATGGCTTCAATCTTCGTTTAATAATCAAAGGAGAGAATCGAACAAGAATAGAAAAAGTGAAACAGAAAGAGATGAGAAGGAGTTGTTGTTGTGTATTGGTTTTAGTTGGTTATTGTTAATTATTATTTTATAAATATTTTACCAAAAAAACCCGTGGGTAACCCATCAACCCGTGGATACCCAACGGGTTGTGTTGGGTTTGAGTTTTTCAAACCCAGCGGGTTTTACCCCGGGTTTTTTTGACGGACAAACCCATGGGTTTGGGTTCGGGTTTGGCAAAACCCGCCCCAACCCGACCCATTGCCATCCCTACTCTGAAAGAGGACCCTCCCTCAGATATGTCTAATTGTCGACCTCCAATATTCAACGATCAGAATAAAGTGAGAAGAAGAAGAAGAAGAACAAAGTCGGGCCAATTGGGTTTGCAAAACCAAACCCACCCAGTGGACCGGCTGATCGATCGATGATTGACAGTTTGACACATCCATTCTAATTTCTATTCTATACACAATAAATGGCTTTGGGGAACACAAATGCACCGGCTGCCGGGCGTGATTCAAACGCCGCCACGCGTGCTCTCAAGATCCATATATACTCTGATAAATAGCACCATAGATGCCTTCACTTCTTCTTCTTCTTCTGTGTAATGTCTCCTCTAATGATAAAGCTCTCAGCTTGTTGGACAGAGACATGGGAATAAGGATCTTTCTTTTCTCTTGCTGAAACTTCACTCCCTAAGGCACTAACATGTTGTTCCTACTGAGGAATAGTATCTACAGCCGACAAGTCGTCCGAAAGTTAGCTCTGTAGGGAAGTCGAATATATATGGGTATAACTTAGGATACACATATATGTTTTACAGGGTGGTTACATGATGCTCGAAATGTCAATGATGATACCCCCCATATTGTCATAGGACCCTCTACCAGAATAAAGTAAAAGATCGATGTAACGAAACAAAGATAGGCAGCAGCTCGATGCCTTGTGGATCGAATCGTTGTGCAGCCCTGGTTAAGCAGCCAAATGGAGAAAACAAGCAAAGAGAGCAAGCAAGAGAGTTCTGGTTATATTTCAACATGATCAGAGCCTGCAGGAGAGAGTGATCACTCACACCTACTGTCAATTATTGATACAATGGAATGCCAGTAGGCAGGAGGGCTATAGCTAAAATGACACACACTCAGGGGCACTCTCAGTGGAGATGGGGAGAAAGGGTAAAAAAATGGTACAGATTTTGGTTCAGGGGATCGACAGACCATTTTTTTTTTCTTCGTGTTACAGAGTTTTCTCAGTGCTCCCCTTCCTTCATCCCCAGTGACATGATATGAATATATAACAGATCTTCCCCTTGACAGAGCAGAGCTACTGGTTTTTTCGTTTAAGGAGGTCATACTACTAGCCGCTGATCATAACTGATTGATGAGGTACCCGCCTTATTTCTACAAACGATGAGTACTCCCTGCTCATCGGCTGCTTCCATGGCTCCCCGTCCATCTGGAGGAACGAATCTCTCCACTCTCCTCCCCTCATCTCGAGTCTGATCGCTGCAGCCTGAGGAAAGACAATAGGCAAATTGTTGAATTAAGAAGACACGGCGTTTGGAAGCACATTGCTACGTTGCTGTCTAGTTTGCTTCAAGTATGGAGTTCTACAGGCTAAACTGATTTGGTCCGAAGTTGATAGTACGCATCACATTAGACACTGAATGAACTCGTGCATTGAGACCCTCAAAGCACCACACTCGCCCTAATAAGTCACTATTAGCACTTTTGACTCTCCCATCTGTTGGGTTGTTACATCCAGCAACATAGTGGCACAAACTGGCAGAGGCAGCAGAAATGCTAAGTGATGACTTTTGTTAGGGCGACTTATGGTGTCTGAATACTGAGTTCATCCAATACATGTAACTGAGTTTAGTGACCAAATTGGTAGTTTTGATCCGGATTCTACTTTGTTTAAAGTTTGGCTAGATGAAGCATGCATGGAAAAACATCAATGCAATTGCTATTGTACCTGGGCTATGTGCTTTGCGGATATGAGTTCGACCATCACAAATGAGGCATGCCACCCTTGCTTCAAACCAAAAATTTCTAGGAGACCATCGTCAACATGAGCCTCGACGAATCCCCTCTGTTAAAGTAGACAGGAAATGTTTTTGTACAAGTAATTATACGCTCGAATGAAAAATTGCAGAGAAACCTGATCCAGCTTGTGGAAAGTATGCAGATGACCTCAAATATGAAACAGTGTGTTATTACCTTCTCCAAGTAGTCAGCAGTTGGGTTACCCCATGGATTTCTCCCACTTCCATAGTTGTGAAGGTTCAAACAAACAATTGCTCTCACACTGTAGAAAACAAAGAAGGAAAAGATCAAAGGTGAACAAACCGACAAATACATGAAAACAGCAGTGAAATCTTTAAATTGATGATGAGGACAAAAGAAGGCAGACTTTAACCTTTTAGGAACAGGGATCTGCTCCCATTCCGAGCAATTAACCTTTTTAATGTGCATCCTCAGGATATTTTTTAGCCCTCTACAGCAATCAACTTCAAGTTAGTACTGATCTTCATTAGATCAAATTGTAAAGAAAGCAAGATACATGAACAAACAAGAGGAAAGTTGCCCTCCTGCTTCTCCATAATGAATCACTGACAAATTGGGTTGGAGATGAGCTAACCTCAGACTGGGATCATTGATGCAAGGAGTGAGAAACCAGCCCTGGGTGCAACTGTAGCCAGAGTATATTAACTGCACCATATCACAAGGGGATAAATAGGAATGTCGAACAACTGTTCCCAGAAACAACAAAAGTGTAATCTCCTGAAATATTTATTGGGAGTACAAGGACTGTAAATGGTACCAAAAATGAGTTTTCTGGGCACTTAAAGTGGGAAAAGATAAAAGTTCATTCATTTGGATTTTGTCGATACACTAACCAAAACTATTAGAAAATCTTTTTAACCCCAAAATGGATCAGTTAATTTCAAAGGGCTTTAGCTTCCATCTCCATAGTTGTATATCAGCTATTTGCCTTACAGATACAAAAATATTAAAGATATCTATTTTCATTTTTCGCAAGCGAGGAGGAATGCTGTGTAGGAACATATCTACACTAGGTTGTCTACAGTATAACATTACAAAGTCATATAGGCAACTCGTAAGGTAATGAGAAAAATCGCCTTACCTTGTTTGCAATGGGACCTTGTGCAAGGTAAGGTTTTTCATTACGTAAATGGTGAAAGCCATAGGCAACTTGGGCATCCATTCCTGTAGGAACAAAGCAACAATAAGTTAAGCCTCTTGATAGAAACCGAAGTTTCAGTTCCTCTAAAGTAAAAGCATGACAGAGCCTTTTTAGTCCTTTTGACACTATAATAAGGCATACTCAATCAATCTCTTTCAATTAGGTTTACTATGAAGCATGAAATAAGTGCAATAGTTTGACCCAAAAAGAAAGTCAAATATGATTTTTCCTTTTCTGATAAAAATCTAGGACCCGTGGTTACAGCAGTAAAAATGGACAAACATAGGCCCAGAGTTGAACAGTAAGTTAGCTGCAATGATATATGCAAACACATTTACCATCACATACTAATAGTATAAGGTATTACCTATACTGAAGTAGTTATAGAACACTCCTTCGTAGCAAGCCATTTTCTCAGGCAGCCGCCCTTCAACTTCCAAATCCTGAGAATCAACCATTTAAATATCAACAATTGCCTCAATAGGCCATAAGATCATACTCTTTAAAAGAATACCCTAATGAAAGGTCTTGCACAGCATTTCTCAGTTGACAGCAGAACGACTTGGATGCAGTAGTATAAACCTGATCAAGTAGGCACTCTTCAGTAGCCTTTAAGGAATAGGGAGCATCCACAACTTGTCCTTCTGCCATCGACACCACAACCTGCCAACTGCATCACCAAGCTGTTTAGCGCCAGCTATACCGCACGGGAAAAAAAAACATTTTATCACTCTAAGTTACTGCAACCCAAAAACTATTGAATGAGTTCTAGCACCAAAGCATTAGAGCAAGGACCAGCTCAAACAGAAGCCTACAAAGGGTGAAAAGCCATGCCAGACACAACAAGACAACACATACAGACACATACAAAAATGAGCCTGGATAAGAACTAATTCAACACATTTAGACAATATAAACCAATGGAGAAAATCCACAGGAGGATGGTGGCAGCTGGCTTACCTATCAAGACGGCAAAGAGGCCCAGCAACCGCCCTATCGAGAGATCGCTTAACAGCTGATTTCCAAGCAAAAGGAAACGAACCTCCCTGAATGACCGGCATACACACAATAGGTCAATGAAGAAAACATTAAAAGATGAAAACTTGAAAGACCAAATGCAAAAAAAAAAAAAAAAAATGCTTATTAGTTATAAATTACCCAACCGAAACTCCTCGACAAGTCATTGCCTGTACCAAGAGGAATGATCCCTACAGGAGGAACCGGCTGCCTTGCCTCTTTGTGAAGTTCTGCTAGACTTCCCAATATCCAACCAACCGTACCATCTCCTCCAGCAACCTTACCAAATAGCATTAATAAAGAACTCACTCAGTCACTCACTCTCAAAATGACATCAAATTTCAACAACTAACCACAAAAACAACGGTAATAACAACCATACCATACCATAATTCTCATCTTCTCACGGCACTCTTTGGCACAAAGATCACCAAGGATTGCCATCTTCTCTAGACAGACCAGACCATGTCTGACAAATTCATGAGGCTTCACATCTGAGAGGTCAAAAACCTGCATTAACGCATCACTTCACATTTCAAACAAGCCAAGTTCCTAACAACTTGCGCCAAGTTAATTTCCAAAACCCAGTCCCAATTCAGTTGTTTTTCACTCTGAATTGAACACTAGAGAGTTGTAAAGGAAAGAAAGATTGTATCTTTTCCCCTCACCTGTTCCTCGCTGATTAACTGCTGGAGCCGCTCCTTGAGTACAGGGCCATGGCGGCCACCGCTCTTCGAATTGACGAAGACCACCATGGGGCATTGCGGCGCGTCCTCGGGGACTTTCAGCTCAGCGCTGTTGTAGTGGCGGTCGCAGGCCTCCGCCGCGTCTTTTGACCTAATCGCGTCGACCACCGCCCGCCGGAGGTACTCCGGCATGACGAGCTTTTTCCTCAGCACTTCCTTGTCGATTCGGACCCCCGACAGGCCGCACCCACGGAGCGAATCGATGACGGAGGACCTCGACGCCACGATCCTCGTCGTCGTCGACGAATCCACCGCCGCCGCCGTCGAGGATTCCACCGCAGTCGTCGTAGTAGCCGTTGAAGTCGGTGAATCCATATTTCCCTCCCTCTTTCTCCTTTTTTTTTTTTCTCTCTCACTTGCTTGCTTCTATTATTGGCGGCGGTGAAGGGTTCGCCGGCGGCGGACGAGATCCCCCGAAAAGCGAAGAAGAAAGCAACTCTCTTATCTCGCTCTCTGTCGCGCAAATGGCGTCGCCCTCTCGAAACTGTTAAAAAGAGGGAAAAAGATTTTCTGAACCGCGCAATTTGTGGGCTGTTATACTTAATTATTTTATGCGTTGGAAATTCATTATTTTTATTTATGTTTTTGTTTCTTGACGAGTATGTTACAGTTTAGCATTTTTTACCCATCAAACAAGTAAAATTTGATTACCGAATAAACAACAAAAATCTTACTCAATGAATGACTAGCAAATATGGTTAGAGTTTCTCTTATTGGTCCTATCAAACAAAATCAATTGTTGAGTCTAAGATTCTCTCTCATTTGTTTTCGACTATTGGATAGTGTACCATATTAGTGTTAAGTGTATGAATACGTTATTGTATTGATCCAACGATTGAAATGAATGAGAGACTAATCCAATAATATCGGCATGGAATTGAAATGACACCTTTGATTATAATAACTAATAAATCCTTAATCAATATGGAACTTCCATTGATAATAATCGAAAAATGAGGTTGACTATAATCTTCGATGAAGAGAAAAAAAAGTTCCCATTGATGGTTGATTATACTATACGTGCTCGTTTATTTCCACCAACACGTAACACTTAACCTCGCAATCTGGAAAAAAAAAAGGATCGAAATGAGAAAGTAGCAGATGACATCTCATACTTAAACTTCCACTTATGTAAACTTAACGGTTTGTTATTTATTCCCACCAACAAGCACAATCGTATCAGAACGTATAAGTATCAGATTCACATGTCTTGTTTACAAGGTTGTCAAACCGGTTTAAGTCATTGAGCCGGTCAAGCAAGGGGTTTGAGGTTTAATGGTCTGATCGGGGTCCGGCCGGTTTGAGCCGTTTTAGACGTTTTCAAAATATATATACAAATAAAGTAGTAATTAAAAATTTAATGAGTGAAATAAAATTTATCTTACATATATCTATTAAAAACTTATTTTCAACAAAATAAATCTACATAACCTCCATGATCCACCTACCATTTCCCTTCCTTCGTTCTTTTTCCTCTCTTCTGCCTCTCTTCTTCTCCCTGTTTAGGGGTCAGACCGGGGGGTTTTCTGGAGGCCATTTTGAAGCCCGACTCGAGTTGAACCGGGTCCAACCGGGGGGTTCGATAGGGGTTTAACAACCTTGCTTGTTTATAACCAATTTACAGCGATGTGAATGTGGGGGATTTGGTGAAAGTGGAAATGACTTCATAATGGTATGGTAGATCTGGAAAATTATGGGCAAGCAAAGAAGGTCATAAATAAGAGGTTGTTGGTTAGGTAAGATTGATCCACAACCACAACTTGCCCAATGAGGTGTTCCATTTATTTATGGTGCTTCCAAATTTAGTTGGGGGGAAATTCAGCTGTACTCATAAATCCCCTTATTGAAAAGTCAGAGATCTGTCAGTTTCCTCTTCTGTTTTTTACTTTTCACCACAGTAACTTTCCTTTTCCGGTAAACGTCACGTTACTGAGCAGATGGGAAGAAGATTGACCACTTAACCGTCAACAGATTGATCCGCCCGTGCTTTTGGGGTTGGGGGTCCCACCGGCGGGAATTTTAAATTGCCGTTGCTTTCTGTTACTTTTTATTCAAGCGGGACCCACCTTCACCGGTAAACCTTAATTCCTGTCTGCGTCCTCTAGAAAGGTGCGGAATTTCTCCCTTTCGTAAAATGATAGGGCAGTTCAGTCGGAAAAATTTCTTATTGAAGTCTAAATTAGTCAATGATTTTCGGCAATATAATTGTTGAACAATAACTTAAAACCTCTTATTTATATCATCCCTCTTAAATCCCATATTGATGGTTCCGTTACGATTTTACAATCCTTAATCCGCAGGCTTTCTTGTCATCTACGATAGTCTCTGCTTCTTATATGCAATGCAGGTAGATAGATACTAACGACACTTCTGTTTTGTTTCTCTTTGGTCTGGAGCGACACACGATCAATACCATGTTAAAACATGGGCAGGTGGGCTGCTGCAACAATGCTAAGTTCCATTGTCTGTCGAAAGACGACCAATCCAAAGAGCAAAAGGAAACAAGACCGAGTACAAAGCAAAGATTCAACAATGAAACCGGCCGAAGATACCATACTAACAAGGTTTCATGGAGAATATCTATCTATTCTATGGCCACTAGCACCACAACCCCAATGCAACCTTTGCCTTTTGCGTAGCCCAAAAAATGTTTCAACCTGAGAAATGATTTAGAAGGTAATGACAGTTTTGTAATCTAGTCTGTGTTAATCGGGTCAATGCCTAAACTATTGATGCTTTTTAGCTACCTAATGGTGTATTGTAGGGATGTAAATGTGCCTTTTGACCTAACCCAAGTTGTCTACCCACATGGAGTAACTGGAACGATTTCGGCGATCACCATTTGGGACACTCTCATTGTCGTCTGATGGTTTCACAACAGCTTTCTCGACAATCACATTGCTGTTTTCGTCGATCCTGTATGCAATATCGACGCCCTCCAGGAGAAGATGATAGACTATGCCTCTGGAGCCAACTGGGGCAATATCATCATCCTCGTGATTGTGCTGTTCACTAAACTCCTCATCTGGTGAAGCAGCAATTGATGGCAACTCAGTAGCTCCATCATGAGGTTGGTTTCGTTGGGAGACCGAGCGAATGTCCCACGAGAGCACCTCTTCGATCAGGCGTCGCAGCTCTGCTGCAGATGAGTACAGCGATTTCTTTCCCTGCAGTGAAAACGAGAAAGAAAGAATTGAGTGGTGACATTGATGAAGCACGATAACTGTTTGATCCGAGACCCAGAAGCTCACTATTCTCCGCCAGCAATCATCGAGGTTAGAAGCAAAGCCCTCGGAGAAGCTGATTGAGGTTACTGCTAACATGCCATCCTCCTGGATCAGAATAAGACACAACTTTTATATGAATCAGGACAATTTTTTTTTTTTTTTTTTTTTGTTGTCAAAGAAGCAGGACAAATTTATATACCATAAGGATCAAAAGGTTGATCCCATTTGAATCTGCAATGTTATTTTCAAGAGAATTTGAGAAGGTTTATACAGATGGAGTGGAGGCCATTACCATTACCCACTTCGGCACTGTTGCTTCGGTGATGCTGTCACAGTAAGGGAGATAAGGTTTGATATCAAGAACTGGCTGTTCATAGAAAAAGATGAGTAACAACCATAAACGACAGTTAAAAAGAAGTCTATCGACTACCATCAACGAATGTAAAACTTACTGTGCCATCAACTAGATCCACACCAGAGAGCAGAACCATGTTTCCTTGTACAGCTTCTACCTGCAGAGCAACCAACACATCATGCATAAGGCAAACCAAAAGCATCAGGGGTCGTCTCGATGTACGATTTCAGAAAAGAATTCGTATAATCCATCCGTTTCAAATCTACCCACTCCAGAATGACACCCATTTCAACAATCACACATCCAGACAACACGTAGTAATCTCGTGCATTACCTTTGCAACGGTGAGGCCAATGGGGCAAGGTCGATGAGGAGTTCTGGTCGCAAACACTCCCATTCTACCACCTTTCAGCCTTGGCACTCTAACCTTAACACATTCCGCAAATTAAGCAACACAAAGAGACCAAACAAGAAAGTAAACACCAATCCTTTTGATTGCCTCCATATATCCTTTACTTATTTACCTTGGCCTTGAATTTTGATCTAGATGGTTCCTTCCACAACTTATCCAAATCCGTGTTCAAGTGAAACACATAGATTATCCAGCAATGAGAATACTCAGTTAGACCCTCTAGTGAAGCTGGTGGAACCCTAGATGGGTTGAACATTAAGCATGCCCTTGCTAGAGGTACTACCAATGGCTGCCTTGGAGTTCCATTTCTGCATAGACACAAGTGAGAATCCTCTTATTACAAATTGGTTTCAAACTCAATGCCAATTTGTTCATCAGATTCCGAACTAACTAACAAACCTGGTGGAGAAGCAAGACTGGACAGTACCAATTGGCGTCATTGGATAAGAACTCTGCTCCAAATTCTCAGGCTTGTGCTGTGCTAGAGCTTTCCTCAATGCCTGCATGCAGAAAGTTTCACAAATTTTAAGGGGAAAAGGAGAAACGTTTCGAAGGCAGTGCAATGATAAGAGAAAATATACCTGTTGAGCGCGAATTCGGCCTTGCCTCTCCGCGGCCGATTTCTCAGTCGACGATTCAAGAGCATTCTGAAGCTCTTCCACCTTTGATTCCAGCTCTTTAAATCTTTCCCGCCAACGATAAGCTGAAAGCCGCCAAAAATCAAATTTCTTGCTGTAATGGCGAAAGACCATTGTCCAATCACCAAAGGCTCTCTACTAAATAGAAAAAAAGATTAGAACTTACCAGATATCGCCGCGAAGGCGGCGGTGACGGCCGCAAAGATGGATATGAACCATTTCGATCGCTCGTCGCAACCCATGTAATGGTTCCCTCAGTTTACGACTCTGCAGCTCCAGCTCGGCCGGGGACTACTAGGGTTTTGCTAGTAAAGTGGTAAAGTTTGGATTTTTAATTTGCTTATATAAAAATTAAATAAACAACTTGCAGTCTCTCTCTTCTCCCTCTGCCTGTTTTGTCTGGTTTGACCATCTTAGGTTTTTTCTTTCCATGGCGTTGCTCGATTAGGTAGCTTGTTAATCATTTTATCGATCTCTCAGTCTCTCTCTGTCTCTCTTTGAGTTGGCTTAGGCTTATGTCTGGATTGGTACTTGGTTAGCGCTTGCTTTTCGCTTTTCACAGCATTATGTAGTTGCCATTATCAGTGGAGACTTACTGAGTACTGCTGTTTGAATGGATAGAGGGATACCAATGGGGAAGTGGAACCTTGTGCTGGCTATCTTCACATTGCTTATGACCTCCATTTTCGTGCTGCTTTCAGTGTTCACTCTGCCGAATTACCTCGAGAACTCATTTGATCTGTTTTGGCTTAGCTCCGGATTCAGCAGTAGCAGCAGCTTGAATCTGCATTGGCTTCAGTCCCATCCATTCAGGTCCTCTACTACTCCAGCTCACTGATTCTCTTCTGCTTTGACTTCTGTAGCTTTGTTCTTCTTGGTTTGTATGCAGCTTATTTCTAGAGTGCTTTTCACTGACGAAGCTTTGGCTTTGCCAAGAATCTTAGTGTGGACTATAGAGATGCATCCAAAAAGAAAGGAACCGTTACCTACCCAACTTGAGTAGGCTTAACTTCTATATGCTTACTTCTCCAGTGACAAAGACAAGAATGGAAAAATCAGTTTAACTGGAGTTGTTTATCTTTCGTCGGTTCCCTTTGAAATTCTGTTTCTGCTTGTAGTCTGTTTCCTGCTTTGCTAGAAATGCCCTATTAATGATCTCAAAGAAATCTGCAGGAAACTAGCTGAGGTCTACTACCCACATACCAGAATTCAGAAACCTTGGAATATGAGCGAGGATCGTTCTCCTTGGTCACCATTGAGGGCTGAACTCACATTTGCAGCGAATTCTGCACCATTCAACAGTTGCCATGCTTCTACCATTGTTGAGGTTAGGCAGTTCATCTATAGAGCTTAGAACTCTCTTGTTATTCTCTTTTGAAGTCTTCTGCAGACTAAGCAGTTTTGTACTTGGTCTATGCTAAAATGGATTGTGCTTTATGTAGGTAGCGAAAGGCCATTTTTTGGCTGCCTATTTTGGTGGCACATCAGAAGGAGCCCCTGATGTGAAAATTTGGATCCAGACATACAAGGTATATGTGTTCCCGTACTTCCAATATTTACCACTGCCCTTTACATGAACAGGTTAGGAGTACTCGTTTGAGACCTTACAAAGTGACGAACTTTGATGTCCAGGATGGAATTTGGAAGCCTCCTGTAATTGCTGATGAACAACCTGATGTGCCCATGTGGAATCCTGTTCTGTTCAAACTACCATCAAATGAGTTGTTGCTGTTCTACAAAGTTGGCCAGGAAGTGCAAAAGTAATAGAACTTTCAGGACTTGATATGTTTATTGCCACCTGAAAATTTTCAGTTTTGTGTGCTTTATTAAGTGTTTTGGCTTCTGACGAATTTTTCTTTCAGGTGGAGCGGATGTATGAAGAGATCATACGATAAAGGTGCCACTTGGACAGAAAGAGAGCAACTTCCTCCAGGTATATTAGGGCCATCAAAGAACAAGGTATATTACTTGTGGTTTGAGCCATCAGTCAACAAAGTTTGCAGGTATTTTGCTTATGCGCACTATTAATATGATGCCTTAATTCATATTCTTCTGCAGCCTCTCCTGCTTGAAAATGGGAACTTGCTTTGTGGGTCATCTGTAGAAAGCTGGAATTCTTGGGGATCATGGGTGGAGGTTGGTGGAAGTTCCATTCTGAAAGTACCTTGAATCCATTGGAGGGCAAAAGTTGACATCTTTTTTGTTTTTGTGCCATTCATGTGGGATCAGGTGACTGCAGATGCTGGCAGGACATGGAAGAAGTACGGGCCGATTTACATCAAGAACGAGTCCCTCAGCGTAATTCAACCCGTACCATACAAGACCTCAAAGGGCTCGTTACGAGTCTTGATGAGATCGTTTGCTGGCATCGACAGAGTCTGCATCTCGGAATCCTTTGATGGTGGTGTGAACTGGGGATATGCAACCCCCACCAAACTCCCCAACCCAAACTCAGGTTCTTAGTCCACAAGCTTACTGTATCCTCCTTTATATCAGGTTACAGGTTGGCATAATCCTGTTTTTCAGCAGTTCGGGGTCAGTAGTCAATAAGGTTGTGAGTTATTCGAGTTACGGGCCAATCAATTTGACAAAGTATCTTTTCATTGCCAATGTGTAGGCATAGATGGAGTCAAGCTCAGAGATGGCAGGGTTCTCCTTGCTTACAACACAGTCTCCAGGGCAGTGCTCAAAGTTGCAGTCTCCAAAGACGACGGAGACTCGTGGCACGACATTGTAACGCTAGAAGAGCAGCAAGGGATGGAGTTCTCTTACCCTGCAGTAATCCAGGCTAGCGACGGACTGGTTCACATCACTTATACCTACAACAGGACGCAGATTAAGGTAAGCCTGTTCTATCATACTTTGTGATGAGAAATAAAAATCGAATCTTGATTGCGCACAGATCTCTTACACTTTGTATTTCATTTTATGCATATTGCAGCATGTTGTACTCCAACCAAGTTGAAGCTGTTGAGAAGATCCCCATGGTGAAAGAAAAGCTTGCACTTTGTATCACCTTGCTTTGTAAATCTCCTGTCTTTTCCTTGAGGATCAAAATGTTGTGTAACGTTGCGAAATTGGATGATCAATGATGGAATGTGTCTTAACTTCTATCGAATGGTAAAATGTGCTACATTCGTTTTTATGGAGCAATAAAGTATACGCTTCACAAAACAGAAAAAAAATTAGTGAAAAGGTCTGACGTGTACATCTCAGGCATCACTCAATCGCTGACTGTATTATCTCTTTTTCCATTGCCACGCCAGAGGATGAAAAGAGCGGCGGAGGAAAGAAAATGGGGTGTTCGACTGCCTATCTTGCGGCCTCCGCCACCAGCTCCGTTTGTTTCCTTCGTCGCCTGTCACCAACCGGTGGAACTCTCAACTTTCCGTTTTCAGCTACTTACGGTGGTGGGAGAATATGGAGGCTGAATTGCCGACGAAAGTCGGCTGTAATGTGTAAAACCACCGGCGGCGGGACTAAGGACAAGGAATCTGCTTCACCACCAGATGTCGATCTCGACTACCTGGAAGATGCCGGAGGCGGGCGGCAGCAATCGGCGATGGAGAAATTGGTGGAGACGGGAGTGTTGGTGTCGCCTTTCTTCTTCTGGGGCACCGCCATGGTGGCGATGAAGGAGGTTCTGCCCGTGACCGGTCCGTTCTTCGTCGCGTCGTTTCGGCTGATTCCGTCGGGTTTGTTGCTGGTCGCGTTTGCTGCGGCAACTGGGAGGCCGTTCCCCTCTGGAATCAATGCTTGGCTCTCCATCACGCTTTTTGCCATCATTGATGCTTCCTGTTTTCAGGTTGTTGCTGCTGCTCTTTACTTTGCTTGTTTCTGAACCAATTTTCGGCAGTTGGATTGGGACGACCTCTAATTTTAAAACTTGAAGTAATTGGGTGTGTTTGTGGAGCAGGGGTTTCTGGCTGAAGGTCTGCAGAGGACTGCTGCAGGTTTAGGCAGCGTAAGTTTCCCTCTTGACACATAGTTTGATTACATTTTTCCTCTTGTACTGAAAATGATAACATTGTTTGAGAATCCATGGCAATGCATTCTGATGAGCTCCAACTTTGACATTTGTTGAGAAACTTGGTTGGATTACTGATGGTGGTGTTTACCTCAGGTGATTATTGACTCCCAACCGCTGACCGTGGCTGTACTTGCAGCCCTGCTGTTCGGCGAATCCATCAGCTATGTGGGAGCAATAGGGCTTGTCCTTGGCGTCGTAGGACTTCTACTTCTGGAGGTGAAACATTGATTCCTGCTCAGTATGTCGTTCTGTTTGTCTTTGTTGCTGTTCTTTTGGATGTGAGCTTGACTGCAAGCACTTCTCTAGCACCTGTGAGTAGAGAGAACATTCTCCGGATCAGGTTATGGATGGGTATAAATTGACTGGTCTCCTTGCTTAACATCCACCTCTTGTACAGGATACAAGTCTGTTTGTTGTTGGTCTACTACCATGCATGAATGTATGATCTTTTCCTTGTAATGTGTTGCTTGGGTTATGGCGTTTACAACTTAGGCAGCTCTGCGGGTGCATGGATTGGATGCTCGTTACTAAATGTCGATGAAATGCTTATCTTGATACCCGCTGAAGAACGATTTTTTTTTTCTTTTTTTTTTGTGTGGCAGGTTCCAGCACTTTCGTCTTTTGAAGGGACTAGTTTCTCTCTGTGGGGAAGTGGAGAACTGTGGATGCTTCTTGCTGCACAGAGCATGGCAGTTGGCACTGTGATGGTCCGCTGGGTCTCGAAATATTCAGATCCCGTCATGGCAACTGGATGGGTATGTATGTCTTCCGAGGCAAATGGATTTCGTCAATTGCAGTTGAAATATGATAGATCAGCTTATGAGTAAGCTTCTGTTGCAGCACATGGTCATTGGTGGTCTGCCTCTTGTGGCAATCTCGATTCTCAATCACGATCCGGCCTTTAGTGGCAGCCTGAAGGACCTTGCTGCGAGCGACGTTTTGGCACTGCTTTACACCTCTATTTTTGGAAGTGCTGTCAGTTATGGTGTATACTACTACAATGCAACAAAAGGTTTGACTTGTGTTCTGAACTTACAAATTGGTTTTGCTGCCAAGCTTTTTTGTTTCGTCGTCTGCATGCAGGATCTATTAAGGTGTTGCCTGGAATCAATCTGGCAATCGAAACATGATCCGCCTGAGAGGTGTTTGAGTTCCGGATTTCTTAATTTAGAATACTAATTTATTCTTTGACCACCAATTTCAGGTAGCCTGTTGAAGCTCAGTTCCCTTACATTTTTAACCCCAGTATTTGCTTCCGTTTTCGGGTGAGAGACTAACTGGAAATGCACTTTCCCTTCTCTACTGCCACTTCCCCTAGTTGTTTTGTTTAGGGCAGAATCTGCAGGTTCACTGATTGTATTTCTAATTTTTTTATACCTGCAGGTTTCTGTATCTGAGTGAGACCTTTTCACCTGTCCAACTGGTTGGCGCGGCTGTTACCCTGGTCGCGATATACATGGTTAACTACCGTGGTGATGTTGAATGACTCATCTGGATTTGGCGGTTTGCAGTGTGAAACAAGAAACACAATTGCAGAGGACTCCAGAATTTTTGGGTTGAAGTTCTCGTATAGCACGTTGAACGCTGGTAGAAGGGCATAAGAATGAAGCATCTACGATCCCGGAAACATCTATACCATGATCGAACGCACCACGCTTGGAACACTTGGCTCCATTGCTGGCTGGCTGGATTCTTCTCCTGAAATCTGGCCGTAGCTGCAGAGATGCTTGCTTCTGGGAGTTGAACGTATATACATGTTAGTTAGTATGATATGTTTTGTAGAATCAACTTTTTTGCTTGCCAATGTTCTAAATGGATTCCATGGTTAATTCTAGCTGCGACTGTGAATTGTAACTCTGTGAGCATCAATTTTCCAAATTCCCCCCGTTTTTGCACAAATGTCCAGACAAGTTGGGCCATTACAATAAGGCCCGTTATGTTGGTTTCTACAAACTGAAAACCCATCATTTTCTCCTTTTTTTTTTTTTTGGTAATGATTTTCTCCTTGGCTTTAATTGCAAGTTTGGTCATTCGAATTGCTACAAAATTTAACGTTTGTCACTCAAATTGATTAATTCCATTTATAGTCACTTAAATTAGTTGAACAGTCCAAGTTCGGTCACTCTCCGTTAACCTCCGTTAAACTCCGTTAATGACGACCGTTAAATGATGACGTGGCTAACAGAAAATCACAGTCAACATATTTTAACACTAAAAAATGACGACCTGACCCGCCACGTCATATTTACTAGCTATGTGAGCCCTACTTGCCCAACCCGCGAACCAACCCAATAATTAACCCAACCTCAAACTCGAGATTCGGCCCCCCTGAACTCAGAACTCAAGTTGAAAACACCATTGAAGGATTTCCTACTGTATATGCTACACAATCAATCCACCAGAATTCTAATAAACGAAGCAGAATTCAACTTCGACGCTGCAATAGTTGTCAGCAACCAAACAACAACCACAACACAATAAAACCTAGCGACGATGGGCCAAAAGAAGAGGGAGAAAGTTCAACTACCAGCGGCGATATGATTTGTTTCATTTTTCCTCCTCAGTATTTATGAAATTTATAAGATCGAGCCACATTATATTTGGTTCGCATAGTTAATTTAATTAAAACAGTTGAACACTCATAAAATATGCTTAAAATCGTTCTTTTTTCTTGTTTATATGATTTTTTTTCGTATTATAGACGAACAACACGCCCTCGAATCATGTCAATATAATATAGAGGAACGAAGTAATTAAAGCCTGCATGCAGTAGTTGAAAAACAAGAACACGATGAATGAATAATGATGATCATGCAAATTATGATCAAACATTCAAACCCTTTATTCGTGATCGAACACAAAGCGTAATCTGCATGCATGCATATGCATATATTGCATGATCCTTTGCAATTATTATATACTCAAACACCAAAACCCTACAACTAACGCATACCTCCTTTTGCTAGCTAATCGATCATCATCAACAAATGGCGGCAGCAACCGGCAACAACACCAACTGCCACGTGGAGCTGGACTTCGTCGGACGATGGAGGCACCGCTAGTCCGCTAATCCATCCCGCCGTCGACCACCATGGCGCAGCTGAAGCAGACCATCCTCCACGACTTCGGCATCTCCCCGGAGAGGCTCACCCTCAGGCTCCTCCTCCTCCCCTACCCGACGACGATGGAGCACCAGACTCTAGCTGCCTACGGGGTCACCGCCGGACAGACCACGTGGCCGATCACCGTCGACGTCACGAAGATCAACGTGATGGTCAACTTCCTCAACCTCGACAACATGTGGTACTTCGTCGTCGCCTGCTACGAGTTCGACACCGTGGCGGAGTTCAGGAGGCTCGTCGTCGACAACCTACGGTCGACGGGCGTGGAAGAGATCGGGCCGGAGGATATGGAGCTGTACTGCGGCGGCGTGAGGTGCGGCGACGGTGGAGCGCGGCTGTCTCAGTACGGTGTACGCCTGTACGGGATAGGGTTTGGGTGGACGTCAAGACCACGAAGGAGGTTCGAGAGCTCCGACTAGGGGTGGGCATTGGTGCGACCCGCACCGCACCGTGTTGATAAAAACCGCATGGCACCGTAAAGTAATTGGACCGCACCGCAAACAAGATCGCAAGTTAATTGGTACGGTCCAACCGATCCGCATTAGTTAGCGACTTGATGCGGTTTGGACCGCAGCTGCAAATAAAACCGCAACAACAAGTTAAATGGATTCACATACGCGAGGAACGGCGGTGGGTTGGAGACGATTAAGGATGCTTTCGACGTCGCCCGCCGTCCTCGGCTTCTTGTGACTGGCCCTGTGCCCGCCGAGCGCTTGGAACGAATTGAATCCCCTGCCGCACGTCTTGCACTCATAAACGAAAACCCCTTGTTGCTCCACCGTCGGCGGAGGGCTGGAGCTGCGGCGGCCCCGAGCCAGCAGAATCAAGCAGTTCGCCATGTCCTCTTCCACCGTACAGGTGCTCTGCTCGGAAGAGGAAGTCGCCGTGGACGAGACGTCGGCCGTCACAGGCACCGTCGGCCGCGGCTGGAGAGGCAGGGGAGACGGCTGCCTCTGTCGCTTCGTCCGCTTACCTTTCACGACGACGTTCGAGCAGCCGCTGTCGTCGACGACCGCGACGATTTCTCGATCCTGTCCCGCTTCCATAAGTATGGGAGCTTTGGCAGCCTCAAAGATCCTCAAACTCAACCAACGAGAAAGGGGAAATGGCAACGAGAAAGCACAGAGCCTGATCCTCTGCCGAATCCAGATTCAATCGATCCCCAAACCGTAACCCTAATCCTCTAGAAAGCACAAAGCCTGACGAAGCAGGAAAATGGCAACGAGAGAGGACGCGACTACGCACCGGGAAAGAGTCGGAAATTGGAACCGCCGATTGGGGATCGGAACGCCGAGAACCAGAGAGAAAGAGTGGAGTATCGTTGGAATTTTTCCAGAGGGAGGAATCGTCGATAGCGCCGCCGCAAGGCTTGCTCTTGTGGTGAGGGATTGAGAATGGTAGGAATTGAGATTGAGAATCCCACGCTGAGCTGGGTAGGGATTTAGTGGTTTGCGGTTTTGAACCGCAACCGCGCAGTTTCGGTCGATCCGTACCACAAAACCGCGAACCGCTTATGATTAGACCGCAAATAAAACCGCAATCTTAATGGTGCGGTTTGGATTAACCGCATAAGCGATTTGGAGCGGGCGGAGCGGTTTGGACCGCACCAATGCCCACCCCTAGCTCCGACGTCGTTTCACTAGCGATCTGTGATTGGTTGACCAGCTTGGAGTCTTTGGATATTGTTAGGTTGTGGGTTTACTATCAGTCTTTGTTGTTCTCTATCTATGTTTGTTTCTTTTCCTTTTTCGAGGATGCACTACTATATATGATAATTGTCAGAACAGAATCGTGTAATCGATAATCTAAACCAACACGAACGAACACAAATTTAACGTGGTTCACTAACACAATGTGTGCTAGCTAATCCACAGGCAGGGGGGCAAATTTCACTAATTTGAGGAGAGTACAGGTTACAAACCAAATTCCAAACGGACAAACCAAACAAACTAACCTGACTGACCTTACTACAGACTATGGTGATGAAGAGTATTTATAGAACTCTTCTCCTAATCTCAAACAGAAAACCAAACACCTTTTCCCAAACATACAATGAAAAAGGTCAAAACAAAGCCCAAACACAAACCCAAACTAAATAGACCCAAAACACAAAACAAACCCAAATCAAATTCAAGTCATATTCTAACAATCTCCACCTTGACTTGAATTCTCTGTCAAATACCAGATGTACCAGACGCAACCAAAGTTGCCAGATGTATCAAACGCAACCAAAGTTGCCAGATGTACCCAGACGCGATACTTATCGCCAGACGTATCCAAATGCGATCAAAACCGCCAAACTCAAACGCAATCAAGATTGCCAGACATATCCAAACGCGATTCATATCGCCAGACCAAACGCGATGCAAAACCCCAAACTCAGATGCAATCAAAATTGTCAGACGTACCAAACTTCTCCAAATCAGTTGTACCAGAATCTCCCCTGCCTCCAGATGCCCCTAAGGGCGGTCAACAAATCAAAACATGCAGCAAGTCCAACCCATGTTGGGACTTGCCATGCAGAACCAGCTTGGTGTTATTTCCGTCCATAACACCAACATCAAATTTACTGCTACCTTCAAACCTGCAACTCCAAATCGACTTCTCGATCTTCAAATCCAGAACATACATCCTTATAATCGAAAACCCTAACCGCCGTCCAAGAGCAACAAACAAAAATTTTGCCATACCACAAACTGTTACCAAACACAAATTCAATTGATTTGCCAACTCCCCTCGACGAAGTCCAAATCCTCAAAATTTCTTCTCAACAAATACCAACCAAATAGCCGCAAACCCTAACCAGGCGCAAAAGACTCGAAGCTTCGACACACCTTTTTCCAAATTCGAAGCTCTAACCCAACTCCAATTAGCTTTCGCCACCAACACCAAATTCAAATTTCCACATATCGACCCCCGCACAAATCCAAATTGGGACAAAAGATCATGAACCACCGCAAACCAAATTTGGAAGAAGAAAAACTAAGGCTTCTCCGCCAACCAAATCGAAGACTGCCCCCTGATACCGCAGCAGTCACCAAAATCCATAGCCGATTGCCTAGCCGATCGACCAGGAGAGCGATCCAAAATCCGCCAAGACAGTTTCAAATAACCCAAAGATCAACCAGGCTCTGATACCACTTGTCAGAACAGAAGCGTGTAATCGATAATCTAAACCAACACGAACGAACACAAATTTAACGTGGTTCACTAACACAATGTGTGCTAGCTAATCCACGGGCAGGGGGGACAAATTTCACTAGTGTGAGGAGAGTACAGGTTACAAACCAAATTCCAAACGGACAAACCAAACAAACTAAGCTGACTGACCTTACTACAGACTAGGGTGATGAAGAGTATTTATAGAACTCTTCTCCTAATCCCAAACAGAAAACCAAACACCTTTTCCCAAACATACAAGGAAAAAAGTCAAAACAAAGCCCAAACACAAACTCAAACTAAATAGACCCAAAACACAAAACAAACCCAAATCAAATTCAAGTCATATTCTAACAATAATAATATGAAGGAAATTGTCCCAAAATTTTGCGGTCGGTAAGTGGAAAGGCTAAATCGTTGCTTATATTAAGGGTTATCGTTAAGAATTGGAAATCATGACCTCTCTATCGAAGGTTCCGGTATCATGTTAACGAATAAAACCACTTTATCGGTCCGATATTGAGGACATGTGTTGTGTGAATGTCAAGACCGGCAAGGGATTCGTGACGGTCGAGCCCGTAACACCATATCAAATTGTCAACCAAGTTGGGCCTTGACGATGAGGCCCCCACCATGTTGGATCTACAAGTCCAGGATTGCAATACAGGTGGTCTCCTATGAGGGGCTAAGGCCCATGGTGGATCAACCCACGGCCCGTACATTAATGACGATTGATTCACATAACATAAGAGTCATAGACACAACAAATGACTTTTCCCATCTTATGGAAGAGTTCGAGAATGGAGAGGAGAAACCGTGTGCGACTGTGCGCTGCTATTGGTAAAAAGGGACGAATTGCCCCAATTTTGGGGTGGCCTTTTGGTCCCATTTGATGGACAATGGTTCCTGAGTTTGTCAAAGGAGTGTTCGTTTGGAATTTGTTTTCATGGTGGAAGTGATAGAGACCAAAAGTTGCTTCGAAGAAAACGTGTGATTTGTAGGTGATCAAGTATTAGCATTTCACATTGGTGAACTAAAACAGTTTTAAGTCTTTCAATTTATGGCAAGGAAATCTTGGCTTTTTCTGAATAAGACCACGGTGAAAATGACATAAATTTCTGTTTTGACATTAGGCAAATTTTTGTTTCCGATTTGGATCTAGATCGGGATAATAATCGCGATGGTACGATTTAAGTTTAGGTCATGTACATGTTCGTTGTCTTCTTATTTTTATGGTTCGTTTTCCTTCGAGTACATCAAAGAGCAGTATCGTGCGGCTACTAGTCTCCCTCCAATCAACATAATTTGTTACTAAAAGTTTGGATGCATGTTCATATCAAACTCTAATTGAGCTAGACGTATTTCTATCATTAACTCATCCAATTTCTTGCAGGTGTTAGACATAGTTAATTTCCATCGAGCCGAATGAACACAAGGGGAACGTGGAAATCGTTTGAATACCAGTTCGAATTACCTAGCTATTTCAATTCTCGTGCTTTCTTAAATTGAGTACTTACACAAGCAGCAAAAGCCTCTACGACCAATCTCAAGCTGGATGATAAGGCAAATCAACCCTCCGGAGAAGGAAACATGGATCGAGGATAGACCATTGAATTTTTCATAATAGCGCCTTACCTTTAAGGATGCAAGTGGTGGACATATTGTAGTTTGGTGGGCGTCTGGCATGTGTTATCATGCCAGACTCGCCTGAATAAAATTTACTTATTCAGAGGCAAATGATCCACTTGATGAATAACTATCCGGATATAAGGGGGAAAACCCCCCAAATAAGTCAAGACATGATTCTTAGTCGAATCAAGCTATAAATAATTTGTCTCATGGATGTTCTAATCGAGCATCTAGAAAAGAGAAGTACTTAAAAACTAATCAATCAAAACAACGTATGTGCAAGCTATAAGGATTTCTTTAAAGGATATTTCAGATTCAACCGACAATATGCACGCACGCATATGCATTGTGTTGCTACACACATATAACTAAAGTTTTATCACCTTTTTCTAGTCTTCAAATATCGATAAGCATTGCTTATAATGTACATGTGAGGATTATAATTCACATCCAACCATCACGTCCTGAATTCAAACTTACAAAACCCAGAATCATCAAACGAAAGAAATATCAACCCAACAAGACAGAACAAATGTTGGCTGTTAAAAGGGAAGGTAGAGGGAAATGAATGAAAGCAAAGAACTAATGCTATGTTTGGTTGGAACCGAAACTCAGGCGGCAATCCCGGGAGTTATGCTCGTCATTGGGCAAACACGACCTAAGTCTGGCTTTGGCTTGGCTTCTACTCCCATCCCCCAACCTTTTTGCATTAAATGGGCAAAAAAATTCTGCCACTCCTTTTTTTTCCTTTCTGTGTTCTGCCATCCCATTCAATGCATTCATTCATTCATTCATTCTAAGAACAACAGAACGAGTAGCTAGAGTGGTGTTAATTTCTGTTTTACTTAGGTAAAAATGTGGGTGGTGAAACTCAAAGCATTTGACTTTTAACTATAGAGTACATGCATGCATTTAAGTTTTAAGACGACGTATATTCTTTGGAGGAGAATTTGTTTTCTTGTTTATGTTTTATCAAGCCCGTCTAGCTCAGTCGGTAGAGCGCAAGGCTCTTAACCTTGTGGTCGTGGGTTCGAGCCCCACGGTGGGCGTTTCAACTTAATTAATATTCATTCTTTTACTTGGGACGTTTGTACTTAAATGTTTTTAGTTGAGAGTTTACTTTAAATTTTTTAATCTATATTTCTTCGGAGGTCAGTTTGAACCTCGCAACAAACCTCAATGGTCTATAAGTATCTCTCAACAACTAGAAGCTATTCAGACCAATTGGGGCAACTGACTAGTTGACCAAGAGATGGATAAGTCGTCTTATATTCATTCTTGATTCATTTAGTTTATGGTTATTTACATTGTATTCTATTCATAGTGTAGTTGCGTATTCAAACCCTAATCAGACCACCACCACTCCGACTATCTTTTTAAGTACATGGGTTCCATTAGTCAAATCGTACAAACTTCAATGTTCATACACAACAACCTAACAACTTTCGTTTTGACGAAACATGGTAATAATAACAAGACATCTCCATACTCAATCCCAATTGAGTTGGATTGGTTACAACTTAACTCTATCGTACAAACACATGGGATTCTGAATTCTGTGGTCTGCCTGCCTGCCTCAGTACAAACAAACAAAAAAGCTCAGCAAAGCCTAGCTGCCCATCCCAGCCTCTCCCATATCATTGTGTCATCCCAAACAATATTCAAACTTTTCCCATTTCCCTGACCTCTGCTGCTGCTGTGTGCACAGTGAGGGAGAGAATAATGATTCTTTAAAAAGTGGTTAAAAAGATGGTTTGTCGTTTGGGCATATATGCAGAGGGAGTTAGCTAAAAAGCTTAGTCCTTGCCTTGGTAGATAAAGAACGTACAAGAAAAAAGAGGCATGCTTTATATGACATAATAATATACATGAGAAACCCTTTTTTTCTGATCTGTCTTTCTGTACTACTACTGCTGCAATTTGCTTTCCCTGTCCTTCCCCAAGCTTTTAGGCCATCTGCTGACTGCCCTCTTTTTACACTACACTCCTTTCTCAAATTATTCCCAAGGACTAGTTCCTTCCTTCTTCTTTCTTTCTTTCTTTCTTTCTTTCTAGAGGTGAAAACTGAAAACCCATGTCGGGTCGGGTTGGTTTGTGGGTCAGGAATCATGATGAGGTGTTGAGTTACATTTGTGTTCATATATGTGCATGGGTTTAAAGTTATTGGGTTTTTTTACTTATTTGTGCATGCATGGTTGGTGAGACTTTGTAAATCATGAAGTTGTAGTTTAAGTGGTTAAAGAGTGATGGAAACTATACGTTTTTATGACGAACAAGAGCTTAGTCAGTCTTTTTTTTTTTTTTTTCATTCGGAGGTCTTAGATTCGATTCCCTTAAATAGTTAAATTCGGTCCACATGCACTGATCACCTATACACAAATTCAACCGAGTACGAACGACAACCACGCGCGCAAGTGCGGTACATATGATAACATCACAAAAACTATTCTTCATCATATCATCTTTACATAATCAAAATTCAGATTTAACATTTCTTCCCTTTCCTATCCTGTACACACTCTGATCCAACCTATGGCCTAGCTATAACCATCAGTCGTGGACCGTCACTGTTTGCATATTCTGCACAATAACAACGGGCAAAATTTAGCTAGGGTTTTCAGCTCTCTCTCTCTCTCTCTCTTGTTAAGTTATCTGAAATTTGAGCAGAAGCTCAGCAAAAGAAAAACAACAAATTGCGATCAGGCTGCTGCTGAGAGCTCAGAGCTGAGCTATATATGTACTGTTGGGTTGTTTCTTTCCATCTCTACTTTTCTTCTTCTTCTTCTTCTTCTTCTGCATATATATAAAAGCAAAAATGTCGTATTCTGTATGGCTTCACTGTTTTTATTCCTTTGGAATCTGCCTGCTGAGCTGACAGATAAAGAGGAAAAGGCAAAGCAATAAATTAGAACAGCATGCCCATTTTAAGATTTCTTTTCTTTTTCTTTTTGACTTGGATCTATCTATCTCTGGCTTCTCATCAATACCAAAAGTTCACGTACATAAATACCATCATTATGTTCTTCTGTAAACTTCTTATGTGAGCAGTAATTTCTTCTGTCAGTATCCATAAGGAAAAAAGTAAAAGTTTGAAATAACCAACGGGTATAGCAGATATCTTCTTTTAACTCTCTTGAATAACGTGAATTCGTAGATCTATCTTAACAACTCGAGTTATTGTGATGGAAAATGAAATCCTCTACAAATTACAAGCTTGCGGTAGTTAACTAATTAATGTTTGAGTGTGGTACTACAGTGGTGCGAGGAATTCATGATATACGATCGATCTCTAGACTTTATTAAAAAAATTGAGTTATCGAAACTGACTGATTTTTTTACATGATTAAAAGCTTTTGTTGTACTTGATAATATATGATTAAATTATATACGAACATCGATCTGTGGATATGACTTGTGAATTGTGATCATGATCATATCAATTATTTTAGAGAATATATTTATATATTCGAATCTGAGTTACTAGCGTAGGTTTGAAGTATTGCGTGCATATACTCATGATGGACAGAGTCTCAGATTTGCATATCCCCTAATACCACATGGTGGTTAATTGTGTTAATAAATGGATCAAATAAGAAAGATTTGGATTCTGTAAGGACCACTAAAAAGGAAAAATGTAACACTCCAACGAAGACCACATATTTTTTTTGTATTGTGCTTGGTTTGATCTGTTTTAGGGCAAAAACCATGCAAACCCTTTTCCTCTCCAATTTCCACCTTTCCTTTTCAGCAACACACTTCCTAGTTGAATTCAAAGATCCTTCCTACAAAGAAAGCTATATTTCCCACTCTATCCAGCTGTACTCTAAATTAGCTATGTTTCTTCTTTTGGTCGACGAGCTTACTCATCAACATGTCAGTCTTGTATTTCACCTTCGTATCTGCTCCAACGAGAATGGATAATGTAAACCTCACACATCTATAGAAAATGTAGCTTCTTATCTGATTTCTTAGCTTGTTACAAGAATAATGATAAATTAACTCCCAATATGGTTCAAGAAACCAATTGCTAGTTGATGTAGGATGTTTCTTTTTGGCAATCAAATATTATGCTTAATTTGGTATGCTAATGAGGGAGTAGTGGACCCTAGAGGGAGGTCTAATCATGTCTAAGCAATTTTCAAATGACACTCAATAAAAGGACCCAAAGTGATATGAACTACGTGTATAGTGGAAGATGCATCGTAGTTAAGCACTTGGAAGAATGATTATTGTGTTAGTAGAATATTTGAATTAAAGAAGATGGCTAATGTGGGCTCAAAACTATGCTTGGAGGCACCAAGTTGATTATTACTCTAATACATACCACAAAGAGAAATGGGTTCTTTGTACTCTTTCATGAGAGGTCCCTCCTCACATTGAATCTCCCACCTAATATTAGTCCATGTATTATTTCTGAAAAGGGTTTGAGTGTGTGTATAAATAAATACAAATTAACAAGTGGGTTGATTGGATGGTGATGATGGCACAAATGGATAGTGCATTTATAGGGTATAGTTGGAAATGGGTTGTCCCCAAAATTCTAGATTCAAATATGTCCTATCTTAAAATTTGGCTTTTCCGGAATTATCTTTCATTTCAATGCATAACTTGTATCCATGTGCTTCATATTCGCTTAGAGTTCGAGAATCTCCATCTGCTCTAAGTGGGCGAGCTAGAATCCTTATGTCAGGTTGGTTGTTCCTCTAGCTTTGTTTACTTCCACCCAAATACGGTAACTTGACCCCAGTATACGAACTCGCAACCGGACCTGATCAGGACTTCTGGACTTGGTGAATAAAGGGAATGGCACTTGTGTTCCTGTTGCCTTTGGAAAGCATGGATTAATGTTTTCATTACAAGAACACAAAGGATTAATTGATGTTGTGTATACTTGGCAAGATTAGTGGGTTGAGGCAAGTAAGGGTACACTTAAATGGTCATATTTATTTAACTACATAAGATAGTACGTGACACAGAACTGGTATTTGTCTAGACTTTCTGCATTCATATTTAGATTTTTGAAATTATACTTCTAATTTTGATTCCATGTTCTTGAGATCTGAGCACCTAGACAACAATGTAGTTCATCAGGCTTTTGGTCGCAATTTAACCAATTTCAACCTGCCAGACCGAGCTAAATTTGACAACAATAGGACACCTAACTAGGGATGCTAGATTTCTTGATCATGTTTTGATTTAGGCTAAACTACTCATTTTTTACATCAATATAAAAATGCCCATGCTTAATTATTGTTTACCTTTGTGTGCACGCCTTATCTAAAATTGGAATAAACAATTCAGGATGATCATTATGCCTTGCATTTACATGGATATGGGCTAGCTTATGGAAAAGATCAATGATCATTTATTTAAACACTTTTGAGTTTAAATCCTAGCAAGCTAAGTGTGGTTTAGGGATAAGTACAATGGATTGGTTCAATTTGCTTCCTAATCCAATTCATAACACGGGTTAAATATGTATGCTGCTCGTATGAATTTTTCAATACTTTACTATATCAAAATTTGATTTCACCGTCGACAAAATAACTCCTCGTCATTCGAAGCAAACCGAACATTTGGATAAAATAGTTCTCGGTCGTCTGGCATCGATTTCGATGATCACAAAGATACCATTTTCTAAGTAGTCAAAAGATACATATCATAATATATTTCCCCAATACACAATTAGTTCAATGAATCATTAAGGGAATATATACACATTGCATAAAGTTGATTTTTCCACCAAATATACAGAAACTGATTCCTTCTACCTGGTGAACATCAGAGTGGAAAGCAATTGATCAGAGGAAAAAGACAACCATGAATATAAAGTTTTGAACAACCAATTAAGGTATCTTAATTGAAAGGTTGGGTTTATCTGAAAGCTATATGTCTCAACTTTTAAAAACACAACTTTATGGTCTAATTGGACGACCTAATTGAAAATGGAGATTAAGAAAGGAATATAATCCTGTTTTGGTGAAAAGATTTTTAGTGACTCCTTAATTGAAAAAGGCTCTTGTCATTCTCATACATAACCAACCCACCTTTCAACTTCTTGCCTGCCCACTTCTTTTTATAATGATATACTCCTTCATGGAAAGGTGGAACAATGAATATGCTTGTGTCTTAAGCATACCAATAAACTAAGATAACATGAAAGTAATCATAGTAGTAAGCCTCAACTCATGAGGTGGTTGAGGTGTTACAACTTACAACTAGCCTATCATTCGACATAATACCAATTCACGTTTAAAAAAAAAAACCAGCCATTGCTCTCGCAGAGATGACACCTACCTCAACCCTCTCGGACAAAGTTGGCTCATTTATGACTTAACATTCTAACCCAAAAATTTTGGACAAAAAATGTGATGGTGATCGTTAGTAATCATTTATTACGTATTTGAACCCAAAGAGCAAATATTTCATCCAAACCCAGTACTGATGAGGTTGTTCCATACTCAGTATGCGTGTCCAAACCCAGTACTCAACCCATCTAAGAACATAAAGGATATATCATGAGACAAGAAAAAAAATGTGAGATTTGCAAAATTATCTGCGATATAAGATTGTTCACCATATATATGAGATACGATTGTCAGGGGCGGACCCAGGGCACTTTGAGGGTGTACCGGAACGCCCCTAAATTTTGGGAAATGATTTTTCAACCCCTGATGGTAATTTATGTATGAACAAAAAATTATAATTGATATTGAGGGACACCCCTTAAATTTGAAAAAATGATTATCCTACTCGCATTTTTAGATTGCGTATGGGAATATAAGTGGTAGTTTGGGTAACTCAAATCCAGAACACGATTATTATTAATAAACATAATTTCCATTAGGCTACTTTGTTGTTTGATTTTAAACACTGTATAATAGTAAAATGTCATTCACTATCTCTAATATTTTTCAAAGCCTAACAATTAAACTAATTTCAAGCTAGTCTTAATTTGTATTGATTTCATGGTTGTACGACAAGTGTTGAAAGAGTTTTTCCAACTTTAGGTTATATCAAGAACAAATTTAGAAATCAAGTATGCAATCAGTTCATGAATAATTGTCTAGTAGATATACAAAGAAATGTTTCTTGTGCAGTGTAGACACCAAGTATATTCTACAATTATTTCCTAATATGAAAACACAGACATTTTTTAACTTGTACGAGTCATGTATTTTATTATTTAATAAATATAAATTTTTGTTTTGATTTAATTTATTTTTTAAAAGAGGACACCCATAAGTAAAATTTCTGGGTCCACCACTGAATGGATTGTTCACCATATATATGAGATACGAGCCATTCAAACTAACCATTGTAAAACATGGATTGATCCAAACTAAAACTAGAGATGACTAAAACTTATTTGTTAGGACAATAGAATCCAAGGACTCCACCTGCCAATAACCCTCGAAGATAAGAAAAGATGGAAAGAAGTTTCAAAGCAAAGGCCAAAGCCAACTTTCCACGACACATTAGTGGGGAGGGAAAGCGGCTTTTTTTGAGCTCTTGGCCTTTTTGGATTTCTCAAGTGGCGTGGGGTTCTTTTCCACTGTTGGTAGTTCTTAAGGATTCCCAAAGAAAAAGAGAGAAAGAAGAAGGGAAGTGATGAACTGAAAGCAGATTCCCAAGTTATTTCGTTCAAACCGTGGGTGGGAATTTGTTTGTTTTTTTTTTTTTTTTTGGCATCTTTCGAGTCGTTTGGGTTTTCACAACGCAAAATTCCGAAGTCGACAAATAATAAGCCCAAAAGAGGAAAGGAAAAGAAGAGCTTTTTCGATACACATATTTATAAGGGCGGGTGCGTGCCACTAAGGCCAATCTCAAGCCAAAGTTGATTGCTCAAAAAGGGCAACAAATGCATTCTAAAAATGCATTCTAATAAAAGAATCCATAACATATATAGCAAGCAACATTGATTAGCTTCTTTGTAAAGGTGGAATCATGTCGTCAAGGAAACTTTGACCGATCAAATGGATTCGTATTTGAAGAATTCTTCAATGAGTTTAATACAACATTAGCCAATTGGGTTACGATCTTGTTGACGAGTCACATCGACTGATTATAAGAGAATTACGAGAACTTAACCTCATCTTCTTGTGACTTATTGAAATTTTGAATAAGGTTTTGCTTAGGTTAGAAGATGGTTCTTTTAACTAATGGTAATTGATGAAGCTAAAATTTGAACCTAGTGTGTAGTAAATATGATCATCTCTGCATTATAATCAGACCAATCGTTTGAAGTTCTATAGGATACTTTTGTTCGATACTAGAATGTTTTCGTTATTCCTTCATTCTCTAATGACTATGTCAGTATTTGTTTTTTTTTTAAACTATTTATGTAATTGAACCCTATCTTTAGTGACCATTTATGTAATTGAACCCATAGAAAAGCAACCCCACTTTTCATTCAATTGTTCTTAAACTAAA